TCGAGCGCGCGCCTGCGCCGAATCAGATATGACGATCCGATCCACGAGCGAACAAACCAGTCGGGGCCCTCCCGCGAGATCTCGCGCAATATACATTCAACGAGCCGAGACAAATTTGCGACACTCGTTTATCGTGCTCGCGAAATCGAATCGTGAATGCCAATCGGAGCGTCTGCTTGACTTTTCCTCGTGGTGCGTACGACGTTTATACGGGCGCGAAAAGCAAGCGCAACTGTCATTGGTAGTGTCATGTTGAGGGTAGGGGGAGGGGTGAAGATAGAGGAAAAGATCTCCATATTTTTTTAATAAAAAAGAGTACTGGTAATGTTTATTGACACATGAAATTTGTTATGATTAACTAGTTAATACTTGCAAACCAAAAGGAGTAGAAGAAACAGAGATTTTGTTGAAAAGAGAAATAGACGTATGACGCATGAGCAGTAGTCAAAGCAAATTTAATTTTAATATGGTTATATATCGTCTGTTTTAGTACTTTAACTGATAAACGTATCACTTGTTGAAAAATGTTTATATTTTATACAATTGTGTACTAATAATAAAATAATTTGAAGTATGATATACTTGTTTAATTCTCTGTGTATGTGTGTGTGTACGTTACTCTTACGAAAATATATGAATGGGAGCGAGCAGGGTGAGCCTGTGATTATCTGTGATTGAGCTGTTGCAATTTCGCATTGTCAATTAAGGGTTTACATTGAGTTGCAATAGAATAATGAATATTTTCTTTTCCAAATGTACGGTAACATATAAAAAACAATATATCAACAGAATCTCTGTAACATTTTTCATAAGATCATTTGAATTATTTGAAGACATACCATTATCTTTTTATTTATTTTTCAAAACAAAAACTGAATAACGTGTCTTGCCATGAAAAATTGCGTTAAAAAATAGTTAATTTCCAAAGTGACTATTTCGTAAAAATGACAGTGAAAAATTCTTAAAAAGTTCATGGTGCTCTTTAATTTATCAAGAATGATATTCCAGAGTTTTATGATATTTTCTTATTTTCATAAACTACCGAACCACAATAACTTAAGTCATACGGAAATTTCTTTCTCTCTCGCAACAGCAAATAGAGAGCGTGATTTGGCTTTGCTCGCCGAGTTACGATGGATTTCTGTGTAACTCATACCAAATTGCGAACTAAATTGTCGCATTTTGCGTTCCACGTTACAAAGAGACGCTTTCGAATGATATTCAAAATGCACGACTCGTTGTCCCGGGCATGCCCACTTTCAGGTCGCGTTTGTGTAGTGTGTCTAATTTAAACTGAACACAATTCAGCGAACGACAAATAACCTCTCGACGTTCGCGATGTCTTTCAAGGTCTAAATGAGGCGTCTCAAAGGAAATACCGTGAAAATCATAACATTCGGAAGGAAGAATTCGGTGCGACAAAGTAGATCCGCATCCGCTAGGAGGGGAAAAGAAAAAAATGTTCCCACCGACATTCGCCAGGAGCCGTCGAGAGAAATCTCTCATCGCGTAAGAATCACGAAGCGCGAGTTAATTTCAATCCACGTAGCGGCACTTTGGTACATTCAAATTGCGACTCGCGTCTCTCGCGGGGAGGAAGAAAACGAGAGATAGAGAGAAGGTGCGTGCGCAAAGTAGTAACGTGAGTCGAAGGCAAAACAAGAAGACAGGTAATAAGATTGCGCTCGCAAATACTCTTGGATTCTTGATTAACCTTTTATGTAGTTAGCGATGCCACGCTGCATATGCAATTTCACGACGATGGGACGTTACGTGGATACATAGGCCCCCCAGCGGCGTTGAACGGAACGTAAGGCTCGGCGCGCGCGTGCGATTTTTTTGTTTGTTTGCATGCCGGTGGTCGAACGGTTGCGCTCGCGTAATTAAGGCGCGGATTAATGGCTAACTTAATTAAAGGCTGAACTTTCCAAATAGTGAGCAAATTTTTGGAAATAGCAATATTGTATCGATATGGAGCTTCGTGTATCGCGAAATGCGCGGCCATATACTTTCCGCAGAAAAAGCGGGTTAAAGTTGGGTAATGGATGGCTACGGCGAAACGTCAGTATGAAATTCATGTCAGTGCAAACTCAATTACGCCGCTCGTAAAGCTCTGAGAAAAAGAGCGTGCTGTTTTAAATTGCGAGTGCGAAGAAGAGAGATGATATTTTTACTTACATTATTGTCAATCCAAGAGTGCGCGATTTTACGTGTATATTTATACATTTTGCTTTACTCGATTTTCAATTTTCTTTTTCTCTCTCTTGCAGTCTGTTGAAATATTTTTTTATTTTACATCAACAGCATACAGCAAATTTAATGAAACTCGTCATACCTCGCATACGCTGGAATTTATTTTTTCTACTTTAGCGTGACTGTTTTTCCATTGTATCATTAATAATAATTGTACAAGAATTTAATATATATTAAAAAAAATTGTTAATTATCTAATTTACTTTGCCATCCTAGTCTACCACCGAGAAATTTTTTTTTCAACGCCTCTTCTACCGGATTATGCAACAATAACAAATCTCCTCCCTCCTGAAAAAATTTCGCCAATATAATAGGAAGATAAACATGCGAAGCGCGCAATGAAAAATAAACTCCCGAGAGGCCGATAACGGAAAAAGTTTACTGAGAGATCCGAAATGAAAAGAAAGCACACGTAGTGCGACACTATATCTTTTCTTTTTTTTCTTTTACCTCGGGAAAGATTTGTGATACATCTGTCAATAAATTCTTTATGTTGACCCGACGGATTTGAGAATTTAAAAAGAAAAATTTGTTTTGCTCATAGTCGTAACAGTGCGCACCTAAAAATGCCACTTTTGAGTTGAAACAAAACAAAACGTTATTCGAACAGGCTCATTCCGCATAGGAGAGAAAATCGATTCGCTTTCCGCGTATACCTTAAAAGAGGAGGGTGGATTGGCGAAAACATTAGCGAGATTGAAAGACGAAGAGAGAGAGAGAGAGGGAGAGTGAGAGAAAGCACGCCATTCGAATAATTAAATATCCGTCTGAAGAGCTGGATGATTAGGCGGAAATGCTGAGTGCATTCCGGCTTGATGAAAATGTTTTTTTTCTTCACGTGTCAATCGAGCCGATAATCATTGTCCAACTTTTCCCCCGATGACTATGCTGACTCGAGTCGCGTAACGCTCGTCCGATTCGATTAATAATATCATTTGTTTGTTTTTTCATTTTCAAACCATTTTCATTGCGCGCTACGACGGCGTATCCAATTTAGTACGCCGCACGTCATCATTGAACAGACTCTAATTACTTTTTATCAAGTTCGAGAGCAGGCCATTTTTCAAAAGGGTATTAATTTGTAATCTCGCTCGTGTTCCGTGCGAACTTTGTCAAAATTGATTGCTTTTGTTCGATGGATGGCAAAGTCGCGAGAGTTTACATGAGTTTAACTGAAATTGAAATTGACTATTCTTTATTTTGTTTCAATAAGATCGATCGTTTATTTGGCCGTTCACGGTTTAATAATACGAAGTAGATTTGACGTGACCGAAATATGGCAAAGCAGGCGTAGAAAAATTAATTTTTTTAAACTAATGGTTGATCAAGAGATTTATTAGGAAGCGATTTACAAGAGCAAAACACTATCGGGATAGCTTTGAAAAATCGAAGTTTTCCCTCAAGGAGCACCAAAGTTTTCGCTCTATAACCATGTACCCGAAGCAAGATTCCTCCAACCAAGTAATTTCGGTAGCTGTATATTTCATACAGGAACACTTGATGCACTTTCTCTCCCCTGGGAATGAGTAAGCCAGTCTCTCTTTGATATTTATTGGCTTTTTATTGATCAGCTTCTACATCGTCGTTTCAAACTCGAGTTACTACGTTTGCTGCTTTTCTTTGAACAAATATTTTGCGATTCGGGTGCAAGGTTTTAACGTCTTCGGTGAATTTCCCGACTGCAAATTATTCAAGCAGCATCATCTTTCTATATATAACCTTCGTATAAAAAAAATGTCAATATCGTAAAGTATCTGCGTATACGTGTACAGTAGGGCAATATTTCAATGGGTATTATGCAAAATCGTCGATGTAAAGTACAGACAAAAAAGCCCCTAGGTCGTACTACACAGAATAAAATCCAGGAGAACGGCTATTCATCAAATGATACGATGGTTGACGACGATGGCGACGCGAAGGATAGATATCTCGTGAAGAAAGGGGGAGGAGGGAGCATCACCAGATTATTTATAAAGCATGAAGTGTATGATGAGGAAGGGTGACTCCGCTTCTTTTATCTGTTCGTATAGCGAGATATTTTCCTAGATATTTTGCAAGTTGACATGACTTCCAAAAATTTTCAAAGCAATTTTAAAAATTATTAAAACGCGATTTGAGTCTGCAATACGAATCTCATCCTAAAATCCGTTAATAAGGGTTTAACCCGCGACATTTAAATGCTGCTCGCGAAACTTCTCTCTCTCTCTCTCTCTCTCTCTCTCTCTCTCTCTCTCTCTCTCTCTCTCTCTCTCGCTCTCGTCGATCCTGAATAATTAGCGTCTTATTTAACCCTTAAGAGCATAGCAGCATCTCTCCCGCGTACCTCGACCATTTTAATTAATCATTTAATAATATAGCCATTGGCGAAAGCTTTTACACTACGTACATATATAACTCAACATGTTAATGGATCTTGAATTTCTCGAGATGTGACTGATTTGGTCTTTGCTTTCTGATGCCATTTAGTAAGTTTTTGCACTGACAGACTTGTCAAATTTTACGTAATGAAATCATAACTGGAAGGATGCATGTAATGTTTTTGCATTTTTGTCGGAATGTTACTCAGCGACACTCGATGCCTAATATACGTTGACAATATATTCGAAGCTTTTTTTAAGAGGATATAGTCTTTCTTTTACTCCATACTTTTATCGGTATACTCAAAATCAAAAACATCAAATTTTATAAATTTAAGCAATTCTATTCAATGTGTATCAATCGAAAAAAAAATATCCCTCTTGTTGCAGGAAACAACTTGATCTGCGACTGCAAGCTCTCCTGGATTTGGGGGTTAAGAAACGAGACGAGGAATCTGAAGCTCCGCGAGGACCTTGAAGAGCTGATGTGCTTCCTTGACGCAAGCTTCGAGCCTAAATTCGACTCTGGGGAAGACATTAACCGTGCACTCGAGATCGTTCGTAATACTGGTAAGTCCTATATACGTCCTTTAGGTATTCCGTTGAAGCTCAAATTCCATTCCAACTGAATGTACTTTTTTAGGATTCCATATGAAGCAATTCGAAGATTCACAGTACTTTGGTGACAACAATTATGAAGATTACAGTGATGACGCCGAGGATAGTCGTCGTGTTGGGCAACAGGTGAGAATACAATTTTAACATTGGAAATGAATTGTCTAATCAACGAAATTGGAGCGTTGAATAACGATCAACCAATTTTGTCGCAGATGAAAATGGACGGCAAAATGGGCTACATACGGCAGCTGTTCCGATTACGACTCGAGGATTTGCCGTGTCCAACATCGCGCGAAGAAGTCATGGCATCGGAACAACCGTCAGGCCGTTCATCGCATGGCTCGTCATTGTTTTCCTTTGTATCCGGTGGTGCAGCTCAAGTAACATCTCGCCAACTAGCCCACATTATCCTTGGCGTTGCTCTTGCCGCTCGATTTGTTTGCACGTAGGAGATTAATATTCGCGACACTCTTCTTTGCTAAGTCTAACTCGACCATGCGAGTCCACCGCGTTCTTTCTTTTTTTGTTTCTGTTCTTCATTCTTTGGCATCGTTCGTAAATATTTTGGCTTTCGTTTCAAAACAAGTAAAAGGACTCGCATGCTCGAGTTTTTGGTGAATGATAAAAAAAAGCAAAAAAAAAAGGGAATTGACCGCGCGAGCGTGGATTCGTTAAAGTAGCGCGAGATCGCTTTGTGATGTGCTTGCGAACTTGCGAAGCACGGGGACATCACGTAAGACAATCTAAAGTAACAAACAAACACGGATGAAAATCGACTCTGCTTACTGGAGTCTTATTCAACGAGAGTTGACCTGAGAACACGTCAATGGTTTGTTTTTTATTTTCTTATCACACTCATTTCTTATTCACTTACATTCGTGATTACTAATTTATTATTCGTTATTATGGATTGTACTAACATTGTAATTCCTAAGCCTAACGTTCATCTAACGTGTGATACGAAAATACGAGCAAAAGTTTATTATTATTCATACCAATGAGTCAGAAAAAATTTTTTTTTGACTTGACTTTTTATTATGTAGCTGGAGGGAGGGGGCGTTCAAATTTTTGTCAGTGATCGCCTACTGCGGTGCCAGCAAAATAAATCTCTATTAAAGGTGTGTCACTGTATCATAAAGAAAATACCAAAAAATATAGTATTGTCGCGCGTGGCATATTTAAAGAAGAAAAAAAACAGAGTTAACTTGACACTTTCGCTTTTTCCGTAGGCCATTCTTAAAAGTGTTACCTATGACTTTCATCATTGTCGCTATATCAATTAGATCGTTAAAGCTATTTTATTTATACAATGCTTCGTGAGTGAAATCGCATTTTAGGCTTTCTTTTTTTTATTGACGACTTTCGCAGTAAATGATTTCTCCGAAATTATCAAATTGACGCCAATTTTATAGCCTCATGTTTTTTATAATAAGGCGTTTGGTATACCTATTAGATTGATAAAAAAAGTATCGCAAAATGATTGCTACGATAATTTTCTTTGCGATCGATGGTCACATTGTATTTATATAAGATAAATTTATTGTAACTGTAAGTGTAATTAATTATACGTAAATATTAATATTAGTAGCGCGTTTATGATGATTCAACACTGCGAAAATGTTTTGTATTGTGAATGCTCACTTGCGCGAAATATTTTTGTCCATTGTGAAGTTTTTTGCTGCTTTTAATGATGCATAATGAACAAATATTAATCATTTCTTTTTAAATAAACTATCAGTGAAAATGCAACCTGTTGCTATTAAGATGTAAGATTTCAGATATACTTGGCGGAGTTTTTTATTTTATAAATATGAGTTTTTCTAGAGAAAAATAAAAATAAAAACGTTAAAGTGAATTTTATGCGCAGATTGTACAACTCATCTATACATATTAAATAAATAAGAAGATAAATTAAAATGACAGTTAAATTATCGATGTAAAGCGTTCCAAAACTCTTGGGCGTCGTGGAACTTCATGAAATTTCGATGTTCTCTTTAAAAAATAAGAATTTACCAAGATACACTGTTAAAGCATAATTAAACACAATATAGAAGTTTAAATAGGTAGTTCGACATTTTCCGAGCCATTTTCGACCCGACAGCCGTATTTAAATATTAATCATTTTCAAGATTTTATGACTTCTAGACTCAATAAAGCAATAAACATGTTCATATGTTGGAGAGATGGAATAAATACTAAAATTTATATGAAACGGTCAGCACAAAATTTCGTTATGTCGGAAATTGAAAAATTATAACATATCTAAAATTCCTAATATTAACATCAATATTTCATCATTTTTATCTGAATACAGACTGAGCATTTACGCACATGATTTTCTAAGAAAGTTTTTACCTGAATTTACACTTTTGCATTTTTGTATTTCCTAATGTAAGAGTATTTGACTGTCGGGTTGAAAAAAGAGCACTTTCGCAAGACTTGAAAAAAAAAAACTATGCTTGACGTTGGAGAAATCGTATGAATAAAAATGAAAATAAAAGCTATAAACTAATTATAGTGTTTTTTTCTAAACATTTTTTTCTAAACGTTACAATTGTTCTTTTTATATTTTACCTTATTTCTTTCCTATAATGTTGTAAGAAATATTAATTTTGTCGCATAAGCTACAATAAGACGATGTTCATATTAATTATAAATTGCGTAAGGTCAAGCAAGAAATATACTTATTATGGATCATTGTCCGCTGTATTATGTATAATACATGTTCTTTTATAAAATTTAGCAATAATTGCGAAAAAATAAATCGATAAATACAAATGTATATTGTTTTTTATTAATACCATTCATTTATTTTAATGCTCATACTTTAATTCTGCCAATATTCATATGACTTTTTACAATTGAATAATCAGATGAAGATAAATTCAAGAAAAACCGTTAACGTTTATTAGAATTTCTGCAGAGCAACGAAAATCTTGCTTGATTCATTTTGCAAAGTTTTTATCTTTGTTGCAGGAAAAAGCTGATGTGTTGTTCATCTATTTTTGGGATGTATGAACTATATAAAAATTAAATCAAACTCATTGTTATCTTACATTACTATAAAGGATAAACAATTATCTAAACAGTTCACAGGCCTTACACATAATTATCACATAAATATTTATTATTGCTATAAATTAGCAGTATTAACAAGATACATTAAATATCCTATTTGTTATTTTAAAAATAGACGTTTAAACATTTAATTGAATCAGTCACTCGGTTCATTTTGATACGCTTATCGTTAAGTATTTCTATCTTGTGCACCAACTTAAACTTTATTAAAATAAATTCTCTTCTATTATCAAACAGCAATGAAAAGTACAAAAATTCAAAAACAAAAAAAATTACATTACGAAATCTGACGTCCTTGCTCAAGAGAAGGAAAAGAGCAAGCATGGCGCTTCGAGTAAGCAAGCATCGGCTAATTCGATCGGTATATACGGCAAATTGCTATCGATTCTCACTCGAGCGTGAAACTCACTTGTATGAAACGTTCGTGAGCATATCATAGCAGGAGAGTCGTGCAGTGGCCGTGCATACACGAGGAAGCGTCACTCAAATCACTCTCGTTGAGGCTTTATTCGCGAATTCGGATCGGCAGTGTGTGTAGCGCGCTTATTGGTGAACCATACGGATTAAAAGACACGAAAATGCACGTGAGTTGAGTGTGACATATTTTTATTTGAGCGTCGCTTTCGAATTTGACAATCGTGTCGCGGGTCGTCACGCAAAATCAAACATCTCATTAGCACTTCGATTAGCCAACCAACAAAAAGCGAAACTATGTCGACCACACTAAATAAACAAATAAATAAATAAATAGCAGACGAACAAACAGAAATTGTCCCTGACGCATTTGAAAATCTCTAAACAAACATGCACCAAGTAAACTTGGAATAAACGCGCTCGCGTTGTTTTTTTTTTCGATTTGGAACGCAACGCTTCGCCAGGATAGTAGTGCACGAGGGAAAAAAACATAAATTAAAGTTTACAGCGACGCTCGCGTTTTTCCGATTCTTCCCCCCGATGGCATGAATATTCGACGTCGTACGTGAGCAGGCGTGCAAGCGCGCGAGGGATCTACATAAACTGGTAAAAATTTTAATCCTTACCCAACGAGTTACAGACGACTACATTTCACGCGCGCGCCTCTTCCGTTTTTCACGAGTGTTTTCTTCGCGAAGACTATTCTCCATTTCTATTTTTTTGACGCTGATAAATTTTTGGAAAGACGGCAAGTTGTCGTCTTACCGTTAACCTGACACTGTCGCAATGTTATTGCCTCTCGTGTATTATGGAAAAGATGTGCTCGCAAGCCGATGCCACTGGAAATCAATGCTAGTGATATAACGGGCTCCATGTTTTCGTCTTGCGAACGATATATTTAAAATAAATGAGCCGCGGATGTTCGAGCTTTTGAATTATCGGGCGCGTCGGCAAAACAATTCGCGAAAGGCTGCGCAGACTAACGAGCTAACATCAATCGGGCAACACAACTGCGAGCTCGGCATGCTTAACTCTCATAAATGTCTCAATAATCATCGTCCCTTTCCGTAAATTTCAGCGGAAGAGGGTCGCCTCGGCTATGCGTACGCGCGAATGTAAATTCAAAACTCAGAGCAGCCCCAATTCGCGAAAGCCCCGTTGTACTTACTGCTTACTACCACCTGCATTTTACTTAGAAATGCGGCAATTACACCCAAAATTACGTCGGCGCCTATTCAAGCGAATGCCTACGGACTGCTTTTTTTTTTCTCTCTTCTTGCAAATTAAATTCAGGAAAGTTGCACGGCATTCTTTATCTTTTCATTTTGAGCTTGGTGGCTATTAATTTTTTTGTCTCCGGCGGTGTTCGAATACGTAACGGCTGTAATCTTTCTTATCGATAATCTAGCGGGGGAAAAATCGTTTAACAATATTTCCGATCACCGTTTTTTTTTTAATTCTCATAGTGAAATTAATTACAGTGTATTGTTGGATTTTTTTTCGACGTGTATTACTCGCTGAAATATTGGGAATACATAGAAGCATGTTATGCAACACTTAGCATTTAACTTAAAGCTTGCTATTTGGATAATTTTGATACCTTAGCTTCTAAAGATTCAAGTGTACATTTTAGTTAATTTAATTCTTTTTTTATTATAAAAAAAATGGTGTTTCGTTAATTTAGGCCAATAAAAGTGTTTAGAGGCGAAATTGCGAAAAAATAAATAAAATAAACTTAAAACCGTGTAAAGCGATTCTTCTCCATACAGTAGCAATTGAAACGCAGCTCAAGCCAAATTAAAACCGCGACTTTGTTTGAGTAACGCAAAACCTTGTGCTTTAAGAAAGAAAAAAAGCAGAGCAAGAGGAAAAAAAACACGCACCGTGCAATTAAACGCCGCCTTCTTAATTGACGCTCGAGACATCGTGCATATAGTGGCTCTCGTGTTTCCGATGAAAGCCGATGAAGAGAGGACCGAGTTGCTATAAGGAGGAAACGCTAAACAGAATGCCCCACAGTACGCGCTCCGACGCCGTGAAGCGCTTTCAAGCTTTTTATTTTTGCGTGCTCTTTTAAATGTGTAGTGCATCGCGAGTGTCTCTCAAGCAAAGAAACGACAACGCACATAAAAAGTGAAGTTTCTGTCTTATTTTAGTGCAATCACTTACGTGGGTTTGGATTTTCAGTTTTTTTTTCTTTGTTTCTTACAATGGTGATTTCGATATGACAATCGAATTTGGAAAATTAAATTATTTGACGGAATTAAGCTAAATAACTTCAGTTGTGTGACTTTCAAAACCACTGAAGTTTTCAGAAAGCATCAGTCGATATAATTTACACACAATATCTTTTCGGAGGTCATGGCCGAAAAACAATAAAATATATTCTTATGACGATGTACATTAACATAAATAACATCAGTCACTAATTACTATATTATACATAAACTTTAATCAAGCATAACAACTTTTTTTAAACAAGAACGCAGTAAAACAAAGTTGCTTTATTTAAGAAAATTTTTTAATAATGCACGAAAAAGTCCGATTTTTTTTATTAAAGAAAAAGGTTCTCAAGTGAATAATTTAATGGCTCAATTCGAAGATAAATATTTTCAATAAAAGTTTTTTTAAGAATACCAGCCAATTAAACAAATTTTTCTCGATGAAAAAATTGTTTCTCAAAGTACGTGGATTGGGAATCATTTTTTACATTTAGTACTTTATTTAGACTATGAATAAACATAGAATTTTTCAATTGCCTGGTTAAAATAATCTGTAAACAAAAGAAACTTTTGTCTTCATTAAAACTTTCTGTATCATTTGGACTCTTAACAACATCTAAAAACAGAAATGCTTCTTGACTGCCCATTCAAGGTTTACACATATAAAAGAGCTCATTGTTCCATCGTGAAAGAGTTTCTCAAGCCCTTCGATCCCAACTCAATAAGTAGTCGATTCGTTTCTTAGAAAACTTAGCAATTCCTTTCTTATAACTTCTGATGCTCTTAGGTAACAGAAGGCCATAAAAAAAAGTAAGCGGATTATACCAAAGAAAGAAAAGCATCTTTTCCTCCATCGTACGACGTAACTCAGTAAGCGTGAAATAAATATCAATGAATATAAGTCACGAAGCTTTCGGACGGATCAGAGCTCAAGCAGCTTGCGAGAGAAGGATAAAATAAAGATAAGAAGGTGTGCGATATTTACGCTCGATAACGCAACCTCGGGATTTTGATATTTATTGAGGTACGCATAACGCGTGCGTGGATTTAGCCTTGGGCAGATCTGTTTATGCCGATCTGGAAATCAGATTGGAAAGAGCTCTTCCGCGCGACCGCGCGCGTAATTGTTTCTCGTGCCCGCGAGATTGCGCCGACTGCGAGAGCGTGACCGAGCGTCGCGGCAGCTAGGCTCGCTTTTAGATTGCGTCTTCGAAATCTCGCGATCTCGTTCGTTAGAGCGACGTCGCATGCTCATCGCCGAGTGCGCCAAGTTCCGCGCTTGCCGTCAGAGCGCGGAGACGGACGACCGGGGATCTGCTTGTATTATGCAGTTGTTTTGATAGCGTCGGAGACAATCGCGTGTCACGGATACTTACAGACACGCGAAGCGTACGGGAGCTTCCGCTTCTGTAGATCGATCGCTCGGGCAAAATTAGATAATGCCGAGCGAGGCGGCCCGTGTAAGCGGACCGACAGCATTGCTCGTGAAAAGTGCTCGTCACAGTTTACGCCAAGTCACGTTGTCGGGACTACCGCGAACGTGCGACTTTTGCTCGAGAGTAACACTTGAGTCGTTGCATCGCGATCCGTTCATATATTCTTTAGTTCATGAATATTTCGGTCAGCACAGCATGCGTGGCTTCCAATAAAACCTATATCAAACGCACGGCCATCAGACATTAAAGCGGATGGCGTATATCCGCTGGGGTGATTTAACTGCGTTAGTATGCGTGCGTGCGTGAGTGTCTCTATTAACAGACTATGATTTGTAATTATTTAGACGTTGTAGAGACCCTATACTCCGATACGATCCGATTTGACGAGTTCTCGTGTTCACTGGCTTGGCCAGTGCTTTTAGTGGCTTGTTACTACGTTTATGTGCTTTGCTTGTCTGATAGTTACTGTCGGGCTAGCGTGAACCTTTAATTATTTTCAGAAAATTTATTCAGAGATGTTTTATAACATAAGGAAAATTAAAGCATTGAATTCATATTAATCCGTAAACCCTTGAAAAAAGTCAAAAGAATGCCATAAATGCGAATATGCTGATACGTAAAGTGTTTTAACAAATTGATAATACAATTTATTATGAAGCAGGAAGAGAATGAAATATTTACTCAATCGCGAACAGTCAATGCATATCTCTTCATAAAAGTTGCAATAAAATCCACCTCCAAGCAGTCACCTATTTATTACAATCCAGTTTATTTGCGATATATTATTTGAATTAAAGTTTTAAGATATTGATAAGAAAAACTCAAATAGTACATGATTGTTCATCGGTCAACGATATTACATTTTCAATGAACTCTCTATAGTAAAGGACACTTAAATAAACATTAATTTTATAATGATTTAAAAACTCGTCAGAGAAGTTACCCCATGCTATATTCGGACATGTACTCCGTGTGATTCCGATAAGGTGATTGTTTTTATCCAAAAGCGGTGTACCGCTATCGCCCTAAAATGCAAATGTTTTTAGTGAAAATTATCATTTACCAGGTGTAAAATAAAATTTGTTCCTACTTGCACAGTCTACGAGTATATATGACTCGGCGAAAGTAGTCAGATAATGTTCGGTTACTGAAAATTTTAGATAAGTCACCAATTCCACTTTACGTTTCCACTGCTCAGGACTTAAAACTGTTACTACGCCCTTGACTAAGATAGGCGGGACTGATACATCACTTAGGCGATTCCAGCCAACTATCAATGCCTTAGTTCGATATAGCTGTTGGTCATGAAAATGCAAAAGGGAGATAGGTATCATTGTTCCTTGACTGTTTGTCGATAATAACTAGAAAGCATATTCTTCAATGTTTATATTCCACTATATCTTAGTTGTCATACTACATTACTTGACTAGTCTGGGCAAATAGATTCTCGTCTCGCATTAGTATTACGCTCGATCGAAGCGATAATGAAAAGCCAGACGAGTGGAGAATCTACTTTCCCGCAGACGTTATATGGCATATAAGTATGGTATTTTTCAAAACCATCGTGTGGAAAGAGCCAATTGGATCGTACGTTGTCCGCCGAGTTTGCGACAAACTAGTACTTTCCACAAGGCGTGTTAAAATTGTTTACTTTGATGATTATTACATCGTTAACTGGATACGACATAGGTTTTCCATTATTTTGAGCCCAGGAGTTATACGTCAACCATGAATCAATACGGTAATATAAATCGATACTTCTCTAATTTTCCCCGGCAATACCAACGTTGATTTCAGTTGTGTTTTTGCCATCAAAACAATGTACAGTTGATATGAAGTGTTCCCGCGTTATAAGTGATCCGGTACAAAAGTGTTAAAAAGCGCCAGACGCAGATTTCTTTCTAAATGATACAACGAAAGGGAATTCATCAGGCTCCGCTACTACAACACGGTCACCTATTAGTGAAATAGCTTCTACAAAAGCGAATACTTGGACTGAAAACAAATTAATTTAACAAATTAAAAATTGTTGTATAATAAAGGTAGTGGATTAATAGTCTAGTACCAGTTAAGAAAATACACGATGCAAACTGAATCATTGTGAACTTTAGTTTATACCAGAAATTAAATTTTAGTTTATACCCGAAACGTGAGGAAAATACAACTTTATATTTTTAAGTTTCTTTTATGAACCATATATTGTTATATTTTCAGGTTAATGTTACGTTTTTCCGACATACGTAGTTACAAAAATTGGTGCTATAAACATGTTATTTGTGTTGACTCATAACCCCTTCAGAAAAATCAGTCCTATGTAATGACTTGGACATAAGTTTTAATAATTTTTTTTTTTTTTTTTTTTTTTTTATTTTAACGTCGCTCTATTTATGCTCCATCAGTGCTAATTAGCGACGGAGGCTTGCAATGTGTTTGAGAACAAAGCACATGAAACTTTTTTCAGAGGTGCTTGTATCAGCAGGAACTGGGAATCGAACCCGGGCCTACCGGGTGCGAGTCCGTCGCCCTACCGACCGAGCCATTGCAGGCCTCTAAGTTTTAGTAATTAATTCCTATTAGAACTTTATTTTCCTCAATAATGGTCACAATTGTTTTTCTAAATAACAATTTAATTACTTTTAAAAAACCTAGTAAAAACGTGCACAGCGTGTAGAACTTTCATGCACCAATCAAAAGCAATTGAAAATCAATCAATCAATCAATCAAATCATTCAATTATATATATATATTATAATAACTCATACTCTACTGAGAAAAACCAAGTTGTATGAATTTAATTAAAGTATAAAAATTATTTGCAGTAATATTTGCGTATAATAGTCAGCGTTTAATCCTAGTTAAGAGCCGACAGGCTTACATTGCGCTCTGCTCAAACAGATAAAGTATGAGCCAATCAACTGAATGTATTGTTTCTTTAAATTCATCGTTCAATCTCATAATACAAAAAGTGTAACGGCCAAATTTTCGCCTCAAACCTTAACTTTAATGAACGCTCATCTAACCTTTACATTATTGCAGTCTATAAGATGGCAAATGATAGAGAATTGATAGACTTTCAACTACAATCAGTGGAATTAGGCCTTAATTTTATGGAAGTACTTGAATATATGAGAAGAAGAAGAAAAAATATATAAATGATATGTATTAATCATCCCAAAAGCTTTTTTTACATTAGCATACTCATCAATAAGCAATATTCATGAGAATTTGAAAAGTAAATTGTAGACCTGACATTTGAACATTAAATGTGGTACTTTCGGCGCTACAGTTTTAAACAACAGTTACTTTTGCTCACTACCGGTAGTGTTGGTACTAAATAATCGAACTAGATATTTTTAGTGATGTTACTAGAGTTGCGATTCGCGTCCGTATGCGTCCGCATTCATACGTAGCTATGGGGCCGGAGTCTAAGGGCCCGTGGTGCGGTAGAGAGACAAAGAGCGCTGCTTGAAATACGAGCGCGTCGCACGGTCGGACCGCGGGCGGTTGTCGAACACATGTTGATAATGATGCGCCGGCGCATCGCACATGCATCACAGCTGATCTTGGCCCAGACGCGGCACAGGTAGTCGGAAAAATATGCCAGCTTATCGCGAGGTCTTGAGGACGCATGTGCGATGCAGCCGCGCTACGCGAGGACCACAGACGCTTCGGACACACAGGCGCAAATACCGTAAACAGTAGGCGTTTAATAAAGTTTGGCATAAAGGACACCTGTACAATCTCAAGAGAAGTTTTCCTAAGCACAAATATGACCTACTACAGTCAAATATGCAGGCCAAGGGTTAATAAAGCAATAAAGAGAGGTCGCTGAATAAAGGCTAAATGTTGAATAGAAAGACTATTATATTATAGATATTCGAAATTATATTATATTGGTAACAACAAAATACGTATATATATCACTTAAAAACTAGTTTTTTATAATTGGTATATGTATCAGTCGAGCAAAAATGTTAAAGGAATGCAATAATTATAAAAACGTCTAAGGAAAGTCATTATGAACCAAAAAAAAGTGAAGTATTTAGTTGATCGTGAACAGTCAATGCATATCTCTTCATAAAAGTTGCAATAAAATCCACCTCCAAGCAGTCACCTATTAGTTACAATCCAGTTTATTTGCAATATATTATTTGAATTAAAGTTTTAAGACATTGATAAGAAAAATCCAAATAGTACATGATTGTTAATCGGTCAACCGTGTTACATTTTCAATGAACTCTCTATAGTAATTGACACTTAAATGAACATTAAATTTATAATTATTTAAAAACTTTTCAGAGAAGTTACCCCATGCTATATTCGGACATTTACCCCGTGTGATTCCGATAAGGTGATTGTTTTTATCCAAAAGCGGTCCACCGTCATCACCCTAGAGGGTAGATATGTTTAGTGAAAATCATCATTTACTAGGTGTAAAATAAAATTTGTTCCTACGTACACAGTTTACGAGTATATATGACTCGGCGAACGTAGCCAGATAATTTTTGTTAATTGTAATTTTTTCATTCGTCACCAATTTGAATAGATGTTCCCTCTGCTCAGGACTTAAAACTGTTACTTCGCCCTTGAGTAAGATAGACGAGGCTGGTAAAGTACTTGTGACATTCCAGCCAACTATCAATGCCTTCGTTCGATATAGCTGTTGGTCGTCCAAATGCGAAAGGGAAATAGGAATCATTGTTCCTTTATTGATTTTCGATAATAACTGGAAAGCATATTCTTCAATGTTTATATTCCACTACATCTTAGTTGTCATACTACATTACTTGACTAGTGTGAGCAAATAGATTCTCGTCTCGCGTTAGTATTACGCTCGATTGAAGCGATAATGGAAAGCCAGACGAGTGGAGAATCTACTTTCTCGCAGACGTTATATGGTATATAAGTATGGTATTTTTCAAAACCATCGTGTGGAAAGAACCAATTGGATCGTACGTTGTCCGCCGAGTTTGCGACAAACTAGTACTTTCCACAAGGCGTGTTAAAATTGTTTACCTTGATGATTATTACATCGTTGACTGGATACGACATAGGTTTTCCATTATTTTGAGCCCAGGAGTTATACGTCAACCATGAATCAATACGGTAACATAAATCGTTCTTTCTCCAATTTTGTCCGGCAACGGCAACGTTGATTTCACTTATGTTTTTGCCTTCAAAACAATGTGCAGCTGATATGACGTGGTACTGCGTAATAAGTGTTCCGGCACAAAAGTGTTCGAAAGCGTAGAACAGAAATTTTTGTCTAAATGATACAACGAAAGGGAATTCATCAGGCTCCGCTACTACAACACGGTCACCCATTAGTGGAATAGCTTCTACAAAAGCGAATACTTGGACTGAAATCAAATTAATTTAACAAATTAAAAATTGTTGTATAATAAAGGTAGTGGATTAATAGTCTAGTACCAGTTAAGAAAATGCACGATGCAAACTGAATCATTCTGAACGTTATCGAAAATTCAAACAGTTGTTTGTGATTCTACGTTAAAATGTAATAATTTTATGAAATTCTAGGTCGGCTTTTGCGACACTATAACTACAACAGGAAAATATTTTTCGCGTTATAAAGCACAACGAATGTAAAGTATGATTGATCGTAAAGTCGTTGATACTCCAATAAAAGTTACGACACAATAATCATATTAACATTTCTTTTACTGTAACACTCATTCTCGCATACGCGTCTTTTTTATTGCAAGACAGTTTACTTTCCAATGGTATTTTATTCCAGAGACTTTTAATACATAATTGATGAATTATTTGAAATTATTTTGCGAGTTGAGATGAGCTACAGGTTATTCGTCATCCTCTGACGTTTTTTATATCGTTCATCATGTGTCTGTTATGATTAGCATTTGCATGACCCTTAATTTTCATTTGTTAAAAAACTCCTCAGAAAATTTTCTAAGTGTATTTTTGAATGATGTACTTTTTATGACACTCAAAAGAAAGTGTATTTTCCCTAAAATTAATCTAATGCAATATTGCGAGAAACCATGAATTTATTTCCGTTAGAATAGGTAGTTTCGCTTATATTTAGGGGAACTATACGGGGCATATTAGTGAGTTTTTAAAGTTTTCATGATCACAGTGTGATAACTATTCTAATACAAACGTGTGTGAGTGAGTATGTGTGTAGTCATGACTGTTTTTTCAATCATAAAATACTTGAGAGGGGTAGAATTTTAGGCCCCATAAAGTTAACATTTGTATAATATCTTAATTTTTGAAAAACTGAGCGTGTCATTTTTAAAAAAACATTATTCTCGTATCTTTGCACGCGTTATTCTACATTTATGATTTGTTTCTAAAGGTCTATAAAATCAAGGAAATTGTTGAATTTCAGTTTATACCCGAAACGTGAGGAAAATACAACTTTATATTTTTAAGCTTCTTTTATGAACCATATATTGTTATCTTTTCAGGTTAATGTTACGTTTTTCCGACATACATAGTTACAAAAATTGGTGCTACAAACATGCTATTTGTGTTGACTTATAATCCCTTCAGAAAAATCAGTCCTATGTAATGACTTGGACATAGGTTTTAGTAATTAATTCCTATTAGAACTTTATTTTCCTCAATAATGGTCACAATTGTTTTTCTAAATAACAATTTAATTACATTTAAAAATCCTAGTAAAAACGTGCACAGCGTGTAGAACTTTCATGCACCAATCAAAAGCAATTGAAAATCAATCAATCATTCAATCAATCAATCAATCAATCAAATGAATCAAAGAAAAGCGACCCATACTATACTGTGAAAAACCAAGTTATATGAATTTAATTAAAGTAGAAAAATTATTTGAAGTAATATTTGCGTATGATAGTGAACAGTCAATGTATATCTCTTCGTAAAAATCGCTGTCAAATGCGTTTCCTAGCAGTCCACTTTTTTTATTGCAATCCAGGTTGCCTGCAATATATTTTTTAAAGCAACGTTCTACGACAATGATAATAAAAATTCAAATGGTACCTTATTATTTTTCGGTCGATGTTATCACATTTTCGATGAACTCTCTATAGTAATTAACACTAGAGTGAACATTAAATTGATATCGGTTTAAAAACTCGAGAGAGAAGTTTCCCCATGATCTATTCGGACATGTACTCCGTGTGATTCCGATAAGGTTATTGTTTGCGTCCAAAAGCGGTCCACCACTATCACCCTAGAAGGCAAATGTTTCTGTTAAAAGTCATCATTTTCCTGCAATATCACATTTATTTCCACTTACACAACTTGCAAGTACATATGGTTCGGCAAACGTAGTTAGAAAATTTTTGTTCATTACAAATTTTTGATTCGTCACCAATTTAAACTGATGCTGGCAATGGTCAGGAGTTAAAATTCTTACATACCCCTTGCGCAAGACCATTGTAAATGGATTTTCTTTTATGAAATTCCAGCCAAATATCGATGCCTTCGTTCGATAGAGCGGTTGGTCATTTAAATACGTGAGGGAGATAGGTATTATACGTTTTTTATTTGCGGGTGATAATAACTGGAAAGTATATTCTTCATTATACTATAATACGTCTTAGTTGGCAAAACTGATTACCTTAACGATTGCCACATCATTCACTGGAAACTCGATAGGTTTTTTATTATGTCGAGCCCAAGAGTCGTATATTAACCATGAATCGATTGCAAAACTGAAATAGGACGTTGTCCAGTCTTCTCCGGCAACGATCGCCTCGATTGAATTTTCTATTTTGTCTTCAAAACAATGTGCAGCTGTTATAATATGTTGTTGCGTAATAAATGATCCGGTACAAAAGTTTTCATAGTTCAACTGTTCTGAAATTTTTGTTCTGAATGATACAATGAAAGGGAATTCACAAGACTTCACCGTGTAAACGTATTCACCTATTAGTGGATTAGATTTTAGAAAAACGAATACTTGAACTGAAATTCGAATAATTGAATGAGTTTCAAATTTTTATATAATTAATGTAGATGAGTAATCGGCTACTACCATTCAAGAACATACACACTGAAAACCGAATCATGGCGTATGTTATCGAGTATTTAAACATCTGTTTGGGAGACTCCGTTAAGAAATTCAGCTGTTGCTAAACTGCGAAATTTACAAGTTATTTGACTGTCATGTAAAAAAATTCTATTAAAGTTATCATCATAAACGTTTTCTTATCATAGAGTGCTAGATAATTTTTTTTATTTTATTCTTTTTAGGATTTAAAATCTTAATTAGGTGTCCTAGAAAATTCCTTTATTCGTAAAACTTTTTTCTTCTTTTTATATGTGGTTTCACGCTTTTCTGAATGTTAGAGTAGACGAAAATCATTTTAAAAAAGCTCATTTTCATTTTTTAGATTAGTATTCTAGAGTAAGTGAAGGATTTTTCAAAATAGTTATTTTTACGATTTTTATGAGATCTTTTCAAATTCATCAAAAAAATTTTTTTATTAATTAGTAAATGTTCTCATAAAAATAGTAAAATTAATTATACTGACAAATTTTTCACTTAATGTGGATTTAAAGAAAGATAAAGAGAAGTTCAAAAATGATTTTAGTTCAATCTAACGTTCAGAAAATCGTGGAAAACTACTTTTTTTTTCTAAAAATAAGGTGTTACTGTTAAAAGGACTTTCTATGGCATCTAATTAAAATTTTAGAACTCAAATAAAAAAAAACGAAATCCTTTACCGAGTCTTACATGATGAAAAATATTCACAACAATAACTTTAGTCTATTGAGCCTGAATATACAAAAGTTCACAATAAGTTTAACGTCTATTTTTTTTTTGTGAAAATAGGTTGTGAAAAATATGTAACTAGATATATTTGACGTTGAATTTAATGAGCTTTCAGAATCTTATCAAATTTTTCGAAAATTCTACCTGTCAAATTTTATATAAAAATTTTATATAATATATATCTTTTTTCATAGCTGAACAGACAGAAGCGGAAGATAGGGACGCAAGAGTTGCAGGCACACCTACATACGTACACATATACACAAATCACACACACATACACATACACACACACAAACATACACATATACACACACAAAACACATACATTATCAATTACACAAACTGGACACGAGACACAATTGTAATATAAGAAAAGAAAACCAAATGTAACATATAAGTTGTAAATAAATAAACTATTTTTTTTTATAAAAAGACAGGGTTTAAAAAAAATTTTTTTCGACACTCCGTGCGCAAAGTGCGTCTTTCCCGCACGCTCGGCAGAAAACGTGCGTTGAAAATCGCACTTTCCACACGTCGTATCAAAAAATACGGTACGGCACATGTTCGGGAAAGAGTTTCTCGTCTCGTGTATCTTTCCACCCTCGCTTCGCTCGGGCGTAAATGCCACACGAGACAAGAATCTACTTTCCCGCACTTGTATCGTAATGTACTATTTCTTTATCTCAATTTTTCACATGGAAGTCTTTTAAATTTCTATGTTTGGAGTCAAAATATCGTGTCCTCGAGTCCTGAACTTTAAAGTGTATTGGTTCAAATTTTGAAAAAAGTTTTAAGCACACAAAATAGTGGCTGAAAAGTGAAGAAATCTTCAAAAACTTCTAGATATTATTATTCGGAAACGATGGACGTTCGAAAACATTTTACTTAAGAAAAAGTTCTCAGGATTAATCAAAGAACATGTCGAAATTTTTTCAGAATTTTTCGAAAATTTTTTTAAGTTTTCAAAATTGTCAAACTTTTTCTTCGGTAAAATTTTTTCCGAAAGTCCATCGTTTTCAAGCAAAATTCTTTAAATTTTTAACGTTTAATCTGAGGTTTTTTCTAGTTCACTTTCGGGACTTCGTAATTCCGAAGGGTATCTATTCAGCTATGATATTTATTGTGGCAAAAGTTCAAACATTTACTCAGCTGATAACAAAGTAAAATGATGTAAATGTGCCTTACAAAGTCGTGTGTGTCGTTTTGATGATGAACCAATAACTGCTTATTACTATTTGTTCAAAGAAAATTAATCAGTATCGTTTTTGTTAATTGTTTTGTGACCCTGATTTGTTGATTCATCTGCAATCAATTGTCTTGAGGTCTACTGGTACCGTGAGTAAAAAAGAATAAACATTTATAATGAATTGGACAAGAAAGCAGTAAGAGGTACAGTCTCTGGCAAACACGAAAAAATAAGTGGTTTAATTTTTTTCACTATAATGGATTCAAAGCCCATATCCCTACTTTCAACCGCAGCAGATGTTGAAACAATATCAACTGCCAAAAGATATTCTAAAGAATAGAAAAGTAAAAATTTACTTTTACCTAGAACATTTACACTCTACAATAAATACATAGGTGGTGTCGACCTACATTATGGACATTGTAGCAATTTGATGCCATGTATACAAGCCAAAAGATAGACTTGGCCAATATTCCTTCGTCTAATTCAATCATCGATAACCAATGTACTTGAAATGTATAATTTATTGAATAACGCCAAAAAAATTGAATCGAAAGATATAGTTTTAACGATTGCTGAAGCTTATCTCGTCAAAACCAGAAAACAACAAAATTTTTCATGAAATATCGAAGAACGCTCAAAAAAGAAATTGCAAGAATTTCCAAAAATGCTCAAAGAGAACTAACAAATTATGTAAGAATTGTGACACCTGTTTCCTTTAAAAAAATAAAAAACGTAAAACAAAAAACAAACATAAAAAAATGAGAAGAGGTTCTTCGTGTACATTTACCTCTATGAGGTGAGAACCGGATAATTTCAAAAACTTTTTGACGATTTTTACACATTTCAATCGTTATTTTGTGTACTTTTTTTCAAAATTTTAACCGGTATACTTTGAAGCTCAAGACTTGAGGACACGATAGTTTTACTCTAAACTTGAAAATTTAAATGATTTCAGTGAAAAATTAAAATGAATTAAATATTTTTTTTTAAACCTTGTTTTTTTTTTAAATCGTAATCATTGTAGGGATTATGGCGAGAATTTGAACAATGACGCTCATTTTGTTTAGCCTGCGGAAATTGGATATTAAAGATTATCCGCTATGAATTAATTGATATTTTAAGGTAATACAGGAAAGAAACATAATTTTCGTATACGATTCCGTTAAGGATTTGCCAGGTTTTTATCGCCATTAATCTGTGTGTATCTTTTTCGATTCAAAATAGTTCTATTCTGTTTAATATAGTGTAAAATTCACAAGCATTTATTTGCTGAACTGTATATTATATTGAGCTTTATGTTTTGAAACTATTTCTTGAACAGTATACTGTTATTTTTTCCAGTTAATGTTACGATTTTTCGATAGAAATATCTGTTGATACTATAAACATTCAATTTGTATTGATTCACAATCCTTTTAAAAACAAATTTTAAAAACAAATTAAATTTAAACTGATTTAAAATTTTAAAATAAAAAATAAAAAAATATAAAAAATACAATATAAAATAAAATATAAAATATAAAAAAATATCAAATATAAAATATAAAATAAAAAATATAAAAGAAATTGATTCAGAAATCTATGATTGAATTACACAATTTGAATAATAAATACACTTTAAAATGGAAGATTTTTTGCGTAGAAACTTGCGTAGGAACTTGCGTAGATAATCATAAAATTGATTTAAAACAATATCGATATTTACTTTTGGTTTTATAACGAAATGTCTAAATAGTGAAAACATAAAAATTATAACAGGATTCTTCTTTTATAATTAATACAGCATTGTAGAATTTATAATTATTATATAGTAGATTTTTTAAATAATTTTTTCCACGTTATAAGTCATAAAACATTATGTAGCTATTTTTAAAAGAAAAAGATTGGAAATATCACAATAAGATAATTTTAATGATAAAAATGTAGAAAGAGCTACGAAATTACCTTGCAAATCTTATATCTATAAATTCTCCGCGCTGATTGTAGCTACGAGTAAAGTAGTCGTAGTTTTGCTAACCTCTCTACAGCATGGCTAAGCATCGAAATTAGAAATAAACGCAGCTTAATTTCTGAGGAATTTCTTTGATTAAGTGATCTATGCCATGCTGGCTTTTCTCTCTACGAAATCTTAGAGTCTCAATTCTTGAGATTAAGTTTTTGCTGAGCAAGAAGTGTTGGATTTCATAAAGCGATGATAGCGTTTAAACATCAGTTTATACGCGCAGAGTGAAGAAAGGTTAAGGATTAGTTAATGTGTCATTAATAAGTTCCTCTTTGAGCTCCATATTCCAGGTCATGTGTATTGTGGTTCGGTAACTATATTACAGGAAAGACTTGCTTAAGGCATCAATCCTTTCGATACGGCTTGCAGAGAGCACACTATAACTTAATCTAAAAATCGAGAAAGTATAAAGGTTAGAAAAAATGCAACTAGAACTTTAGCTAAGAAAGCTTGAAAGCAAGAAATTGATAAAAATGCAGTATTGGTGAAATGGCAGCTGCTTTCGCTGTAACTCACATCATTAAATTGAAATCTTAATTCGTATAGGACTGAAGAAAAAAATACAAAGAAAACTAAATCAAAAAGATTTAAGACTTTCACCCTTATCCTTTCCCTATCAGAAGTCTGACTTTGATATGTTACAAAGCTATTAAACTTATATCCTTGCTAGTGTTGATTATTATAGTTATATTTCATACGATCTTTTAGAGACTCAGTTGGTTAACATTGGACGATTTTTCCAAAGGAAATTGACTCATTCACCTTTCTTTTCGATCTAAAGTATATCTTTTGTTACACCACGAAGCTTTCCGACTTATACCCTTGACTCCGTTGGTGATATATTTCATTTGATCGTCAGAAAATCTAACTAAGTAAAATTTAATTATTACCTGCAAAGCAAGCGAAAAGCAACAGTGCAACTCAAGTTTGATATATATTTTATTACTTTTGAACTATTTATACTGCCCTTTTGACTTACAGTAACTTATTACAATATTTTAGATTCATTGCATATCAAATTTACTTAAAATTTAAAACTCGTTAATTGTTACTTGCATGAAAAAATAATTTAACGCATTTTGAGTCACAAACTTAATAAAAATAAACTTCAAAGTTCAGTCAAATTTATTACACTAGTTTGATCTTTTAGAATAACCACACACCAATAAAAAGTCGTACTAAAGTCATACTGTAGGGAGAAAATAACACAGATCTAGAAAATTTAACTAAAGTCCGGAACCAGAGAACAATATTGTCTACCCGAAGTATTTTGACACGTTGATTATGAATCTAACCAATTCTAATAATAGAATTGCTCTATTACCCTAGGTTTTATAAATATCTTAACCTAAAAACACGATTTTCTACTATAGTCAAGCTTCTTCCACATTATAAATTATTGATTTGTTGTAAATTACATCAAACTATCTCAAAGTATTATCCTTATCCTTCAAAATCCTTTCCTTAGATTTGAAAAATATTTTTTTTTCGCTGAGTTATACACAAATTAAGTTCGTGAACTTTAATTACCTTAATATTCGATCCTATCCTTCCTATATTACACAAACCGACCAAATGTAAACAATAAAAAATCTAGAAAACAAACAACATGTACTTTAAGTATTTTGATGCGTTGAATCTAAATCCGATCGCAGAACTGATCCATAATCATCCTGAGTTACCAAGATATTATAACCTTCAAGTCCGAAAACTGTATTTTCGAAATATTCGGAGTTGTATTACGTTGTCTATTAATTTCTTTTCTAAAAACAATATGTTATTCGAAACTATCACCTGTTCATAGGTTATATTTAAATTCTCAGTCTTGACTTTTGTAATTCCAGATTCATATGAACAGGAGTTTTTTTATGGTGATTAAAAATCCTGCTAATTACAAAGTGTAATGATTAATAGCAAAAATTGTCTATGTTTGCTTTTGAAGTTAGGAACTTTCGTATACCTTATACGTTTAAAAAAATTGAGGTTAAATTTGGACTTAGAAATTCAAAAATTGAAAAAAAAAAAATATACTAGCTATTCAGAATAATGGTTCTAAAATTGGTTCCGAAGTATTTTTGTGATAAATACGAGTACACAAGGAAAATCATCATGAATCACGGAAAAAATAAAATATTTAGTTGATCATCAAAAATTGTCATAAGTTGTGTCTTCAAGTAGTTACCTTTTTATTCAATTCAAATTGCCTGAACTTTATTTTGTAAAATAAAGTTCTACTAGATATAAATAAAAAAAACTTAAATAGTACATCTTATTAATCTTCGGTCAATGTTGTAACATTTTCAATGAACTCTCTATAGTAATCGACACTCAAATGAACGGTTACTTTATATTTCTTTAAAAACTCGGGAGGAAAGTTACCCCATTTTATAGTCGGACATATACCCCGTGTGACTCCTAAAAGGATATTGTCCTTGTCCAAAAGCGGTCCACCACTATCACCCTAGAATGTAGATGTTTCTGATAAAAATCATTATTTGTTTGCAATACAAAATAATATTTGTTCTTACTTACACAACTTGAGAGTATATATGGATCAGCTGATGTTGTCAGATAATTTTCACTTACTTTAATTTTTCTATTAGCCACCAATTTTAATAGATGCTCGGACTCGTAGGGTCTTAATATCGTTACTTTCCCTTGTAGTAAATGCATTGTAGATGAATTATCATATATGCCTACCCAGCCAACTATCATTGCCTTTGTTCCGTAGAGTTGTTTGTTATTTAAATTCGTGAGGTGGGCAGGTGTTATACCATCGTGACGTACCGGTAATGATAACTAGAAAATATATTCATCAAAGCTTATATTCCACTATATCATATCTACCAAAACTTTTTACCTTAACAATTGCCACATCATTTATTGGAAACTCGATAGTTTTTTCATTCGCTCGAGCCCAGGAGTCGTATATACACCACGAATCGATTGCATAACTGAAATAGGACGTTGTCCAGTCCTTCCCGGCAAAGATCGCCTCGATTTCATTTTGTATTCTATGTTGAAAACAGTGTGCAACTGTTATAATATGTTTCTGCGTAATAAGTGATCCGGTACAAAAATATTCACTGTTTAACCGTTCTTTCGAACTTTTTTGTTTAAATAATACAATAAAAGGGAATTCATGAGGATTCGCTGGAAAAATATGTTCACCTACTAGTGGATCAGCTTTTACACAAAGGAATATTTGAGCTGAAATCAGAATGATTAAATTAATCAAAATATACATTTAATAAATGTAGATGAATAATAGTTTAGTACCAATCAAGAAAATATATGCTAAAAACAGAATCATGGTGAAAGTTTACGAATAATCAATCACCTATTTGTGAGTCACGATAAAATTGTAGAAGTATTATGAAAAGTCAGGTCAGCGTAACTGTAAAAGATGTCGATTTGTTTTTGCAACATTATCAACTGCACGAGGAAAATCGTTTTCGCATTATCAAACTAGATGAAAGTAAAACATGGTTGATCGTAAAGTCAGCCTTGATGCGCTAACAAGTTACGACATAATAATAAAATCATCATTTCTTTTACCGTGACATTCATTTTCGCATATGCGTCTTGCATTAAAGTATAGTTTATGATCAGGTGATATTTCTTTTCTAAAAGAGATTTTTAATATATAATTGATCAATTATATGAAATCCTTTCGCGAGTTGAAATGAGCTACAGGCTATTTGTGATCCTTTGATATTTTTCACATTCTTCATTACGTCTCTGTAATGATTAGTATTTGCATAAATTGCAATAAATTTTTTTATTTTAAAAAAGGTCTGTATAAGGTTCTATGATTTTTAATGCGACAAAATCCTAAAATAACAATTTATTTTATTTGAAATCTATTTCCTGATTATCTATACATAATAATCTTTAGCACAAACACTATTCTTTATTTAAATAATTAATGCATTTTTTCAATAGTTATTTAACGTGTAATCTAATTAAGAATTTTTTATACAACTTTTTGCTATGACGTGGCAATTCTATATCTTTGCTGTCCACACTATATTGCAATGTTTATAATAAATTGTTTATAATAAATTATGTAATAGTTTATATTTGTTTGAAAAATTCAGATAAAAATAGTTAAAGTATCAAATATAAGATAAATTCTTATTCTACAGTTACACGTTAAGCATATACTAGTATTTTAATATCGTAAAAACGTAATAAATTAAGATAATAAATAGATAATTAAAGCATTTTCATAGTTAATATACCTATACCTAATTGGTTATGACGTCACGTTTCTTATGAGTAATAGATATGATTTGCTGCAAATAACATGTACAGATATACTAATTTATTTGCACATAATTTTTTATTACTTTAATATGAAATAATCATACGTAGGATGAATTGCTGCATGCAAGCACTTTAGACATACTACATGACTTATACATTATTATATAAAAATATTTCTACAAAAATAGGAAAACTGTTGAATTTCATTTTACATCTGAATCGTGACGAGGAATATACAACAAGTATTACGTTCTTGAAAACTGTAATATTGTTATCTTTCTACGAGTTTCCAGTTAAGTTGCATTTTTGCGATTTCTGCATCGAAATTGATAATCGTACACCCACCGGCAATGTCTTCTGTAGCAACGTTTTGAAGTTCACTACGAAAATTAAAATAATCATATGTTCTAAATTTACTGATAGTTCCAGTCTACATATTTTTTTCATTCGTAGTGAAACACTATATAAAATAAATTAAAATAATAATTGATAATTATTTATTTTATAAAATAAAATTAAACTAAATCCAATAATTTATTTGTTTTATTGATCATTATACAATGCAAACCGAATATTTTAATTATAATAATTAATATGAATACAAATTATTGACTAAATTTCTATGGCTTCAATTTAATTATTATTAATTAAATATTTTTATTATCTTTAATTTGCAATGTATTTTTTCTCTATCCTCTGGTATTCTTGCCACCGATCAAACTTCACTGAGATGCGAAAGCAATCTTGAAACCAAAGAGTGCAGGTATACTAGGAGGTTCAGTCCTTTCTCCAAGTGTCATTCTACATTAAGCCATTTCATTATGTCTAACTTTTTTGAGATAACATACCATCAAAAAGTTGGTTTTCTGATGCATTATTTGCTATGATTGACTATTTTGCAATAATCAATATCTGTAATATCTGTAATTTCACAGTATTCAACTTCCTGAGTTGCATCACCTAATAAACACCACACTAATTACTTCTGCAGCCTAGATACAAAATGTGGTTCAGTTCCAATATAATGTTTTGATAGATAAGTTAAAACCATACCTTGCTTTTCATTTCAAAAACTGTGTAGCATACAAAAACAACCTACCATGAAGACAGAATTAAGTAAAGATCCAAAGCTCCTTTGACCATACCAAGATTCAACATTGTATAGCCTAATACTGTTTGAAGATCTATACAAACCTCATACTACTTGCAAAAAATAGATCCATCCTAAAAAAAACTGTAGTTTTTACAGATTTTTAGTGTTCCATCAAATATTCTACCTATGATACGGAACGTTCAATTGTCCTGTTATGCAGCGCTGATATAATGCTTAGACTTTTAGTGCCCAATTTTTAGTATTGTGTATGAAATTCTAAAATATAAAATTTGAATAAGCAAGCATTTGTAGAAAATATTGTTTAAATATTGTATCAATACCAGAAGTGATAGTAACTTATATTTAAATAAGCTATGATTTTATCACCTTTCGGTTTTGATACTTTAAGATGGAAGCTATATTAAAAATAATTATTTTTATTTCAATACTTTTAACTACTTAAATCAACTTACAATACTGATACCTATATACTACCAAATTTAACTTGTTCAGTTTCTTCTGGAAATTCTATTTTTTCTAAACGTAAGTAAAAAAAAGTACTTCATTAGCTTCTTCCAAAATCAGTTAATGATTGTATGTAATTTAGTCTAAAGATCCATCAAATAGCACTAGGAAAAAATTTTTTAAGTTGCTTATTGCACAATATTACTTTAGCAAGATATGATAGCTCTACTTTATAACATTTTTATTACACTGATCTTGCAATAACAAATTTATGCTTATTAGTTTTTAGAGCAGTACTAGTTTATATTCTATCATACTTTGGATGTGACCACCCATTCCATATATTCAAATTATGGAATATCACTGTCTCTGGATAAAATACAAACATTTTAGTTATATTCTTTTGTTATAAATAAATCAATAACGATTTTTAGTTGCCTTTATTTAATTAAATCGATATTTGGAGCAAAATGACAGTTCCATCAGGTTTATTATAAATGATATTATGATAACAGAAAAATAATCAAAGAGTATTTGTCTGTCGAATTAAGATACGGATATTGGCTGGAAAGTGAAAATTATACTGAAAGTAATCATTGGATTTAATTTCATATTAATTTATTGAAAGCTGTAAGCGAAAGGATGTTAAATAAATTCAAAAGAAGGGAAATATCTATCAGAGGTAAATATTTTAAATAAAAATATTTTAATATGATAAGATCCTAGTTATTCCTTTAAAGTTCAACGAGTAGTTACGCTTGCAAAACATCTTGTGAATCTTATCATTACCAATACAATGTTGCGGAACTTAGAAATGTTTTCCAACAAAATTGTTCATATGTAAGTTATAGTTTATAAAATAATAAGAAACTAATTGAAACTAAAACAATTTTTTCAATTAACTTTGAAGAGTTGAAGATGGAGAAGATTATTTGAACTTCTAATCTGTTTGTCAAGTTTCATACCAAGTTTTAAGTTTTTATCCTTGAGTTTATTTTAATGTTGATTTGAATTTAGTATTGTTATAATAAATGGAATTAAACCTACAGAAGAAAATTTGACTAGATTGCGAACTTTACTAGAAAATAGATGGACTGTCGATGCAATTGCTTTACAACTACATTGCAATGTTAACACAGTAAAAAAACGGAGCGATCGTTTTAATGATGATGATACAGATCCCACTGTAGCATATATTTACTATTATATGTCCTACTCTATCATATGTTTACTATTATTAAGTAATTACTGTTATGTTTATTATTCTTAATTAATTACTAATTATAATAAATTTGAAAATGTAGTACCTGATAAATTACTAATTTTATCGTTCTTGTATTTTATTGAATAGTTGAAAATAAATGTTACTCTGTAATATTGAATTTTTTAAATTTATTACTTGATATAATGTCGATTTTATGATAATTATGTAGTAAATTATTATTCTCCTCAAGTTATAACTATATTTTATTATAATTATACTTACTTAATTATTCGTGATTGATAATAATCAAAAATTAATGTTTTTAAAGTTTTAATATTCAACACTCGCTCTAGTATTTGACCACGGATGAAAAAAATATGTAGACTAGAATCTATATAGGAAAATTTGGGTTATATATTTATTTTAATTGTTACGGATCAAGTTCGCGCAACTACGAGCGGGAAATTTTCAAACGCGCATGTGTCCAGCAGATGTTTGGAAAGGTTTAGGCAGAGATCTTTGTTTCTTTTTTGTCGTCGAGCGCACACCGCTAGTCTCCATTAAATTGGCCCGCGCGGCCTGTAGAGCGAAACCCTCATTAAATATCAACGCCTATTTATTTTAGTGTTCTTGCATTGTTACACGTCGTCGCTCGTCCGGCTTCATGGACGCACGTTTAGCGAAGGGGGGTCTATTGACACGTTTTCTTGGACTGGCTTGAAATGTTCGAAAGTCTGCTCGTCGTTGACAATCGTTGGAATAATTACGGCATATGCGACGAAGCTGTAGTTTTGGGTGTGTGAGTTGAGTGTAGCTCAACGTCTGCAGCGCGAGATGCGAATGGCATTTGTGTCCAAGAAGTATGAAGCCGAGAAAAAATGGCAAGCGGTTTCGAGGGGAGGCACATGCTCCCGTGGGATCTGGGAATCAGAGCTGCAATTATTTGTATTAGCATGTGTGAAGGACTGTTAATCTCCGCTTTGCCGTTGCTCGTCGCGATCAGCAAGGTTACTGTTTAGTTCGTAACCTAGGCGGTAAGCCCAACGACCCGGACATCGACCTCTGAACCCAGGCAAAGGGGATGTACAGCTCGGGCCCTGCAAGCGGGCGGGTCCGAGGCTGTATCGACAGTCTACGAGCAAGGCAGGAGGGGAGAGAGAGAGAAAGAGCGCGCTAGCGCTATTTATCTTTTAGGACCTCTACGGGTCACGCCCTTGGTTGGCGACGTCACCAAAAAGAGAAGGGAGGAAAATTTGCTTTTCAGAAAGAGAAAATTTGACGGCACTCTGACCTCAGGTCTCGCACGGGCAGGTTGTTCGTTTCCTTTGGTTAGATTGTAACGTGCGTGCGATTTGCGTTTACTGTAACCACGGTCGTATGCGTATGTTTATTGTGTATCGCTTCATTTATATTACTGTATTTTGTTACTTGATCTAATCTTATTTGCGAGTTGTTAATAAACGTGTCATCTGTAATATCAATTTAAATACGCACATTTATTCCTGCTCACCAACCCCAACATTAATTATCGTAGTGAACTTCAAAATGTTTCTACAGAATATATTGGCAGTGGGTGTACAAACATTGAATTTGTATTGAGTTACAATATCTTAAGAAAAATCAGTCCAATGTCATGATTTGCACATACACTTTGATAATTAATTCCCGTAAGAATTTGGTTTTTACCCCATATAAACCACCATTGTTTCCCTAAATAGTAATATGATTTCTATCGAAAATCCTAGCTTGAACTTATAGAACCTGTAGAACAACCATGTCCCATTGAAAAGCCATACTATACTGAGAAAAACTAAGTTACAAGAATCTAACTAATATACGATAGAACAATTATTTGCAACAATACTTTCGTATAATTTCGGTGGAGACTATTAGTAAAGACGCAAATTATAGATATTTTAAAATTATAGCATGATACTAAGTATAAGGTACCATAAACATATATTGAAGTTTTTAAATAGTAAGTCTATCTTTTTTGCAGAAATGTTAAAGGAATGCTGTAAATGCGAATATACTGATATCGTGATGCGTTTTGACAAATCCATAAGGACAATTATTATGAACCCCGAAGAAATAATAGTAAATTACAACCTGAACCTAAGGTCGCAAAATTATTCGCAAATCCGAGGCTTCGCCTCGAGTGCCAATTTATGAGCGTTATGGGCATATACTATTTTTTTGTTTGGTGAAATCGAAATTAATATGTTATCATCGAAGCTACGGTCGGGGAAATGCTACTTTCAGGCTCTGCTATATGAAAAAATTGTATATGGACCAAGGTCGGAAAATTAGTAAGCTCATAGAACGTATTTGACAACCACGACGTCGTCTCGATTATTAATTTTCACGTGCTATAGTCTGACCAATACTTTCTCGGTCTAGGTACGTAATTTACTATTTCTTGTCAACGAGCGGAAAATGCAAATTTCCGTCCCTTGGCAAGGCGAGAATTCTTACTTTCCGCCCACCCAGATATAAAAAATGTGATATACATTCCAGGAAATAAACCGTTAATCCTATAGTTTGTGATTTCCACAAGCTATGGCTTAGGAGATGTTTTGTATCCCCTATTTCCATAATGTACTATAAAATACGTGCAATGTACTACAGCTGATCGTGAATAGTCAATCCCTTTGTAAGAATTGCTGTCAAATTAATCTTCACCTAATTACTTTTTTATTTAATATTTTTTAAATTAAAGTTCTACGATATTGATACGAAAAACTAAAACGGTATTTTATTACTCTCCAAACAATATTATCGCATTTTCAATGAATTCTCTATAATAATAGACATTCAAATGAAGATTAATAATATATTGCCTATAAAACTCGAGAGAGAAGTTACCCCATCCCACACTTGGACATATACCCAGTGTAATTCCTAAAAGCACATTGTCTTTGTCCACAAGAGGTGCACCGCTATCACCCTAAAATATAAGTGATTCTATTGAAAGTTATCATTTGTCTGAAGTAAAATAAAATTTGTTGTCACTTACACAACTTGAGAGTATATATGGATCAGCAGACGAAGCTAGATAATTTTTCGTTATTTCATGATGTTCATTTGTCATCAATCTTAATCGATGTTCGTACTCGCAGTTAGTTAAAATTGTCACTTGTCCTTTGACTAACATAATATTGCCTGAATTTACACTTGAGATATTCCAGCCAAACATGAATGCATTCGTTCGATGGAGTTGTTGTTCATTCCACATCGTGATGTTGATTGGGGTTATAACTTCGCGATTTACCGGCGATGACAGCTGAAAATCACATTTTTCAACGTTTATATTCCATTAGAACTTAGTTCTCAAAACCGTTTACCTTAATAATCATGACATCGTTAGATAAAAACTCTATAGTTTTTCCAGTTGCTCGAGCCCAGGCATTGTATGTTACCCATGAATCTATTTCATAAATGAAATTGGGCGTTGTCCAATTTTCCTCAGCAACGATCACGTCGATTTCATGTATTTGTATAAAACGAAAACAATGTGCAGCTGTTATAATGTGTTTCTGCGTAATAAGTGCTCCAGTACAAATATGCTCCCTGTTCAACTGTTCCTCCGGAAATTTCCGTCTAATTGATGCAATAAAAGGAAATTCACGAGGATCCGCTGGAAAAACATGATCACCCACTAGTGGATTAGCTTTCATAAAAACGAATAGTTGAGCTAAAATCAGAATAATTTAACAAGTTTAAAATTTTTGTATAATTAATGTAGATGAGTAAGGGTCTAGTACCAATCAAGAAAATACCCGCTGAAAATCGAATCATGACGACCGTTACCGAATATTAAATCATTTATTTCGGAATCTTCGTTAAAATGTAATAATATTACCAAACTCCATATCAGCATAACTATGAAAAATGTTGATTTACCTTTGCGACGTTATCAACAGCACAAGGAAAATCATTTTCACAATATTAAGCAGAATGATAGTTAAGTTTTATGGATCATAAAGTCACCGTTGATGCAGCTACAAAAGTTATGACATAATAACGAAACTATCATTTCTTTTACTGCAATATTTATTTTCGCATAAGCGCCTTTTTTATTATAGTATAGTTTATGTTCATATGAAGTTTCATTCCAAACAGAGTTTTTAATAGATTGATCAACAAACTGGAATCATTTTGCAAGTTGAGATAAATAACAGGCTACTTATCATTCTCTGACGTTGTCATATTTTCCATCATATCCATAGAGTACTTGGTATTTGCATGACCATCGATTTAGAAATAATTTCAGTCACACAATTCCTACGGTAATTTGGTCATCACCATAATCATAACCTACTATCGTAAATTTTTCAAGGTCGCTGATTATGAAAATGAAGTCAGATTTTATAAATTTAAAATGGTGGATCCAATATGACCCCAGAAAATGTTGACTATTAAATGTGCACTAAAAATTCTTTTTACAATGTTTTTCGGGTTAGATGATTCCATTTCCATTGACGTACTTGAAACTCATTATGAAACACCTTCTTCCTTTGATACATGGGCTTAGGACAGTCTATGGCAAAGTTTTTTTTTATTTTTTAATTTTTCTTTTTTTTTTCTTTCATTTTTTGTATTTTTGCTTTTTTTGATTGCAAGTATGAGTTGCGACGGAGGAGAGGGAGGGGAAAAATAAGTAGTAGACAATTTCCCGGTCTTGACTGCCGCCAGCGGCGCAGTTAGCTGATAATGTGCAGTTTTTATTTGTTTGGGCGCCAGCTACCGTGTCCTCGCGTTAGGAGGGCAGGTAGCACTGCAACATCTCGGCATGTCGGCGGGCTGGTGGTGGTCCTGCTGGTCTCTGTAATTGTCGGGTGGTTTCGACCGCCGTCTCCTTCCTCGTAGTCGTCGTCGTCGACCTCGCGCGCGATCACCTGCGTGAGACGAAGGAGAAAAAAAGGGAGCGCGAAGTCCTAGACAGAAATCGTTTGGGCCCGGAAAAAGGGAAACACATCGAACGAAAGAGAAAAGGGACAACGGGTGGTTTTTAGCCACCCACGGCTGCAGCTCGTTCGGCTAGTCAGGTGTTGTCCGGGGCACGATGGCTCTTGGCTCAGAAGCGGGTATATCGGCGTCGCAGGGGCGCCTCGGCTGACGGATCAGTAGTCGGGAGAGAAGGTTCCCTCCGGTCCTTCGTTGACTGGTGACGTGGGTCACGCGATCACGCGGTTATCTGACGGACTGGCGATTAAATCATTCGCGTACGCGCTTGCTAACCTCGGGACCGATCGCGAAAGCTACGGGGGATGAGGTAATCAAGTAGGTACAGTTAATAACAAAACCATAATTAATAAGACTTGAATTTATTAGGCCAACATTCCCCTTGGTCAGCCCAGCAGTCAATCCCTCGCGATGGTCTACCTAGTCTAAGTTAATAGGGGCACGAATGGCGGACCGCGACGCAACGTCGACTTAGGCGGGCGATAGCTGGGACGGACAGTCCCGTGGATTGCGAATGCGATTACGTAATATCGAGTTACCTACTTCGCGACGAAAATTCAAGCTCGCTTGAGGTAAACACACGTGCGAGGAATCGGTCGGTCGCGCGAAGGTTAGTCACTACTCGACCGATGTTGTTAACACTTCACAGCAACAATCACGTAACGAAACAAGGGCTAGTGATGTGTGCACGGAAAACTCGTCGGTCGGACGATGGTCGTACGCGACTCGCGCAATATACATTCGACCGGTTTCACAAAGGAGTCTATCGACACGCGTATGAATTCCTCTCCTGCGCGAAGGTCATGCTGTGTTTCATCAAAATAGCAACTCGCGGGGGAAAATCGCTTCGAGGAAAACTGGTAACAAGTACGCACACGAACGCTTCGCTTTCCGCGCGACAACGGGGAAAAACTCATTTGTCGGTCGATAAATCGGTAAGGCTAAGCGACGAATTTACGGTACATAGACGTGCGCACTCAAAGAATTTGTCTTTCGGACAACGGACAATGTAACGGCACAACGAAGAAATCGCCCGGAAGGTCAGCGACGAAAGTATGCATGAAAACGGTATCATCGGACGCGCGAGGGTCGTGCGGCACTCCCGTAACGCGGACGTTCGGTAATCGCGCGATGATTAATAGAGAAGCGTACTTACTCGAGCACTTTCTTAAAACGATCGCGGCCGCGGCCACCGACGCTAATGCTGCTGTAGTACCGCTACCGTTACTGCCGTCGATGCTGCCGTTGCTGCTGCTATCGCTACTCGCTGTTCTGTGTTGCTGCTGCTCTGCTGTTGCTGCTGTTGTTGCTATTTGCTCACTCTCCGCTCACTTGCTGCTTACTTACTGCTTACTCACTGCTTACTCACTGCTCACGGCACACGCGCAAAAATCACCGATCGGCTCCAGGGCTCAGCGGCGCACTGGTCGGCACCAGAGTTCAGCGAGTATATATGGTTCGGCGAAAGTAGCCAGATCATTTTCATTTACTATAATTTTTCGATTAGTCACCAATTTTAATAGATTCTCGGACTTAGCGGAATATAAAATCGTCACGTCCCCTTGCAGTAAGACCATTGAGAGCGAATTTTCATTTATGTATTTCCAGCCAACTATAATTGGCGTCGTCCCATATAGTTATTTGTTATTCAAATTTGTATGGGAGACAGGTGTTATACCATCGTGATTTACCAGCGATTTTAACTAGAAAATGTATTATTTAACGTTTATATTCCACTAAGTCTTTGTTCTCAAAACCGTTTACCTTAACGATTGCCATATCGTCAAATGGATACACAATAGTTTTTTCATTTGCTAGAGCCCATGGGTCATATAACAACCAATAATCAATTCCGTGATAGACATAGGACCTTATCCAATATTGCCCCACAGTGATCACTTCGATTTCACTTTCTATTCTTTCTTCAAAACAGTGTGCAGCTGTTATAACGTGTATCTGCGTAATAACTGATCCAGTACAGAAGTGTTCACTGTCTAACAGTGCTTCCGAATCTTTTTGTCTAAATGAAACAATGAAAAAGAATTTTTGAGGATCCGCTCGAAAAATACGTTTACCCATAAGTGGATCAGCTTTGATAAAAAATAAAACTTGAGCTGAAATTCGAATGATTTAATTAATCAAAAATTTTTATTTAATAAATGTAGATAAATAATAGCTAATTACCAGTCAAGAAAATATACACCGAAAACTGAATCATGGTGAACGTTAACAAATAGTTAAACAACTGTTCAGGAGTTTCCGTTAAATTGTAAAAATATTATGAAACATCAGCATAATACTGCGGGAGATACGATTTCTTTTTGGGATACTACAAGCTGTCTATCAGGGAAATCGTTTTCACATGAAGAAGCAGAACGGAAGTAAAGTTTTATTCATCGTAAAGTCTGTGTTCATGTTTCAACAAAAGTTACGTAATAATAAGGAAACCATCTTTTTTTACTGCGAAATTCAGTTTCGTACATTCGTCTTTTTTTTAGAGTATAGTTTATGTTCACATGACATTATTTTCCAAACAGAGATTTTGAATATATTAATCAACAAACTAAAATTCTTGTACCAGTTAAGAGCAGTTGCAGGCTATTTGTCATCCTCTGACATTTACCACTTTCTCCATCATGTCTATGCAGTAATCTCTATTTGCATAACCGTTAATTTCAATTGATTTAAAAGATCCTCGGAAAAGTTTTGTAGGTTACATGATTCAAAAATAAATTTATTATGACCCTCAGAAGAATGTGGTTTACATCCAACGACAGCTATCTTTTCAATAACCATCATATATTCATTTCTACCAGGAAAGGTAACTTTGCTATTATTTAAGAAAACCATAGACAGACAAGAGCGGATTTTTTAAGTTGTCATTACAATGTTAATTTTCTTCTAATATAGATATAATAATTGACTTTTCTCAATCTTAAAGTACTTTCAATAGCGTAAGATTTTCTTGTTATAAGTTCAAACATCTCCATCAAGAGTCCCGTAATGTTATCGTTTGTATAGGATTTATTTTTCATTTGTTTTACTAACTAGTTGAGAACAAAAATTAATTTTGGTTTTGGTTCGAGATTCAGATTTAAGATTTAAATTAGGCTTTGGAATGGGAATCTGAATTCGGAAATGAACGGAGCCATTTTTAAATAACACTATTTTTCACATTTCAGAACGAATTTTTATTTATTGATTTTCTACTTTTAATGGTAAAAGTAGAAAATACTTTTACCATTAAAAGAACTTACTCTTAAAGAATTTATAAAACTAGGAAAATTTATAAATTTTATATCTAAAACGTGAGGAGGAAAAAATAAGAACGTTATACTTTTAAGTTGTACAATGAATAGGGCTATGTTATATTTTTAAGAATTTCAAGTTAATATTACGTTTTTCGATAGGAATTTGAGCAAATAATACTTATATAAATTCTTAATACGTAATGAACCACAAACTCGTCAAGAAAATTATTTCAACGTCAATGATTGTAAGAATACTTTGGTAATTCATCCCTATGAGACGTCTGTTTTTATCCAACAATGGTAACCGATTTTTCTCTCAACAACGATTTGATTACTGCCGAAAATCCTAGTTTGAACCTGTAGAACCTGTGGAACAACCATGCATCAATGAAAAGGCACACCATACTAAGAAAACACAAGTTATATGCATTTAACTAAAGTCAAAAATTATTTGCAACAATACTTACTATAGCTTGGATGGAGACTGTCTATTAGAAAAAATGCATATTATAGAGATTCAACAATTGAAGCATCATACTAATTATATTGTATCATCGAAAAACATGACCATTTCTAAATGGTATGCATGACTTTTGTATGAAATTATTAGAAAATGTATTAAATACGAATATTCTCAAATCGTGGTGTATTTTAACGACTCCTTAAAGAAATTCGCGATAAACAAAGAATAAAGTAATATATTTAGTTGATCATAAATAGTTAATGTTACTTTTGTTCAAAAATTTGCCATCCAATGCGTCTTTAAGCAGACACCTTTTTATTTTATTCCCAATTTTTTACAATCTATTTTTTAAAGTACAGATCTACGGCATTGATTTACGGCATAAAATTGGTATCTTATTGTCTTCAGCTAATGTCGTCACATTTTCAATGAATTCTCTATAGTAATGGACACTTGAATGAATATTAATTTTATACAAATTTAAAAATTCCTCAGAGAAGTCACCCCAAGTAATATTGGGAGTTGTACCGCGTGTGACACCTAAAAGAAAATTGTTTTTGTCCAAAAGCGGTCCACCGCTATCACCCTAAAGTGTAAAGTAATATGTTGACGTTGAAAATCATTATTTGCCTGTGCTGATAAATAAAATTCGCTAATTTTCTTACATTATTTGGGAGTATATATGGTTCGGCGTACGTAGCCAGAACATTGTCTTTTATATCATATTTTAGATTAGCCACCAATTTTACCAGATGGTCGGACTTGGAGGGTGTTAATATTGTTACTTTTCCTTGCATTAAGTAATTTGCAGGTGGATTATAAGATAGGCCTAGCCAGCCAATTATTATTGCCTTTGTTCCATAGAGTTGTTTGTTATTCAAATTCGTGAGGCGGACAGGTGTTATACTATCGCGATTTACCGATAATGATAACTAGAAAATATATTCATCAAAGTTTATATTCCACTATATCATATCTACCAAAACTTTTTACCTTAATAATTGCCACATCATTTGTGAAAAATTTGATAGTTTTTCCATTTGCTCGAGCCCACGAGTCATATGTTAACCATGAATCGATTTCATACCGAGTTGCATAGGGCTCTGTCCGATTATACCCGACAAGGTACACCACGATATTATCTTTTGTTCTATTATTAAAACAGTGTGCAGCTGTTAATACGTGTCTCTGCGTAATAACTGTACCGGTACAGAAGTGTCGATAGGCTAATATTCCTTCAATATACTTTAGTCTAAGTGACACAACGAAAGGGCATTGTCGATAATCCACTGAAAAAATACGTTCACCTATAAGTGGATCAGTTTTGATCAAGGTGAATACTTGAGCTGAAATTAGAAAGATTCGATTCATCCAAAATGTATATATAAGAAATGTCAATGATAATAATCGAGTACCAATCAAGAAAATATACGCCGGCAACTGAATCATGGTAAAAGTTAACGAATGGTCAATCATATGTTCGTGAGTCTCCGTTAAATTATAGAAGTATTATGAAACGTCTTGTTAGCATAATATTGTACAAAATGTCGATTTGTTATTGCAACATTATCAACTGCTTGAAGAAAATCGTTTTCACATTATCAAAATAGCTGGAAGTAATGTTTAGGTGGTCGTAAAATTTAGCGTTGGACCAGATACAAAAGTCACGACACAATAACGAAATACTGTTGACATACTGACATTTATTTTTGCATATTTGCCTTTTTTGTTAGCGAATAGTTTACGATCGTGCGTCATTTCCTTTCGAGAAAAAACTGTTTGAATAAACAGTCTGATGTTTGTAATATTCTCAAAAAAAAAGAAAAAAATGATAGTGATTGGATATAGCATGACTAGTACGTTTGTATTGATGAAAGAAACTACTAAATGACCTTAAAAATTAAACACAGCGATGAGATTAATTTAAAATAATCTAAATAAACAAATGTGGTGCACTCGCGTGAATTAAGCGAAGCATAACGCTGGAAACTTATAAATTTAAAAATTATAGTTATCTAAAATAATGCTCAACAGAGTGACTTAAATTACGGCGATCCGAAATCATAGTGCACGTTAGATAAGCACAAGCAACTTGCCTTTTCAATGGCCCAAAACTTTCTAATTTTTTTCCGTGTGCAGTTCGGGAGAATTTTCTCGCCCCCACTCTTAATGCCCCACCCCAGGCCCTAGAGCCGTGAGCGTCACTTTCCTCTGCGCTGGACCAATTAAAAGGCCACCTTTTTTTCTGTCCTCGCCTTTTTTCTGATTCGGTTCTGGTAAAGCTTCATAGCCCCCCACCTCACATCACCGCCGCCATCATTGTAATCGATCGAAAATCCCTCGATTTGATCAGCAATTGTATTTAGAAACATCTGATATGCGTTCCACGGCCTATGCGCGTGAGGTGAGCTTATAGGACGGAATCAGCTATACGGAGTTTTGGTCGCAGTTGTTCAAGCGCCCGACAGACTCACGTAAAGTCAAAAAATTTATCATTCTTCTGTAATTCCATTTTTTACCAATCGTTTACTTTAATATACTTTAAATTACGATCTACAGTCAGTTGCGTACACTGCTTTAATATATTTGCCGCGTTTTAATTTAATTTTATCTTTCATTTATTCCATACTTAAATGTGTGCTTTCTGAAACTTTACACTTCATCAATGCTGGCATTTCTTATATATTTATTCTTAAATACTAAGTTATATTTATATTATCAGCTTAACACGCAGAGCCGAGCGCATAGCCGTCAGTGTCGAAAACGCTGCTTAATCTCGGAAACCAAACATCTGAACGCGGTCAATTGATCGGCTTATTGTGCATAGCACTCGAAGGTGCCCGGTCGTAAATCGGAGTTGATGGAATTCTAACCGGCGGCAGGTGCGTCAGTTTGACGCCAATACAAAAAGAATAAAGTACTCTAAATAAAATATTTATCTGAGTCAGAAAGGTGAGTCAGAATGCGTGAACCTAGAAATTATTTTACTATGTGAGAAAGCATAAAGTAGAAGAAACGTTCGGCAATACACTGTAAACATAAATGTGAACACAAAAATTCATAAAATTCATGAAAAATTGTCAAAATCAGATTATTTGTAAAGCTGACTACTTTATCGCGCGTTGAGGCATTACAATGGTAGATAAGACTTAGAACTATCATTCACAATATTTTTCATGTATTGTTTATATATAATTAACATTTATCTACTTGGTATAGGTTAAAATAGGACAAAAAATTAAAAAGAATTGGTGTTTCTCGTACTTTAGGGTATCTAAATCTTCAAAAAGCCTCCTTTACATCATATGAATGAATAGTCTAAGATTGTATCAATAATTGTATCTATTTATAAACCTTTTTCTTTTATTAAAACCGAAAAATCGTCGTTTGAAAACTATATAAAATTTTGTTGAAGGGGAAAACTTTTCATCGCAAGAGATTTGCTCGATTGTAAGACTTACAAAACCTGAAAGTCATGTAGTGCTATTCAAGACCTTCAATTGTTGCCCTGATGAGACTTTTAGGTGCTTTTAGTCGAGTAATGAATTTTTTTATGTAAAAAATTTCAAGTGGGCATATGACGAATTGAAATTTCTCTTATAAAAAAAGAGATAGCTCTGAAAGTGAAGTCAGCTTATTCGTGATCTGATTGACTGAACTAACGTCACGTGGGTAACTATTTGTAACGGCTAGTGTTGGATTAAGATAGTTTTTCCTCCCCGAACCGCTCAGTTCAGATCCTACAAGAGGTGTGGAATATTGATATAGTGGCAAGACGTGAATTGCCGTTGTATGGATATTAAACATCTCTTGTACGATCTGAACTGAGTGGTTCGGGGAGGAAAAACTATCTTAATCCAACACCGGTAACGGCATGTAGTGGGAATGTATAAGCGAATTGATAGCAAAAGTAGCAAATCGGTGCTAGTAAATGGGTCAACTTACTAATGATGAATTAAATGAATAAAAAATAAGACAATCGTAGGTATAACAAAAAACATAAACTCCACATCCACCCGACATTCTAACTTTAAAATAATGTGGTAAAATATTCTTAATTCACTTAAATTACATTTCTTCTCAGGATATATAGATTTATTGAATATTTATGTTATCAAGTTTAGCTTTAAATAAATATAATCAACAATAAAGAATATATAATATCTTAAAAAATTGTAAATGTAAATATAAAGTAAAAAATATGACAGATAAGTAGATAAAAAATAACAATAACGTTGATTACTAAAAGTGAAAATTTAAAAATTTAGTTTATGGAAAGTACTGTCCCAAATGAGCTGACTTCTAATATTTTTCAACAAAATAAATCTATTGATATGAGGATATTGTACAAAAAGTTTTGAATCGTAAACTAAATATGTTAAATATGTTAAAGAGTAAAGAAAATATAATTGTACGGCATAGTTGACGGTTCGATTTATTTGGATGATTAGAGTTTAATTCGCTTGCTCGTCGCTTTTATAAATGGATATCCATAAATATAATTTTAATCAAGTTTCTCTTTACCAACTAATATAGACGGATTTTCAAAGCATAGAATTGTTTGCTGTATGTGGTATATTTGCTATTGAAGAAAATAAAACTAACATTTGTAATAGAAAAAGTTATCTTCACATTCAACTTGAATATTTTTAAGTTAGCAAAGTAAAGGTATAATTACAGCGAAGAACACTGTAATTTTTCAGAACAAAACTTCCTTATCGTCATTTCGTACATTTTTTGCAAATCCAAATATGAAAAGGCATAAACATGAAATCGCAACTTATTAATTAAATTGTATTTCACGTGTCCTATGAACTGATTTCTTAAAAAAAGAAAAAATAAAATAATAAAATTCTAGGTTTTTCTTTATTTGATTTAGATATGCAAAAGCGATTTCAAACTGTTAACCGAAGTTGTGTGTAACTTCATATACAATGTGAATGACTCACAATATCACTGAGTACCTGACACATCCCCTGACCGAGTACAGATAATTATCACGCCCATTCTGTTACTATTTTTTACAAATCCGAAAATCACCACATGATTCCTGTTTGGTGATTTACAATCGATGACACGCTCATTATCTAAAGTCATATTATATCCGCGATAAAAATTCTTCCGCTTAAAAAGCCAGCAATCTCTAATATCTGTGCACTCAGCTTTAACAACTATGGAGCTAATCTGTACTTCATAGTCAGTTTACACGTACTTAATTATCATAGGTTGGTGAAACGATGCTTCAGTCGAGTAAACTAGTTTATTTTGATCATTGAACTGATTGCAATAAATTTTTTTCTCACTGCCAGAATTGTAGGTCCACCAAATGTCAAGCCTGTGGAAGCCATTTGTAAATTCTGATTAGGACTACGTAGTAACATTAATTCCTTTAATTTGCCACTAGAATGATTAAGCCTCAGTACTTTGTAGATTCCACCGTAAAATCCACAAACAACAAAATCCTTGGATGGCAATCGCTCGATACGTATGCTCGACCAATCAAGATCAGCAAGAAATCCCATTATTAAGCTTGTTGTAGGGATTCTGCTAATGTTTTCTGAAGGATAGCTGTACCAACATTGATAAATAGAGCACGTATCATTTTTACCTTTTATAAGTAGACAAGGATATCTAGAGTCACGGAAGAAAATGCCCAAACTATCAGTCGACGGAACAATAATAGCATTTTCGATCAAGGTATTAAGGTTAATTTTAGCACAATTATTCATGTTTAGTATTGTAATTTTGGTTTGGTGATAATAATCGTTCGCCAATTTTTCGTACCAAGAAAGCACAATTAGATTTTTATTGAGCTGCCTAAATGAACTAATATTCATTGCAGTGGCAGTCGGGCGGCTTACTAAATCGAAGGTACACTGTTTATCTGGGAAATTAGCTGTGAACAGCAGAGTTTCTTCCTTAAGACTGAGTACATGATGCAATTTATGTTCTCTTTCTGTGTAAAATATTCTGGCAAGGGTATAATTGAACATTTCGGGTGCTGTCAACCATTCGTAAGCTAATCCCGGGTAGCTACTAACCAAAGGCATATGAAAAATGCGTATTCAAACATTTTGCATAAGTAAAACTGGAAATAATAAATTATCGATAAAATGAGTATAACATTAAAAATTTAGCTCAACAAATATTGAAAATGGACTCATTGTGATATTAAGTTCTATGCAACCATTGCTCTGATTGATTATGAACACGTTTGCCTCATTCTCGATGCACCAATTCTATAACTAAATTTACCTCAAGAATTGAAAATAAACTTTTTTTTTCGATATCTTTCGTATTTATGCCAATTTAATATTCATAATTTACTAAATAAATATTTATTTAATAATCCGTTTTGAAAGAAAAATTAATAACGTTTCGTACAGCATTAAATAATATGATCTAGTAATAAGAAATTAATGGAAATCGATCGACCGGTTAGGGTAACACATAGTTTTGTGTCACAATATAATATACTAACTTGCTTCAGAATATTCTTATAATATGAAAAAACTATTTGTTCTTATAATGTGAAAAAACTATTTAAGAGACAATATTGTTCACCAGAGTAATTTCAGCGTTGGAGTTAGAACATGCAGTAAGTTTTAATGTATTGCTTTGCGATAAGAATATATGAAAACTGTTTTATGGTATGAAATAGCACGAATCACTCTGACGCTTACTCAACTACGTTCCAAACCGAATAAATATTGATGTCATAAAGAAACGTAATTATTCTCAGTATATATACCAATAACTTAAGACTGTTTTGTTCATATTCAATCAAGCGATATAACAGTAAAAACATACTTTTTTAGAATACGTGTCTTAAAACTTTTTGGCAGAGAAAGAGACTGGCCGATAAACACATGAACGTACATGTCTCCGGTGTTCCTTGATTTCATACATTGAATAGAAATATGCAGTTGTTGTAATGTGAAAAAACTCTGAAAATTCATACTTTCAATATTTACAGACTCAATGATGAAGAACACCAAAACTTGCTGTATCCTGCGTACCAAATAAATAAATTATTCAGAATTAACATTTCTCTTGTGTCTCAATTGTGAAGGCGTTAATTAATTTATTACTTTAGTAGAGTAAAAGAAAAATATTATAATGCTCGCTTCGCTTGGTTTGCAATATCATCCAGTGCAGGCTCTGCTATATGAAAAAATTGTATATGCACCAAGGTCGGAAAATTAGTAAGCTCATAGAACGTATTTGACAACCACGACGTCATCTCGATTATTAATTTTCACGTGCTATAGTCGGACCAATACTTTCTCGGTCTAGGTGCGTAATCTACTATTTCGTGTCAACGAGCGGAAAATGCAAATTTTCGTCCCTTGGCAAGGCGGGAATTTTTTCTTTCCGCCACCCAAATATGAAAAATATGATATACATTCCAGGAACTAACACAATAATCCCATAGTTTGTGATTTGCACGAGCTATAGCTTAGGAGATGTTTTGAATCTCTATTTCTATAATGTACTATAAAATACGTGCAATGTACTACAGCTGATCGTGAATAGTCAATATTTTATCCCTTTGTAAGAATTGCTGTCAAATAAGTCTTCACCAAATAACTTTTTTATTTAATATTTTTTAAATTAAAGTTCTACGATATTGATACGAAAAAATTAGATGATATTTTATTACTCTCCGAACAATGTTATCACATATTCAAAGAATTCCCTATAATAATAGACATTCACGTGAAGATTAATAATATATTGTCTATAAAACTCGAGAGAGAAGTTACCCCATCCCACAGTCGGACATGTACCCAGTGTAATTCCTAAAAGCACATTGTCTTTGTCCACAAGAGGTGCACCGCTATCACCCTAGAATATAAATGATTCTATTGAAAGTTATCATTTGCCTGAAGTAAAATAAAATTTGTTGTCACTTACACAACTTGAGAGTATATATGGATCAGCAGACGAAACTAGATAATTTTTCGTTATTTCATGATGTTCATTTGTCATCAATCTTAATCGATGTTCGTACGCGCGGTTAGTTAAAATTGTCACTTGTCCTTTGACTAACATAATATTGCCTGAATTTACACTTGAGATATTCCAGCCAAACATGAATGCATTCGTTCGATGGAGTTGTTGTTCATTCCAAATCGTGATGTTGATTGGGGTTATAACTTCGCGATTTACCGGCGATGACAGCTGAAAATCACATTTTTCAACGTTTATATTCCATTAGAACTTAGTTCTCAAAACCGTTTACCTTAATAATCATGACATCGTTGGATAAAAACTCTATAGTTTTTCCAGTTGCTCGAGCCCAGGCATTGTATGTTATCCATGAATCTATTTCATAAATGAAATTGGGCGTTGTCCAATTTTCCTCAGCAACGATCACGTCGATTTCATGCATTTGTATAAAATGACAACAATGTGCAGCTGTTATAATGTGTTTCTGCGTAATAAGTGCTCCAGTACAAATATGCTTCCTGTTCAACTGTTCCTCCGGAAATTTCCGTCTAATTGATGCAATAAAAGGAAATTCACGAGGATCCGCTGGAAAAACATGATCACCCACTAGTGGATTAGCTTTCATAAAAACGAATACTTGAGCTGAAATCAGAATAATTTAACAAGTTTAAAATTTTTGTATAATTAATGTAGATGAGTAAGGGTCTAGTACCAATCAAAAAAATACCCGCTGAAAATCGAATCATGACGACCGTTCTCGAATATTAAATCATTTATTTCGTAATCTTCGTTAAAATGTAATAATATTACCAAACTCCATATCAGCATAACTGTGAAAAATGGTGATTTACCTTTGCGACGTTATCAACAGCACAAGGAAAATCATTTTCACAATATTAAGCAGAATGATAGTTAAGTTTTATGGATCATAAAGTCACCGTTGATGCAGCTACAAAAGTTACGACATAATAACGAAACTATCATTTCTTTTACTGCAATACTTATTTTCGCATAAGCGCCTTTTTTATTATAGTATAGTTTATGTTCATATGAAGTTTCATTCCAAACAGAGTTTTTAATAGATTGATCAACAAACTGGAATCATTTTGCAAGTTGAGATAAATAACAGGCTACTTATCATTCTCTGACGTTGTCATATTTTCCATCATATCCATAGAGTACTTGGTATTTGCATGACCATCGATTTTGAAATAATTTCAGTCACACAATTCCTACGGTAATTTGGTCATCACCATAATCATGACCTACTATCGTAAATTTTTCAAGGTCGCTGATTATGAAAATGAAGTCAGATTTTATAAATTTAAAATGGTGGATCCATTATGACCGACAGAAAATGTTGACTATTAAATGTGCACTAAGAATTCTTTTTACAATGTTTTTCGGACTAGATTTTTTCATTTCCATTGACGTACTTGAAACTCATTATGAAACACCTTCTTCCTTTGATACATGGGCTTAGGACCGTCTATGGCAAAGTTTTGTTTAATTTCTTAATTTTTATCTTTTTTTGTTTCTCTCATTTTTTGTATTTTTGCTTTTTTTGATTGTAAGTATGAGTAATTTATTCATTTTTATTATTTTGGTCATCATTTATTTACCTTGAGGTAACTTTTATTCGTGATATCCTATGGTATATCTCACAGCAGTTATTTTTTGTTCCAATGTATAGTGGAACATTCTAAATGGTATAATTTATATAATTTTTAAAGTCTTAGTTAATATTTATTACCAGCAACCGTAAAAACCCATAAAATGAGTTTTCAGTTCTCATTTTGCCAAACATGACATTTTCCGTCAACCATATTGAATTCACCATCTTGAATTTATGAAATCTGATTTGAAATTCGCAATAAATTACCCCGAAGTCATATACATATATATATATATATATATATATTTTTTTGTTTAAATTTCATGAAATCCTTAATTTTTGAACCGTCATATTGGATCCACCATTTTGAATTTGCAAAATCTGACTATGTATTCGTAGTCAGCGACCTCAAAAACCTTAAGATAGATCATTTTTAGTATATGTTTATCATCTAGCTTCGCCGGTAACGAATCAGATTCATGAAAACATTCTTTTTTGTATATTTTTATTTATAACAATAATAATTATGAATAAATATGTAAACATTTCAAAGCATTTTAAACTTTCAGAAATTCAATATCACAAAAATTAAAAGCTTTATATTTACCAATGATTTCGAAAAATAAATTAAGAAAAAGGGAAATGAAATATATAGCCACTATAGTGGCTTCTGTGACTCTGAAAGGATAATATACTCTTTACAAACGTTTCTTCGTTATATATTTCAATATATAATTTTTGTAGTTCTTAAGAGAAAGTCGTTTTATTTCAAAAATGGTGTAGTGCTATATGTTGAGAAAGCACGTATTTATTTACATCAGACAAGATTGTTTCGCTTACATTTAAGAAGATCATATGAGAATAACCTTTTTATTACAATCCAGATTATCTACAATATATTTATTAAAGTAAAGTCCTACGGCATGGATAAGACAAAATTAAATAGTTATCACAGTTATTATTGTTCTTTAGACAATGATGTTACATTTTCAATGAAATCACTGTAGTAATGGACACTCGAATGAAGATTAATTTTATATTGATTTATAAATTCCTCAGAGAAGTTACCCCATCTTGAAATGGGACATGTACTACGTGTGACACCTAAAAGAAAATGGTTGTTGTCCAAAAGCGGTCCACCGCTATCACCCTAAAGTGCAGATGTTTCTGTTGAAAATAATTATTACCTTGTGCTGTCAAATAAAATGTAGTAATTCTACTTACACAACTTGCGAGTATATACGGTGCGGTGAACGTAGCTAGATAAATTTTGTTAAGTTTAATTATTCGATTCGCCACCAATTTTAACAATCGCTCGTATTTACTGGGACATAATATCGTCACTTTTCCTTGCAGTAAGACCATTGTAAGTGAATCCTCATTTATGGCTTTCCAGCCAATTATCATTGCCTTCGTTCCATAGAGCTGTTTGTTATTTAAATTCGTGAGGGAGACAGGTGTTATATGTTCACGATTTGCCGGTGATGATAACTAGGAAATGTATTCTTGAACGTTTATATTCCATTACGTCATAGTTATCAAGACTTTTTACCTTAGCGATTGCTATGTCATTCAGTGGCATCTCGATAGCTTTTCCATTTTCTCGAGCCCAGGAGTCATATATTAACCAATAATCAATTCCGTGATCGACATAGGGCCTTATCCAATATTCCCCCACAATGATCGCTTCGATTTCACTTTCTATTCTTTCTTCAAAACAGTGTGCAGCTGTTATAACGTGTATCTGCGTAATAAGTGATCCAGTACAGAAGTGTTCACTGTCTAACAGTCCTTCCAACATTTTTTGTCTAAATGACACAACAAAAGGGAAGTCTTGAGGATCCGCTTGAAAAATCTGTTCACCCTTTAGTGGATCAGCTTTTATAAAAACTAAAACTTGAGCTGAAATTAGAATGATTTATTAATCCAAAATTTTCATATAATGTAGATAAATAATAGCCAATTACCAGTCAAGAAAATATACGCCGAAAACTGAATCATGGTGAACGTTAACAAATAGTCAAACATCTGTTCAGGAGTTTACGTTAAATTGTAGAAGTATTATGAAACGTCATATCAACATAATACTGTCGGAGATGCGATTTCTTTTGGCGATACTACAAGCTGTCTATGAGGGAAATGATTTTCACATTATTAAGCAGGATCGAGTAAAGTTTAGTTGATCGTAAAGTCTGTGTTCATGTTTCAACAAAAGTTACGTAATAATAAGGAAACTATCTTTTTTTACTACGCAATTCAGTTTCGCACATTCGTCTTTTCTTTAAAGTGTAGTTTATGTTCATACGACATTTTTTCCAAATGGAGATTTTTAATATATTGATCAACAAACTGAATTCATTTTATGAGTTAAGACCAGCTGCAGTCTATTTGTCATCATCTGACGTTTAGCACTTTCTCTATCATTTCTATCTAGTTATCAGTATTTGCATGACCATTAATTACAATTGATTTAAAAGAGTCTCGGAAATATTTTGTAGGTTAATTTGTAGGTTATGTGATTCAAAGATAAACTTATTATTTCCCGCAAATGACTGTGGTTTACATCCAACAACAACATTTTTGTGAGAAACCATCATTTATTCATTTTCATGAGAAAAGGTAGCTAGCTTATATTCATGGAAACCATACGTAGACCATATTAGAAATATCGAGAAATAAATCGGTGACGGAGCTTCTTCGAGAACACCTTTTGAAAAAGACGATTTGCTGTATCTCAGCTATCCACTATACCTTAGCCGAAAATTGTCTGAAATTAAAAAGGAATATTTTAAATTAAATCTTCTATAGTATCACACCTAGTGGTCTTTAACTTTTCTTTTTTTAGATTTAAAATTTTTTATGGTTATTTGAAGGAAAAAAGCGATTTTATACTAAAACTTTCACCATTTTGTCAGTGGAAAAACTGTTTAATGTAAAAAAATTGTCATACTAACTGTTGGAGACAGATATTTTATATGCAGAATATGTATACTAAATTTGAAAAGCATCGATCGAGTACTTTTTGAGTTACAATGGATCCGTACTTTGAAAAAGTGGTTTTGAGAAAAGCGCGTTTAAAAACTATAAAAACGTGATGAAAAAAAATTGTATTTTTAGCTTACACCGAGTCATTGATTCTAAATCCGTAGTTTATATTCTCTGCGAAAATTTCATTGTGTTCACCTTCATTTGATGAAAATCAATTTTTTGATAGTACAAATCAGTAACCACTCCTCCCCCCCCTAATCTTAAAGTACTATCAATAAGATACGATTTTCTTGTTATAAGTTCAAACATCTCAACCAAAAGTGCTATAATATCATTTTAAGATAAATTTTTTCTCATTTATTTTACAAAATTTTTGAATTTTCTTGTGAACAAAAATAAATTTTGACTTTGGTTTAGGATGATTTGGGATTTAGTCGGGCTTCAGAATGGGAATCTGTATTCTAGACTGAACATAATTGTTTTTCAATAGCATTATGTTTTATATCTCGGAACGAGTTTTTCTTTATCAATTTGTTTTATTTAAAGCATTTATATAACTAGGAAAATTATTGAATTTTATTTTGTGTCAGAAACGTGAGGAGAAAAATACATCAACTTTATATTTTTAAGCTTTGTCATAAACAGAATTTTGTTATCATTTTACGAATTTTAAATTAAAATTACGGTTTTCAATAAAAATCTGTGTAATTAATACTCATATCAACTTTGATTTCGCATTAAGTGACAAACTCTAGAGAAAAATCAGTCCAACGTTATGACTTGTACGTACACTTCCGTAATTCATTTCCATAAGACCACTGTTTCTATCCAACAATGGTAACCGATTTTTCTCTCAACAACGATTTGATTACTGCCGAAAATCCTAGTTTGAACCTGTAGAACCTGTGGAACAACCATGCATCAATGAAAAGGCACACCATACTAAGAAAACACAAGTTATATGCATTTAACTAATGTCAAAAATTATTTGCAACAATACTTACGTATAGCTTGGATGGAGACTGTCTATTAGAAAAAATGCATATTATAGAGATTCAACAATTGTAGCATCATACTAATTATATTGTATAATCGAAAAACATGACCATTTCTAAATGGTATGCTTGACTTTTGTATGAAATTATTAGAAAATATAGTAAATACGAATATTCTCAAATCGTGGCGTATTTTAACGATTCCTTGAAGAAATTCGCGATAAACAAAAAATAAAGTAATATATTTAGTTGATCATAAATAGTTAATGTTACTTTTGTTTAAAAATTTGCCATACAATGCGTCTTTAAGCAGACACCTTTTTAATTTAATCCCAATTTTTTACAATCTATTTTTTAAAGTACAGATCTACGGCATTGATTTACGGCATAAAATTGGTATCTTATTGTCGTCAGCTAATGTCGTCACATTTTCAATGAATTCTCTATAGTAATGGACACTTGAATGAATATTAAATTTATAATAATTTAAAAATTCCTCAGAGAAGTCACCCCAATTAATTCTGGAAGATATACTGCGTGTGATACCTAAAAGAAAATTGTTTTTGTCCAAAAGCGGTCCACCGCTATCACCCTAAAGTGTAAAGTAATATGTTGACGTTGAAAATCATTATTTGCCTGTGCTGATAAATAAAATTCGCTAATTTTCTTACATTATTTGGGAGTATATATGGTTCGGCGTACGTAGCCAGAACATTTTCTTTTATATCATATTTTAGATTAGCCACCAATTTTACCAGATGGTCGGACTTGGAGGTCCACCGCTATCACCCTAAAGTGCATACGTTATCAACAGCACAAGGAAAATCATTTTCACAATATTAAGCAGAATGAAAGTTAAGTTTTATGGATCATAAAGTCACCGTTGATGCAGCTACAAAAGTTACGACATAATAACGAAACTATCATTTCTTTTACTGCAATACTTATTTTCGCATAAGCGCCTTTTTTATTATAGTACAGTTTATGCTCATATGAAGTTTCATTCCAAACAGAGTTTTTAATAGATTGATCAACAAACTGGAATCATTTTGCAAGTTGAGATAAATAACAGGCTACTTATCATTCTCTGACGTTGTCATATTTTCCATCATATCCATAGAGTACTTGGTATTTGCATGACCATCGATTTTGAAATAATTTCAGTCACACAATTCCTACGGTAATTTGGTCATCACCATAATCATGACCTACTATCGTAAATTTTTCAAGGTCGCTGATTATGAAAATGAAGTCAGATTTTATAAATTTAAAATGGTGGATCCATTATGACCGACAGAAAATGTTGACTATTAAATGTGCACTAAGAATTCTTTTTACAATGTTTTTCGGACTAGATTTTTTCATTTCCATTGACGTACTTGAAACTCATTATGAAACACCTTCTTCCTTTGATACATGGGCTTAGGACCGTCTATGGCAAAGTTTTGTTTAATTTCTTAATTTTTATCTTTTTTTGTTTCTCTCATTTTTTGTATTTTTGCTTTTTTTGATTGTAAGTATGAGTAATTTATTCATTTTTATTATTTTGGTCATCATTTATTTACCTTGAGGTAACTTTTATTCGTGATATCCTATGGTATATCTCACAGCAGTTATTTTTTGTTCCAATGTATAGTGGAACATTCTAAATGGTATAATTTATATAATTTTTAAAGTCTTAGTTAATATTTATTACCAGCAACCGTAAAAACCCATAAAATGAGTTTTCAGTTCTCATTTTGCCAAACATGACATTTTCCGTCAACCATATTGAATTCACCATCTTGAATTTATGAAATCTGATTTGAAATTCGCAATAAATTACCCCGAAGTCATATACATATATATATATATATTTTTTTTTTTGTTTAAATTTCATGAAATCCTTAATTTTTGAACCGTCATATTGGATCCACCATTTTGAATTTGCAAAATCTGACTATGTATTCGTAGTCAGCGACCTCAAAAACCTTAAGATAGATCATTTTTAGTATATGTTTATCATCTAGCTTCGCCGGTAACGAATCAGATTCATGAAAACATTCTTTTTTGTATATTTTTATTTATAACAATAATAATTATGAATAAATATGTAAACATTTCAAAGCATTTTAAACTTTCAGAAATTCAATATCACAAAAATTAAAAGCTTTATATTTACCAATGATTTCGAAAAATAAATTAAGAAAAAGGGAAATGAAATATATAGCCACTATAGTGGCTTCTGTGACTCTGAAAGGGTAAAATACTCTTTAGAAACGTTTCTTTGTTATATATTTCAATATATAATTTTTGTAGTTCTTAAGAGAAAATCGTTTTATTTCAGAAATGGTGTAGTGCTATATGTTGAGAAAGCACGTATTTATTTACATCAGACAAGATTATTTCGCTTACATTTAAGAAGATCATATGAGAATAACCTTTTTATTACAATCCAGATTATCTACAATATATTTATTAAAGTCAAGTCCTACGGCATTGATAAGACAAACTTAAATAGTTATCACAGTTATCATTGTTCTTTAGACAATGATGTTACATTTTCAATGAAATCACTATAGTAATGGACACTTTGTACAAAATTAAAGAAATGTAGTAAGTACGGATATGCTGATAATATGGCGTATTTAACCTAACCCTGAGAAAATGTACGATCAACAAAGAAGAAAGTAAAATATTTAGTTAATCATGAATAGTTAATGTTTCTTTATTTGAAAATGTTTCTATCTAATGCGTCTTCAAGTAGATACCTTTTTATTACAATTCCAATTGTTTACAATCTATTTTTTAAAGTACATATCTACGGCATCGATAAGGAAAATGGTATCTTATTGTACTTCAGCTAATGTAGTCACATTTTCAATGAATTCTCTATAGTAATCGACACTTGAATGAAGATTAATTTTATAATGATTTAAAAACTCCTCAGGGAAGTCACCCCAATATATTTTGGGACATGTACTTCGTGTGATACCTACAAGAAAATTGTTGTTGTCCAAAAGCGGTCCACCGCTATCACCCTAAAGTGTATATGTTTTCGTTGAAATTCATTATTTGCCTGTACTGATAAATAAAATTTGCTAATTCTCTTACACAACTTGCGAGTATATATGGTTTGGCGAACGTAGCTAGATAATTTTCGTTTACTTTAATTTTCCTATTAGCCACCAATTTTATCAGATGCTCGGACTTGGAGGGTCTTAATATTGTTACTTTTCCTTGCAGTAAGTGCATTGTAGATGAATTATCATATATGCCTACCCAGCCAACTATCATTGCCTTTGTTCCGTAGAGTTGTTTGTTATTTAAATTCGTGAGGTGGGCAGGTGTTATACCATCGTGACATATCGGTAATGATAACTAGAAAATATATTCATCAAAGCTTATATTCCACTATATCATATCTACCAAAACCTTTTTACCTTAACAATTGCCACATCATTTATTGGAAACTCGATAGTTTTTCCATTTGCTGGAGCCCATGAGTTATATGTTAACCATGAATCGATTTCGTAACTCAAGGAGGGCCTTGTCCAATTTTGCTGGGAAACGATCGCTTCGACTTCAAATTCTATTCTTTCTTGAAAACAGTGTGCAGCTGTTATAACGTGTTTCTGTGTAATAAGTGAACCGGTACAGAAGTGTTGACTGGTTAATATATCTTGAAAACTCTTTTGTCTAAGTGACACAATGAAAGGGAATTGTGGAGGTTCTACTGGAAAAACATGTTTACCCTCAAGTGGATCAGCTTTGATCAAAATGAATACTTGAGCTGAAATTAGAAAGATTCGATTAATCCAAAATTTATATATAAGAAATGTCAATGATAATAATCGAGTACTAATCAAGAAAATATACGCCGGAAACTGAATCATGGTGACAGTTAACGAATGGTTAATCATATGTTCGTGAGTCTCCGTTAATTTACAGAAGTATTATGAAACGTCTGGTTAGCATAATACTGTACAAAATGTCGATTTGTTTTTGCAACATTATCAACTGCTTGAAGAAAATCGGTTTCACATTATCAAGATAGATGAAAGTAATGTTTAGGTGGTCGTAAAATTCAGCGTTGAAGCAGCTATAAAAGTCACGACTCAATAACGAAATACTGTTAACATAGTGTGACAAGATAAAATATTAATATAGCATAAGTTAATATAGCAAGAACAGGCCAAGTGATCCTTACTCTTTTTAGGGTCTATTGTCTTTCTAAAACAATGGGTCCTAAATATTCAACTTCATATTAAACAAAAAGTACTTTTTCCAATTCAATTTCAAATTAGTATCTCGGATTCGCGTAAAGATCGTACATAAATTACCTAACATCTGTTCGAATGATTTTAAGTACTTTTTGTACTTTGCTGTGAAAATGAATACGTCTATTACGTTCCTTAATGTCGTTTATTTCTAAAAGCTCTTACAAGAATAACTTTAAGACAAAATATACGCTCTAATTGAAATGTTTCTCAGACATCCATTGTAACGTTTCGACTTGGTACGTTGTAATAAATTAAGTTCCAATTTTAAGATATATTTGCAAATTATATTTCCGACAGAAAGCAAGAATTTGATCAAGAAATGTATGATTGAAAATAATAAAAATAGTAATTTTTAAATGGTTTACTAGTATAGATTGACGTATTCTTACGCGAACATCAATAAATTTTACAGAAACCTTCGGAAACTCGCTACTTACAGTTATGTAACATCATAAGATAATTTTTTCGGTAAAAGTAATCAATGCATCTTAAAGTATGAGCTTTCTCCTTTAAAATAAATTTTTAATCGTTCAGATATCTTTCTTTTTTCACCGAGATATAATAAATTGAATTTAAGATCTCATCAACTTATACACTCAAATGTAGGGTAAGTATATATGATTGGCAACTTTGTTTTTACTCTCTAATTTACCGTATGAGCCGCTAAGAAAAACGTGTTCAATATTTTTTGATACACTACATATATGCAAAGTTTGAATAAAATCGGTGCCGGACACCTTCCTGTCTTTCCTTGTAAGATAGAAAAAATTAGTCCTGAACTATGCAATCAAAATCCTTCACTTGCCAAATACCCAAGCACATTGCCTCTCCTCAAAATACTTGAACATATATGATAAAAACAAACCACGACAAAGAAAATCCTTTTATTTTCGAGCTACAACCTATTTTAGCGGCTATCAACTAGGCAATAACGATTTTCTGCCATACGTATCATGCTCCAATCAAATGGGCAAGAAGAAAAAACATAAACAGAATATAACACAATCTGACACACCAAAAAAATAATACCCATAAACAAACCGGACTCGCCTTAACACCGCTCCATATATAAATAGAAATCACGTCATCGGCAAACTATATCGGAGCCGCCACTATTCTACCCTCTCAAGAAAATTTTTTACGAAAGCTACCAAAATATTATAAACTTCAGCCTTTACTGGAAATCTTAATTCTAGAAATCTTAAGTAACACTACTCTTACCGAAAAAACAATATTCCATACAACCTGTAAAGATCTAATCATTCAACTACTACAAGAACATTCGCAGAACATAATCATACAACACATACAGAATAAACTCACTTTATTCGAAAGGATAGTCGAAATATTTCTAGATAATTTCAACAACAATACAACCACTCAGGAAGCAGCTTCAATGACTTGCCAGTTAAACTACTACAGTAATACAACAAGAAAACGCAACAACTGCGGTAATGCCGGACTTTTTGTAATTCTGTAGTTGTCTCGTCAAGCTGTAAGGTAAATCAATCTGCTTGCTCTTCCCGATGTTGGTGCACTATTCCCCTACTCATTCCCTCCCACGCCGATCTCGGTGCTTCGGCGTCATAAACGGGTCTTACGGGCCTTAAAACAGACACATAGCGCGTACCGCTTCTTCGCCCCCGACCATGGATCGTTTCCGTCCACTCTCGACTTCGTTCGCTCCACTTCCTCCACGCTATCTGTTACTTTCTTTCTCTCAAACTACGCTTCGCTCATGGGTCAACGAACAATCTCGGGATAAATCTTTTGTTACCATCGAACCTTAATCTTTTTGACCCCCCACAGGTCGTCAAAACAGCCTCGAGGAAGCGCACGGCACTTATGGTACCTTGAGCTTTGGCGTACGGCCCTAGTTCCTAAACTAAGTTTTCGACGTCGATCCGCAAGCACAAAGGAACATTTTTTCCTTTTTATATCGCACGTATGGCAGAGTACAGGGAAAGCCACCAAATTCCCGCAGAAAGGATCGGTATTTACATCAGCGTATATTAATTTTTGACGAGCAGGCTTGTCCCTTCTCCGATACTTTTTTATGACCGTAGCTCATTTTCACATTTATTGCGCGTTTTTCTCTAAACTAAATAGTCAGGAGGGTTTCAACGTATTTCTATCCCCGCCAAATGTAAATCTTTCATGTGCCGGTTTTTTTTTCTAACCGTCATCCGCAATAATTCCACTGCACAGAACTTTAAAATGAACGACAAAATCTCAACTTATAAATCAACATCAAAATCCTACTCAATAACGTTCACTAATGGTAAAATTACATTTGTGGAAAAAACAAAAACTATTAACATTTTATAATGTAAATATATACTTGTTAAAATTAAGTATCCATTCAAGTTATGCATATAAGATAAATCAATTTTGGTGCCACTGTTTCACTGTCGCTAATACCCACATCGAGGAAAGCGACAACAAATAAATAAATGAAAATTTTAAAAATCACATACAGAATAATACGAAAAAAATAAATATATTTTAATCATCTCGACAAATTAAACAAATTTTCAACTAGAACTCATATATTTACAGAAATACTATATAGACATTATTAAATATACAAAATCATAAATATTTCAGATGTTAACATACATACAGAAAAATAGGAAAAGAAATAGTAAAAAATAGTAATAACAGCGATAACAAGAGAAAGTAATTTTGTAAACTTTTCATTAAACCATATAAAGTAGTTTAGCAAAACCATTATGGTTTAAACTATTAAAATAGAATAAAAATTTAAGAATCAATATTTATAGTTTAAGGGATTGAACTAAGATTCCTAGCGAAAAAAGACACCTTCAGATTTTACACGAATATTTTAAACTCAGCAAAGTAGTGAATCGTTTTATGAAATATTTATCCTTTATTTTATCCTTTTGTGATTTTTGAGAATGAAACCTAAATACCGCAAATTTATAATTACTTTTTATTTATCAAATCGCAGTTAATTAATTAAATTATTTTTCGCGTACCATATACACTGATCTATTGAAAAAAGGAATAATAAAACAATAAAAAAAATGTCTAGGCTTTTCTTTATTTGGATAGATGACTATCTATATCTCGATTTCACTTAGTATCTAATAAATCGCCAGACAGAGTACAGACAACTGCCTGACTTACATTAACCGTATTTTTTTCAAATCCTAAAAACACCATTTTATTCCTATTTTGTGTTTTACAATTGATACCAGCCGATGATTCTGTGGGATTCGTACCATTGCGATAAAAATTCTTCCGTGTAAATATCCAGCAATCTTCAATATCTGTGCATTTAGCTTTAGTAAACAAGGAAGTAATTTGTCCTTCATAATCAGATTGCACGTACTTAATTATTATCGGTTCATCAAGCGTTGCTTCAGTCGAATAAATTAACTCGTTTTTATAATTGAACTGTCTGCAATAAATTTTATTGTTGCTGGCAGTATTGGGGCTCCAGCAAAAAGTCAAGCCTCTGGAAGCCATTTCTAAAGTCCGATTAGGATCTTCTAGTGAAACCAGTTCCTGAAATTTACCGTTAGAAGAGCTCATCTTCAGTACTTTGTATTTCCCGTCTTGAAATCCACGAACAACAAAATCTTTGGATGGCAATCTTTCGATGCGTATGCTCGACTATTCAAAATCAACATTAAATCTCATTATCATTTTTGCTATAGGGAAACTGCCAATATTCTGCAAAGAATAACTGTACCAGCATTGATGAATAGGGCGTATGCTATCATATTCTTGAACATGTAAGCAAGCATATCTGGAGTCATAGAAGAAAATGTCTAAATTATTAGCTGACGGAACAATTACAGCATTTTCAATCATCGTATTAATGTGGGTTCTAATACAATCATTCATGTTCAATATTGAAACGTGAGTTTGGCGACTACTATCATACGCCATCTCATCGTACCAAGCGAGCACAATTAGCTCTTTATTAAGTTGCCTAAATGACGTAATATTCATTGTAGTACTGACTGGGCGGCTTGTTATATTGAAGTAACATCGTTTAGTTGGTTCTTTATTTATGTTCGGCAGAACCTCTGCTTTAATATTAAGTATATACACCAATTCGTCTTTTATTTCTGTATAAAATAATCTGGCAATGGAACTTTCAAATATTTCGGGTGCTGTCAACCATTCAAAAGCTAATCCAGGGGTAGCCATTAACCAGAGGCTCATGAAAAATATGCATCCAAATATTTTGCAGTGGAGCTAGAAATAGTAAATGATCGAGTAAATGAGTATAGCCTGAAAAAAGTATTTGTATGAATATTCACAATTGACTCACTCTCATATTAGGTTTTAGACAAATACTGCTCTGACAGATAATGTTCTTGATACCACAGTTCTAAAACGAAACTCATCTTAATAATGGAAAATAATTTTGTCTTTACTTAAGTACCTTTTATATTTAAGACCATTCAATATTCATAATGTTATAATAAATTTTTTAAACAATCCGTTTTGAATAAAGCATTCATATTGTATCGTACAGTATGAAATTAATTTAATCCAGTTATAAGAAGTTAATTAAAGTTGATCGAACCTTCAGTGTAAAAATTAGTTTTATATCAATATAAAATACTAACCTGTTTCAGAAGTTTCTTATGATATGAAAAAAATATTTAGAGGACAATATTCTTCACACGAGTTATTTCTGCGTTGATGTCAGAAATCCTAGTAAGATATAAAGTATTATTTTGCGATAAAAATATACGAAAACTGTATTATGTTAATAAGCTTATTCCACTAAATTTGAAAGCGAATACACATTGAGGTCATAAATAAACGTAATTATTCAAAGAATATGTGTTTAAAAATTAAAAAATGTTTTGCATGTTCAATCAAGCGAAGTTAAAGTAAATACATACTTTTTTTAAATACGGGTTTTTATATTTTCTAGTAGAGAGCTAGCCTTACCGTAAGCACACGAGATAAGAATTCTTCCGCTTAAATTCATGTATTGAATAGAAATATCCAGGTATCGTACACTGTGATAATAGCCTATATGCTTATGCATTCAATATTTATTGATCAAATGTTGAATAATACCTTATCATAGGAAAATCCCTTTGTGATATAGTTTTGAAATATTCCAGATGGATTCAGCAAAAAAAAATACATATAGATAGCTCTAAGAGTTTCTAATTCTACGATATTATTCTATATAAAAGTCACAACGTATTCTATATCACAACACGTATTTTTTCATTCTTACGATAACTTTGTAGCGTCATGTTCAAATTGATACAAAATTGCCCTCCCGCATATTGTTGTACAGTTGCTTTTAATCCTCACCTCATTTCTGATTTACGCATCGATCCTAATACAAATAACACTTACATAAAATTCGCTCGTATTACAAATAAATAACTCAAAAATAAACTTATTTCTATTTACACCTATAGAATATCTGTAGTGGCAACGAAAAGACAGGCAATCATTCTCCTCCACTTTTCTTTTCAAATCATGCACTTTCGGTTCGATTGTATCGAACGGCTCAAAACCTTAAAAATAAAAAGGTCCTATCCACAGTAAAACAAGACGACGATTATCTGAAGCCCAATTATAAATTTAGTCTTAAATGTCTGAAATACGTGGACTTATGAGAATTACTTTATTTTTTACTGCTCGACTTTTCTGTGCAATATCACTCATCTCGCACATGGGCCTTAATGGCACTATTTTATGATTTGCATGGTCAGTCAGTTTTTTGTTGCTTGTCCGAGACTCTTCCTAATTTACCACCCGCCCGTTTGTCTTCTAGATAGCGACAATACCGAATTTTGAAGGTTTTTATAGACATTTTTCAAGCACTGATGTGACATTAAAATTGGCACCGTAAAAGCGTGTTTAGCTAACAAAAAATTCCACTTTTTTTTACTAACATTAGCTTCGGTTCAAATTATCGCATTGGAATGTTTTTTGTATAAATTTACTGAATAATGTCACCTTTCACCTGGTTGAATCACATTGTGAATTGCTTGAAAATGTTTTGAGATAAATTGGAAAAACTGTATATTTCAGAATTTTTAATTTCGTCTATAAATAGTTATGATTAGATAAAATTGAATATTTTAAATATATTTTAATCACATAAAATTGAATATTAGTACAAATTAAAAATGAGCGCGAAGCGTGCTTGACGGCACTAGTTTGTTAAATTCTCGATTATTATGTATAATTGATGTAGTCACTCCTGCAACATCTACAGACTTTTACAAAAAGCCAAAATAAAACTCTTGAATTCTACTTTGTTTAATGATAAAGTATTTGTTTGTATTTTATAACGTTGAAAGCAATGGAAATATAATCAGATATTTTTCACATAAGAACTTTATCAATATTTCTTCATTATTACTGATATTTTTATTATTGTTATTATAATTAAGGTATCATATAATAAAGTATTGTTATTATAATCAATAAACAAGCTTTTTCTATTTTAAATATTTCGGTTCATGATATATTACAAAAATATTGATGTAGATGAAATCAATATATAAATCACTAACTTATTAAATAATACTAATGAACCCTTACGTACAGCGTCTGATGCTTAAGAGAAATTACATTATGATGTTACCAAAAAATATTAATGAGGATTTATGTAATGGTAAAAGGTTAAAAATTTTAAATTGATCATTTATTGATGAAGTGCAAAATTTTAACAAGAGATAAATTTAACAATATCGTTTTCTTAAATCACATGATTACTTTAATTTGTGAAAATGATTACCCTTTTTCTTTTAAAAGAAGATAATTTTCAATAAAATAAGCATTTGCTATGACCATTAAGAAAGCATAATGATAAACATTCGATAATGTCGTTATTGAACTGTGGTGAGATGTTTTTCACGAATATAAAATTGTCAAGATAACGTATGCACAGCGAATAAAAAATTTACAAAGAACTATTTCGTGAGAACTATTTTATTATAAATTACACCATATATAACTAAGTTTTATCTACAAACAATATAATAATAGTAAAAATGAACTAAGTGCATTTAACGGAAATTTGTTGAAATGCTATTTATTTTTTAATAGATACAAATATTTAACACATCTTACATACACATAGTTTTGCATGCGTGTATTTCTGTTTTCACTTTATAACACGACACTACAATGACGTACATTGTATTGGCTGTTTTATAAGTATTACATGTAATTCGCAATGTCACATGTACTATTCTATGTGCCGCGCGCTCGAAACTTCTAGTACAATAAAACTCAAACGTAAAATAAAAGTGTTTATATGTTCAAACGTATAAGCGCTTACACTTTGTCAACAAAGCACACGATTAATAAAAATAAGTAAAGTGCCAATTTCTAAAAGTAAATGGCTTTCTCCGTCACATAGTTGATCAGTCTCAAAATATAACTATAAGAAAAACTTAGGCCTCCGGTGCGCCCCGTAGCACATATTGCACTGTCGCGTCGCGATCTTCAAATTTATCGCGCAGCAACGAGCAATTTTTATGCGAGTCCAGCTCGTAAAGCTTCTTCGATTTTTTTGTGCGTATGAGTACGTGCAGCTGCAACGGATATGGCGAAGCCACTGTTTATTTGTGCTCCTTTTTATTTCATGAGAGCGGATTATCGTACGACCCAGTAAATTTTTCTCGAGTTATTGTTTACGGCATGAATTTATTCGAGCCGAATTGAATTTTCTTGGAGTGATCTGTAGTTTACGATGTTTGGAAATGTATTCAGCCAGCGCTTTGTCGACTTAGCTTATTTTGATTTAGAATTCACAATGAGCGAACATAGATGAAAAGATTCTGCACTATTGCTTACACGCGGAATGCGATCGTTGAGCAAGTACTGAATTGTGTTATCGCCACGAGATAACACAATTTTGTTATCTAATTTGCACTATACTAAGATACAATTTTAATAGTCGAGCTAGGGAGCATGCTTACTTGTATTGCGAGAAAAGAAGTACGCGAATAGTTCAAATAAAGCAAACAATTGTCTCCCCCGAAAAGAAACGTTCAACAAGGCATTTCACAAAACTTTGAAAAGCCACGCAAGTCCATTTCGCGCGAAGAGCACTTACCAGCATCAAAAATCGCACTACGACCGGCAACGGCACTCCATACGAATCCTTTTCCAAGCGATAAATCACGAGCGACTTTACTCGCACTCAAAAGTACGCGAGGGGCTGCGCGAGCAAGTGCTAATCCTCCAGAGCTCGCGAGAAGCGTTTTACCGCGGCGTGGAGAGGAAGAGAGCGCAATTTTCCCCACAGAGAGCGGAATTTGCGTTGCGACGAAAAGCTCAAGGAAGCTTATAACTTCATTCGAGCTTTTTCTTTTTGCGTGTCGGTGTGCTGGTGATTATACCATTGGTGTTGTTTGCTCGAAAAGTTTGAATTGATTACGCTACTTTCTTTTCTTTTTTTTTTAATAGGGTGGGGCATAGACAATTGAGCGAACGCTTAAGCTGGTCTTAAGTTGTTTGCTTGATATTACAGTTTATCGGTTTTACCGTTTGATTTAAATACTTTTATGCTTTCGAATAAAATAAAAATTCATACGAAATAATTTCTTTGATATCATATGTGCAACGCCAGGAAATGTCTGGGCTCTGCGGCGAGAAGCAGCAGGTGATGCTACTGATGCTGATCCAACTGGTGGTGATAGTGCTGATGGGAACGCTAATGACATATGGACCGGAAGCTCAACCCGAGATGAGAAATAGATCGAGTAAGTTGTACACTAATAAACGATGGAAGCACGTGGTTGTAAGTCTCTTTACATTTGAATTAGCGATACGATCAAACCATCTAACTAGTTCTCGTAGAACAATTTCAGCTGTTCGATTATGTGCAAGACAAAATTTTTAGATTTTCCATTTGCTTACTTCTAGCGATCACGGTTTATTCGTCAAACAGTGGAATAACGGCAGACAGACGAGACGACAAGCCGCCTCCGCTCTATCCAAGTGAGTAAATACAATGAGGAATTTATGGATTTTGCATTGGCGCTGCCTGTCACGAGACTGAACCGCAGTTATCTGTGAACAAAGCGATTGAAGATCGAGTTTCGAAATGCCTGTCGACGACGCTAGGCATTCGTAAACGTGCAATTTACAAAAGAATACGTACTCCATCCATATCTCATTGGGAGCATCGAAAGTGCTTTCAACCAATAACGCGCACCTCCTAGCATTAGAATGGCAAGCGATTTACAAAATGCACAATGAGCGAAATTTCAAGGCTCTGGCTAGTTCGCGTCCTCGAGCGGCCAGTCTTGTAAGGTACACACGCAAAATATGAACTATCAGTCGAGGCTAGCTCACGCGATAACGTTAGTGTTCGTCCAAGCTTTTCTTCTCGTTTGCATCATAGCGCTGTTCGATTATGCCAAACCAACGTCGATCATGCCACTTGCCGCCAACGAATTGCCGATCACGTACAGGCGTAAGTCTTTCTCGCTTCTCGCATTGTGAGTAGAAGCTCTATTGTTCGAATGCCGTTGCTTTAGCTTTATTGTTTCGCTTTTAAAAAATGGCGCGCCACGTTGAGTTCCGCTGAATAATCGATCTCGTTGTGGATTTCAACGGAGTTTCGGAGAGTTGGGCAAAGAAGTTTTATACCCGGAAAATGCAAATGCTGCTGCATCATACAGTCGTAGTTATAAACATAAATAGAAATTTCACTTTTATTGCGATAGGTATTCTGAAGTATTATGCTATGTTTACATGCATTGGATATAAACGAAAACAAAAAAAACGCTACACGAAGTACTAACCATTTCCAAACAAGTATTCATTAGATAAACTATGTGATTAACAACTGAGAATATTCAATACTACTAACTTAGTCTGCACGATAAAAAACATTTCAAACGTCATCAATGCCATTTGTATATTGAATTTCACATTCACGTAAATATCAAAATAGTATAGTGCAAAAAAAACACGTGAATAAATGGAGCACCTTTAACAGAGAAAAGTAGATTGAAAGTAGGAAGTATCAAAGGCCGAATAGACGAAAATAATTCGGCAGGAAAATTGAATGTGTACGGAGAGACATTTAGCACACTGATATCGAGTCTAGAGATCAGATTACATTCGAACCAGTTTCCAATGTTTCCTCGAATGGCAGAATAGACATAGTTGCTAGGTCGTTTAACTGAAGAGAATATACTAATACATCGACTGATTTTTATTGTGAATTGAATTACTTATTATTTTGAAGTTTATGATTGATTTTGTTCAACATAATTTTCTAAATATTGGCAATTTTTAAGTATTTTCATCAAGACCAAGCTCTAGTTGTTGAACAGTTCTCGCGCTAAAATAAGTGAAGTATAAGACAAATATTCCATCAATAAAATTCCAATGCAAAAATATTTAAGAAGAGTGTATTCGATACATTGTTCGGGAACAATATCGCGAGTATTGTGAAGGCGAATGTCTTATCAAACAAAATAGTCAGAAGCTTGTCAGATCAAAGGAACGCATCGAATATTGAAATAGCTCCCGGCAGTAAAGTTATAGGGACTGTATCTAATCGGAAGGCCAACCGTGAATTTCGCAGTGTTTGTTCAAGTCGGTAAGTTGGATTATTAATGGCATGTATGTATCTGTCTGTATGAATAAGCTGAAGGGTAAGAGAATGTTTTTTGTTTTCGATAGATGGTGGTGAATTAATTAGTTGTTTGAAATGATGGGAGATTTTTATCTTCGATTTATACATTTGAGATTGAATGTTTCGTTATTTTAGATGAGATAATTGCAAAAGGACAATATTTATCTTGCTACGAAATCTGATTCGCATTTAAAGAATATTTCGACTTATCGCTAAATAAACCTTCACAACTGAATTTATGAAATTTTCAATGACAAATTTGATTTTTTAAAACAAAATATATCTCGAAATAATAAATTTATTGAAATATTATTTTAATTTATTTAAACAAATTGAAATGATATCATTCAGTATTATAACAAATTATTTGAGAAGATTAAATTACCAAAAATTCACCCTTCAAATTTCCAGTTGAAATATCCAATATAATGCTTTTATTATAATTAGCCCGTTATTTAATAAAATGATGTTATAATTTTTAAATGGTAAAAGCTTTTTTTTAATTAAGAGATATTTAATCGAGAACACTCTACTGGTAACACGCAAATGATAATGTAGGGAAATGTAGCTTTTAGCAGGATTTTGGTAATGCAGATTTTTGCTTGAGCCAAAAAAATCTTTACACAGCATTACACAGTTATTAAATTCAGCATGCTTAAAAAAGATTTGTGAAAATAAAAGCAAAATCAGCGCGATTTTTGAACAGACCGGTCAAAATTACAGCAACGCCCCAGTACCCTAAAAGCGGCTTTGACTATTCAACGGATAGACAAGAAATACACTTAACTCAAACATACCACTTAAGAAATTGGCAATTATGTTTTGCTAAACTCAAGCCCTGGTACTTCCAGTAATTAAAAAATTGGTTTGATTATCAGTGTACCAAGATGTCCACGTGATGATATTCATCGGCTTTGGCTTTCTCATGACTTTTCTGCGAAGATACGGTCAAAGCGCTATTGGATTGACATTCCTGGTTGGTGCGATTCTCGTGCAAGTGGCCATGCTGTGCGAAGGGCTATTCAACATGGGCAAGGATGGGAAAGCACCGCTATCGCTTGATTCGTAAGCCATTATATTTTCTCTACTCACGAGCGTTCGAGTCGATCAATTTCGATCATTTTGCGATTGGCGATGCCCTCAAAATAAAGAATACCACTCAAGACAAGAACGTTCGAGAAGAAAAAGAGAGAGAAAAAAAGATGTGACAGCAGCGAAATCAGCTTGGAGAATCGAGAGTCGCGCGAACGTGAAAAGGGGTGTGGTAACAAAGAGGCGACAGTAGCCCAAGGGTATCAACAAGTCGTTTCCGTATTCCCAGTGTCGCGCCACTCGCTGCTTGTCTCTCCGCTTTTGCATACGTTTGCACGCCTTTCGCCGAAAGCTTAAGCTGACGCGCCGTTTGCAAGGCGGAGAATCCTTGCGGGACGACTCCCTCGTGTTTTTGCGCGCTTCGCGAGATGAGAGCCCCGCTGATTTTATCTCCTCACGGTGCAAACTCGTAGCTCGTGCAGTCGACCACGAGAGCCCACCGAACGTCGAGTCGTTGGTGACAAATCGATGATGCGTAACGTCGCGGCGACATCGCGATCAACGTTGCCGTGGCAAGCGCACGGTAGATACAGAGCGCTGCATATTATCCCGATGGTTCAACCATTAATTCAGTCTCTCATAATGCGCAGGCTGCTAAGTGCTGACGTGGCAGTGGCTGCACCACTTATATCAATGGGCGCGCTACTCGGCAAAACCACCTACATCCAGCTCATCTTCATGGGCATTATTGAGCTCATCGTCTACACTCTCAACAAGTACATCGGCGAGAAGCATTTTGGGGTTTGTATTATATTGGGCAGCGCTCGGAGACTTCGCTTCGTGAAATTCATGCTTCGATTTGTGTATTCGAAGACTTGACAAAGAAAATTCGAACTTGAAACATTTAATACGTTCGTTAATAACTTATGAAAGTTGGAGAACCGTAGGATCGCTTGAAAAATTTAATCTTAACGATATTTCTTTCACGTCGACGTTGCCTCTGATGTTTTATTTATTCGATTGATAATCTTATCCCGATGATAGAGTTGATGTATTTGAATAAATTACATTCTCGTCTTGTCTGCAAATAAACGGAAATACTGGTATCAATTCATAGCAGTTGTAATAATTGGAAAGTTCCATATTAATATTGAACAATTTTTCACGACTTCATCGGTAAATGGCATTTGCTAGATTATCAAAAAAAATCGCAAGGCAGATCTATGATTAGCGTTAGAATCGAGCCACAACGCTGTTCAGATCCGCGAACGTATTCAGTACAATTGATTATGCCATCAAAGGATCTTGCTATATAGGCCGTAGACGCTGGAGATAGTATGTACGTGCACGCGTTTGGGGCTTACTTTGGATTGGCAGTGAGCTTTGTATCTGGCATGAAGGAGAAGCCCAAGGAGCACAGCCTCGAAGGATCCACTTACGAGTCTGACATATTCGCAATGATTGGTGAGTACAGCATGTGAATTGGTTTCTCTGCTTTGATCTGAATGGAGCAGTGATGATACTTTACGCAAATCGATGTTTAAGGCACGGTATTCTTGTGGTTATTCTGGCCGTCGTTCAACAGCGCAGCATTGAAGGGCGACGAGCAACATCGAGCGATCATCAACACCTTGTTGTCGATAGCAGCGAGTTGCGTCGTGTCGTTCGCCATATCAGCTTTCGTTTCCAAACAGAACAAGTTCAACATGGTACACGTGCAAAATTCGACTCTCGCTGGTGGCGTTGCCATTGGCACTGCAGCTGGTATGTGAATCTAAAACTGTAAATGTATAGAATGTACTACTGCTGCATTGAAAGCTTGGACGAGCAATTTCATGAGTAATTTTTGGTTTGACTGAAAAAATTTGATTGACAGGTATGATGTGTCAACCATATGGAGCTCTAGTTGTAGGCAGTGCAGCTGGTATCATTAGTGTGCTTGGCTACAAATATCTCACGGTAATTGAAATATCCGGTAAACATGTAATACTGATAACAACAATAAATAATCCGCTTTTACAGCCACTGATACAGAAGCGCTTGAAGATTCACGATACATGCGGAGTTCATAATTTACACGGCATGCCAGCAATTATAGCTGGGCTATTTGGTGCCATTCTTGCCGGGATTGCGACGGAAGATGTTTACAATTATTCCTTATACGAGGTGTCCCAACGACTAATCGATATTTTAACCAAGATCATTCAATGTAATATTTTTTCCAGATATTTCCGGCACGCGTTCCCAGCTTAGGGCAGAATCTAACCATGCTCAACGATAACTACAATACAGTATTCAAACCCGGTCTTAATCGTAGCGCTGCTCAGCAAGCTGCTTATCAACTGCTGGCTCTCGCTGTCACACTTGGTATTGCTGTAGTTAGTGGTTTGCTCACTGGTAAGCACGTTGTCGTTGTGCAATTATATTTGCTGTCTGAGAGTAATTTGATTTTAGGCTTGATTCTGAGATTTTCGATTTGCGGAAGCATCAGCGAGGATGAGAAGTTCGACGATTGTATTCACTGGGAACTGGAAGGCGACGAACATGAGACTTCATCGGCGAATAAAGATGGAAACGGCAGAAATTTAGAGCAACTTTCTATGGGCCACATTTGAATCTTAATTTATTGGGTATTTTAGTTGCCCGGTGATTTTTTTTATCGATGAAAATGCAAGTGCATCTAGATGAATAGGAAATATTATTCGGTAATTAATAAATATTGTACAGCATTTGATGTAATCCATAAATATTTTTAATAAGATTTGCTATAAAATTCTTTCTTATCGCTAAGCTTTACAATAAATAAGCTGCTCAGTAAAAATAACTACGATTTTTCCAACAATTATCGATAACTTTAGACATGTAATACAATTAAATGACGAAAACAAGATACAAATTTTCCAAAAAGTAAATGTTAAACATATAACACAACATGATAGACAAAAAATTTCTTTTGAAATATACAAGAATTTTTACACATCATTCTAACTCCACAAAATTGTTTTCCATCGTATAAAATTCAATATCTCTAAGTTCGATGTTAGAAGCGGTGAGCAAATTGCTTATCGAACCCTCTTAGTGTAAATATATATCAATGAAATTTAACAATTTGAAGTAGGGAATTTATGTCTACATATAAATTTATAGAAATAGATAACATTCACTTCATCAAGGCGTGAACCACAGCTTTTGCATTCAAGGACTTCAGATCCGTGTAAGTCTGGCCAGTACCGACGAAAACAATTGGCTGACCAGTGATATAAGTCATCGAGATCGCAGCACCCACCTAAAATTTTTCATTTTCATTAGAAACATATTTTACCTAAAAAGCTACATTCAAATATATTCTAATAATGTCATTTATTCAATGGAAGTGCTTTTTAAAATTATAGTTTGGAAACATTTGAATTACTGCATTTGAAAGGTTGAGATAGAATTAGATAAAATTCTGAATAAATTAATAACCGAGTAGTTGATTTTGCTAATATTTCTGTTCTGAATTATATTCAATTAAATAAAATTATGAGATGTGCCACTTATATTTAAAAATCTTCAACCCTACCTTATCGTCAATTGTATCAAACTTAGTAAGCACGATGCCATCAATGATATGAGGATTAGTGGTGCTGCTGTAATCAGCGAGAGCTTGATTAAATTTGACAAGCTGGTCGACGGCTTCGTTGCCAACAAGGGCTTCACCGACAAAAAGCACGAGATCGGGATCGTTGACCTTGATGAGTTTCGCGAGAGCGCGCATCAATGGCTCGTTGTCCTGCATACGGCCAGCCGTATCTACTAGTACAACATCGAAATGCGATTCTCTAGCGTAACGAATTGCCTCCATTGCTATACCTGCGGCGTCCTTGCCATAGCCTGTAAATAAAAAATGTTTTATATTTATTAAAACACACATTTTTAAGTAAATATTGAAGTTGTAATTTGAATTCACGTATTTCGGCTAAATGTTGATAAAAAATCAAAGGTCTAGTCAAGTATAACACAAACTGGCTTGCAAAAACTTCTATTTCAATGGCATTTATAATAATCATATTGACACGGTAGTCTTTAATACCAATCAGTTTTTATAATCGTGATTTATTTCCTTGAAGTGGTTGACAACAGGATCAGCAAAACATTGGATGAAATAAAAAATTGATAATTATTTTATGAGTCGATCCTTCCTATCGATGATTAATGTTCATACTAACATAATGGAAGGTAGAAATAATAATTAATTAGTTAATCTAAAATGTAAAGCCAAAGATCCTTTTTTGACATTTACATTAAGAGAAATAGATAAAGAATAATTGAAAAAGCTTGTAAAATATTAATAATTCGGCTGCATAAAACCAATCATTAAGAAGAAATTACAGTTGCATAATAATTGTTAAAAATTATACAAAAATAAACCATTATTAAGTTTTTGAAGATTAGTAAGATTTAAAAAGTACTTATAAAAGTAACTACCTTTTTCGTATAGTTGAACCATAGTAAAACCTCCATGCTTCTCCGGTGGATGCAAAGCATTCAGATGCTTCATATGAGTTCTTAACTGTTCAACAGCTCCGGCTCTGAAGGTATCACAAGCAGCAATTAACACTCTAAAATTGTTCTCTATCAACCAGAAACAAATCTTGGCTAAATTTGTAGATTTTCCAACGCCATTTACACCACAGAAAGCCATGACGTAAGGTCTACTATTCTTCTTTGCCTCAAAAGCATCGCGAAGAATATCAACTCGTCGTTCAGGTGACAAAATTTGCACGAGAGCATCAGTCAATGATGATTTAACGGTGCTGGCAACACTGTCGAAAGTACCAAGAACTTTGCCTTCGAGTTTTGTACAAACCGAATCGCATAGTTTTTCAGCGATATCTATTGCAACATTCTTAGAAATCAGGTGAACTCGCAACTGTTCGAGTACTGGACGCATGGTTTCTTCAGTGAGAGATTTGTTACCAACTAAACTCTTAAACATGGAGAACATGCCGCTGGATTTCTTTTGCTGAGGCTTAGTTTTTTGGAATTCCAACTCATCCGAGTCACCATCGTTTTCTTCAGAAGAGCTTTCAACTTCCAAATCTCGAATGCTACCTTTCATTTGACCAATAATCTAGAAAAAAAGATATGTTAATATCCTAATTTCATGTATTAATTAAGATAAAAAGTTAATTTTGTACTGTTGTATCAGTAGCAACATATTCTTCTGATAATTCAGGTTTATCCTTAGTACGTTCTAGCGAGGCAACGTCTTTGTTTGTTCCGCCTAATTCCCAAACCCTAGGTTTCTTACCAGCTTTTTCAGGCTTTGGACTTTTTCTAAAAATAAAAACGATAATTGCTGAACATATTCCTGGAAATAATCAATAATAATGTTAAAGACTTTAGTAACTTACTGTTTATCAGCCTTTTTTTTGGGGCCAGACATTTTCTGAGCGAGTTTTATACGGTTAGCTATTAACATTTCTTCATCAAGTTCACCATTTTGAACGGCATTCGGTTTTGGCGAGTCCGGTATTTTAGGCACTTCTTGGATTTTAGCTAAATCAAATTACATTTCCAATTACTAATTATTATACATTTGTAAGTACATATATAATTATATATAATGATGATAATTATATATAATTATATATAACGATGATTAGTTCTATTTTATAGAAATAGAAAATCTTACATGACTAGCAAAGCATAGCATGCAAAATTATAATAAAGCCAAATTCATCTCACTATCAACTTACGTTGACTTTCGTCAGCCTCATTGGTCCCCCTTTTTTTTTTATCTGAAAAAATGGCAAATTTCCATCTCCATAAAATAATCCAGCAAAACCTTTTTATTCGTTTAAATGCAAGGAAATGTTAATTTAGCCAAATGTTTCATGAAATTTAGATTATTATAGCTATGATGACAAGCCAGTGAAAATGAAAAATATTCCATTTGAATGAATAAAAAATTAGAAGGTTAAGGAAAAAGTTCACTGAAGCATACTTACTTTGTTTCTTATTATCCTTATCTTTATGATCATCTTTTCTCTCTATCATACTAGCGACAGTCTTTTTAGACTTTTGACTTTCATCAAAAGTTCTCATTTGTTTAGGAATTTTAGCTTGAGATTTACTCCATTGCTCAGCTAATATCAGTGTTTGCTCGTAAATTTTCTTGAAATCATAGTTGAAAAACCATTGCGCATTTTGTAGCTCATTTTTGTAACGATCTCTAAACTCCAGATGGATATCATTTAAAAACTTGTCAATGTAGGATAACTGTAGTATTTTTTGATATGCCACCACAAAAACCAATTCAAACTCATTGTCCAATTTGTATTGTAGGCGTAATGCATCGTGCTCAAACACTTGATTTCCAGTTCTCTCCTGTAATTGATATATCCATAAATTAAATATTGCAAAGACTTATTTATAAACAAATACTGTCTATTTGTTGGAATTCAAATACCTTTTGTATATTGTTCACAATAAAGAAATATTTAGAAAAAAATTTCTTTGTAATTAAAAAAAATCCAATTCAAGAAAAATACTTTAAAAAAATAACTAATTATTTTGTAAAATAATGTTATAATTTTTATAAAAATAATTCACTGCTTATTTCTAATAAATAAAACCACATGATATAAGATTTAAAAAATTTTCCTTCACATTTCACTATTTATTTCATATATGTGTCACTAGAGAACTAGAAACTTATTTCTATTTTTGGATCTAATTAATAACAAATTATTCTAATTGGCTTCTAATTTAAAACAAACCCCGTTATCTGTTTAATTCTTAATTTTACTTAGAAAGACTGAATGCAAGTGCATTATACAACGAACAAAAAAATATTTACTTTCTAAAAAAAGTTGGCAACCTGTTTACAAATAACAGCACATGTGACAGAACATTCAATGTATCCATATGGAACGTAATTACAGCACTTAAATCTAAGCTCCGAAGGTTCCAATCGACCGTACAAAGCCGAAGAAAATTAAATTCAAAACAAAGTACGAATGATTTGACAACAATCATCTAAATTCAATATACCGAGAAAAATGTCAATAGTTTGGAAATAATCAAAAAGTATACCTGTAGTATGACACTTTTGATTAGGGCGTTAACACTTGGTGTAAAGATTTGAGCTGTGCTTTGGAAGCACCAGAGCACGATGCCGCCTTTGCTGAAGATTGTGAACAAGTCGAGCATCCTCGTTTGATATTTTGAAAGCTTGTCGAGGATGAGGATGAAGAAGAGTAGTAGTAGTAGTGTACGTAGTAAAGTGCCGTGGATGATAAACCTAACCTATACGTACACCGCTATAGCAACAGCGCTGGGCCAACACAGGGCCAATAAGCAACGTTTGTCGATTGAAATTGTGCGCGCGCGCGTACGATTACGACAGTAATCTCTTCTGCTCGAATATGGTTGGCGAACTTTGCGATGTGAAGAGAAAGAGAGGGAGATTACTTGACGTGTCCGCTATCATTATTTAAGTTTATTTTAGTTTTCTCAATTCATTTCGGAATTGCTGGAATTCAGATTATCTTCAATTTCGATTGGTTTCAGTTAGTAGGTTAATTTTTCCTTTTTATCGTGTTTTGTGTTATGTTATGAATAAATTAAGTAATCGTATAAATAAAGATTTTTATGTGACATACAGCAGCATTGCAAAAACATTTCATATTTTGAAAGTTTTTTGATTACAGGTACGAAATAATGAAGTCTAATTAAATTATTAAACCTGATGATTAAATATTGTCTTACATTTTTACCGAGCAATCTACTTAATATCTGACATTTTTTGGAAATTTAATTGAATGAGTTTAGAGAATATTTAAACTAAATAATAAATTCAATACTATTCTTTACTGAAAAAGTCACATAAGCACGTGATAATTCACGTGTTATATTTGTATGACTTGATAATCTATTGGTATATAACGGCAAAAATTACAATTTTTTCTTAAATTATTTTACAAAATCGTAATGTAAATACGAAAATTCACAATGAAAATATATAAAGTTAAATAAAATAACAAAAAAGATAATTTTCATAAACTTTTGGATTCAAATTAAGTCGCACAATTTTGTAATTTCACGTAATATCTCTTTGAAAATTATGTATAATTTATTACATAAATATTATATTTCTAACAAGCATATATTAATTGTAATTTAACGTAATATCATTTAAAAATGCAGGTGAAATTGCGTATTTTTCAGAGTCAACGCAAGCCACTTAATTGCTTGAATTCACGTGATTTCATACAAAAATCTGTCATATCACGTAAAAAGATGCGATGTACGCCTTGAACATTTAGATATTAGACGCGTAATATTATGTAATATATCATGTAATTGCAATATCACATGGCAATTAACGTAATAAATCATGCAAAAATGACATGTGATTTTTTTCACTAGGGTATCTAATGAACCTATTAAATGGGTTAAAACTTGTTTCATTCCATAAAATATGAAATTTTCTTGTATGACAATATTATAGAAGGGACCGAGTACTGGTTGGTACAACTTTTTCATAAGATCAATTTTATCATACCGGCCATGATGAAACAGTCACGGGACTTCTTTTCATTCTATTACATAATCTTTCTAAATTGTGCTACAATGCACGTTAAATAATTTGATAAAATTTTTAGTTATTTCTGCCCTTCTAAACTGTTTACAGTTTAAATTACCGATGAATTAGTGTACATTGACATCTTAAGCTACATGTAATAGGGACACCCGTCTAATATATCAAGACTAAATAGTAAGCTCTGTAATTCACAACTCTATCAACAATAATTTGAAGACTTAATCTATAAATATATAATAAACCAAACTGAAACTGTTCTGGTGTGAGCATTTACGTTATATATACCACGACCGTAATAGTATGTTAAGGAATTTTTTCGGTTAGCTATATTGGGCGATTTCAAAACATCATTTGCAAGTATAATGTTACGAATTTCGCAGGCAAGCCATAAGTAAACAATCTTCAATAAGCTCATTTCAATATCGTGAGTTTATACTGTGATCGTTGATTTCTTAGTTTTTTACATTGATCACATTTGTACACAGATCACGGTCGATTACGTATTTTCATCCCCTACTTCTTGTGTGAAATTTCGTAAGCTCTAAAAGTTTAACTGTATTTGAATGTATATTTTTTGTAACGTAAATTTTTGAAAACATTCGAAAGTCGGTCAGCAACCATTCAAATAGTATAAGTTTCAAGAGATTTGTATGTTTTAACAATTAAAACATCGTTATTAAATTCTATATTTATTTTTCCTATTCTATGTTGTTCATAGTTTTGAACAACTTCTCTAGAAAAAAACTGATATATAAAAGTCAAATAAGTTTCAATCCACATCCCTTTATCTTCTGTTTGGCATATTTGACCGCTGATGTGATTATTTTTTATTAAAGTAACTAATTTCATTATCATTCAGAAATTAAAATTTTTTAAATAGTATTGTATTAAAAACTATAGGTGATGAAAAGTTTTATAATAAAAGAAAAATTCTTTATACTTAAAAAATATAAATTTTGAATAAGATAAAGTCGTAAAAAAAATTTTTCTCAAATTGTTTTTTAAATAAATATGTGAATAAGTAGAATGTGAGCTTGCTATCTGTTTTAAGCTTTATACATATAATAGTAATATTTTACCCTGGGTAAATCAATTGCTAATTATACTAAGTTGAATTATTAGCAAATCGTCTAATTAATGATGATACAATTCGAAAAAAATCAGGAAGTTTTACAGCAAACATTTATCGTGTGCCTCAAACGGAAATTCATTTGATACTTAGATTATAAATAAATAAATAACTGGACTTTCTAAATTACTTAATTATATTTTTGATTAGTTAAAGCTCATACACAGAAAGTCAATAAATTATTGATAATTATATCATTAATCTCACACAACAATTTATTTTTGATTTACAGTAAATTTTTTGTCTATTACATAACATTGGATTGAAAACTAAATCGTTTGTTAATTAGAACAATTAGATGACTTGGACAAGCTTCGGAAAGTTCCAAAGGAAATGATAAGCGCAGCTTAACGTAAGCAGTCGAACGAAAGTTAATTGGGAGTATTTTATAAATATTTTTCTAACCAATTAAGCTTTTAATGATATGTTTTACTTCTGAATGAAAGCCTCATCTATAGAATAGAAATGAAATATCATCGAACTGTAACAATCAGTCATGAGATGACTATGAAGTTCATATTGATACACTTTTACCTTTTTGTGATCTTTCTAGCTTTTAGCGAAGGTAAGCAATAACCTCAATAACTTATACCAAACTTCTTAAAATAAATATTCAGTGCTCTACAAAGTTACGTTGTTGTTTATTTGTCAATCATTTGAACAGCAAGGCTCAAGAGTTACGGAGCCAAAAATGCAAGGAATGGTCAATTCCCCTTTGTTGTCCTGATATCTTACAAAGGCCATAAACATTGCGGTGGGTCGATTATTCATGAACGCTGGATCCTCACAGCTGCCCACTGTTTGCATGAGTATGTCATTGAACATTTGAAATGATGGAATTTCTTTATTAAGCATATCCTCGCTGACTACATTTCAAAAAATATTTAGAAACACATCCAAACCTCTGATCACAGTTGGAACATCAGGAAATCTCGGATCTGGTACCACGTATAGAGCGAAAAAATTGTTCTTCCACCCCGATTTTATCGTCATACCTGAAGATGAAAACGATGTAAGTATTACATCTTATGGATTGATAAATATTATCGATTTTAAAAAACGAAAATGTATGCAAGGGTCTCGAATTCGTCGACAACGACATCGGTCTGATTCTTTTGGCATCGAACATAACATTTACTTATAAAATTCAACCAGTATCATTAGCAACGTTAGATGATGGCTCTTACGAAAATTCTATAGCAACTATACCAGGTTGGGGATCGGCCGAAGTATGTATAACTATTTTCTTTAATTTAACTTTATACAAAATTTAAAAAATGCTTATAATTGTTATAGTATTATGAAGATATGAGCAAACATCTTCGCTACATCAACGTTCGGGTATTAACTAAGAAAGAATGTCAGAAAGTATGGACCTACGCGGATAAGCATTACTGCACTTCTACTCAAGAGCAACAAGGAGTATGTTATGTAAGTTTGAATATTCTAAACTTATTAGAAAGAAAATTGGCAATCGTATTAAGATTCGATATTTCAGGGTGATTCCGGTTCTCCAATGCTCGTCGGTAATGTACAAGTTGGAATTGCTTGTACAGCTGACACATTTTGTGAGTCAGTGAAACCAGATCTTTTCACAAAGGTTGCTAGCTTTATTACGTGGATAGAGAGTATCATGAGTTATTATGGAGATGTTTTATCAGAATTCAACTAATCGAAATACCACTGTAAGCTAGAATTGTATACTACGTCAGTTTTATAAACTATTTACAAATTTCTGCAAATTTTTGTGTAATGTTTATTTTAATTAATGATTTTCTATATCGTATATAACAATGGTAGTTTTTTTAGAGTATTTTTTCGAATGTCCAATTGATATATTTAAAAAAAATGAATTAAAGATGTCCAAATAAAAATAAAAATAATTACAGATGTATTTATTGCTATACAGAAACTAATATTACAATTTATAAAAGACCCCTTCCTATACAATTATATAGCCAATATATTTAGTATTATATATATTAAACTATATACTATTATACATATAGTAAACGGGTAAAATTTCCCGCGTTATCCTTCTAATAGAACGTAGTTAGTACTTGAAAAAATTATTATTGATAAATGTTATAGTCTAGATTACAAATAATCTCAATGTTGGAATGTTCTATCTAGTGGTTTTATCATAAAAAAAATAAAAGATAATTTTGAGTAAGGCTACTGGTTTTTATGTTTACGGTAAAATTAAAACATTGACGCGAGTGGTAATAAAACAATTGTTACTCTAACCTTAATCAATTTTTGCACAAAACTTTACTGATAACATATTCATCATAGAAGAAATAAATCAACTAAAGTAAATAATAGAAATTATGTTTATGACAAAGTTTATGAATAACATTTAATAAAAGAAAACAATTATTTGTAAATTTTACTACTATTTTACGTAATAATGTAGTTTTTGCCGTGCACTGAAAGCTTCTGTGCGTGAAGTCGATGATCTTTAGCATACATATATGGATAAGCCTGTCTACTTAATTTACTATATTCTGCGCTAATTTTAACTTTTTCACTTCCGACGATGCAGAGAACTTGATAAATTTCTGCTTCTTTATATGTCATTTAGTTTTTTTCTTCGCCCGTTAATGTAGCTTTTATCTCAACATTAGCAGTTTTTTCGGACCGGCTTGTTGATACTTCAGAGATATCATTACATACTGGCAGACAACTTGATATGATTCTACTTTTCTTCTACTTTTCTCTGTATCGTTTAGCTCTTTCTGCAGCCATTAATGGAGCTTTCTTGTGAACGTTGGCTTTTTGCTCGAGCTGACTTTATTACTATTATATGTATATTTTTATGTGTACAATTATCTACTCGATACACTGTGTTATTAATTTTAATCTTAGGATCTTACCCTAAAACTTTCCAAGCTTTCTTCTCAAATTTTCAATTCTTTTTCCACTTTGATTGTTGTTTTTAGGGCATTATTGGTATTTATTTTAGAAGAAAGGTTTAATTTTATTTCTTGCTTCAATCGGTGTTTAAAACACTTCAACGCATTTTCTTCGAAGGCAACCTTTTCAACTTGACTTATTGATTCGACATTGTCTTGGTGTTTCTTTGCTTTGATTATTTTTTAACTTAGGAGCCAAATTCTATTAAGACATTTGCCAATAGAATTCATTTTTATTATCACTTTGACATTCGTTTCCTAGTTCTCCTAATAGCTGATATATAGTTTGTAGTGGAGCAAAAATATCAGCTAAATGTAACAAAAACTCATCAACGGTTTTGAAATTAATTCCAATAATAGTTGATTTCATTTCCTCTTCTTATTTTCCTTTTACGAGTTTTGCATTCACAACTTAATGGCAGCATATTTTTAGCTTCTTTGCAAGCTTCAATAAATGGCATCCATTAATCTAAAGTACCATCAAAGTATGAAACAATCCTCAGTAATTCTTTTAATTATATTGTTTGTTCTGATTCTTTTTGTAAATCATCAGATTTTCTATCTTTACTCTTTTAGATAGAATTTTCTTCTGTATGTAAATGTTAACGAATTGATTTTTCGTTAAAATAAGTAAAATTGTGAAATCAATTTTACATAGGTAGCTAAATTACTTTTAATTCACATTAGTTTAACATTAAAATATTACAATTATTGCGTTGAAGTAAAGGATAGTTCATTTAAAATAAATTTCATTTTGACCTACTAAGTCTAAATTAAACGTTATGAAACTACTCGTGGAGCCCGTGGCTAAGAAAATCAAAACGATCGAATGTTTTCATGTTCGTTGCAAATTTGCAGATCAACGTATTATTATCATTATCATTATTATTTTTATCAACGTTTATTCATCATACTGTTCAAAGATTCATTTATGAGGCTTAATTATCGAAAATATTTGGTATTTTTATTGTTAATGGATACTTGCCATTTACAGTAATGATCTAAGTTAGAATTGCTAAGATAAATTCTGTCAATGCAAAGATTTAATTATAATGCAATAAAAAATTTGAATAATGTATATAGTTTGGAAAAAATTTATTTCTGAAAAACAGATGCGTTTTTTTCATCAGATAATAGTAAAAGATAGAAGTAGAAACAAATCAAGAAATTTCGGAAGGGACCTAGACTGCCATATTATTGTATAATGTCGTATAGTCCGTGCTTATACGCCCGTGACTCTTGACCGTGACCCTTGATTGTATAGGCCTTGTGGGTCTAATGTTTGAAATCTTAAAAAAAAGAAAAAATATGCACATAGCAAATACCAATTTGCTGCATTTTTTCATTTCTTATCCTCGATAAGCGAGTCTTCGATTTCATTAATATTGTAGTAGAATATTTTGTGCAATAATATATGATTGATAATTGCTATAATTTTTTTTGCTACGATAAATCTAATTGACCAGAGTCTTTTTTATCAAAATATTAATATTCGTGGCGATAGAGTACATTTTTTATCATGAAACTTTTCTTTATTTCTGACTGGATCATAGTTTAGTTTGTTCATCTACTTTAACTAAATAAGCGTACATCGGTAACAATAATGACGAACATTTAAATCACGTTTTTCGTAAGAAAGCTTATTTTATTTTCAAGTTAATTTGTGGTTCATTGTATAAAATCGAATAATTAAAACGAATGAAATGACAGAAAAAATATTTTCTTGCATGAATTGATATACGTTTATCATGGGCACTTGAACGGAAGTTACTTTAAAATAACTTTAATGACTTTTTAGATTTAAAACTAATTAGCTTATCAGTGACTTTTTGTATTTTTAAGCTATCACCTGTACATAAGAGACAAGTAAAATAAAATTAAACAACAGCTATTATTACTACTACATCGATGAAACTGATAAGTTTTTACTCACGTTTTTTATATTATCAGCTTTCAGTGAAGTGATATGACTTCAATCGCTCCATACTCAATTCAAAAATAAAAATTCTTATACTAAAATAGTTAGATTATTCACCATTGTTTAACAGTGAAGTATAAGAGTTATGGAGGCAAGTACACACGAAATGGTCATTAGCTTTTGAAGCACGAAATCATCCTGTCTGATTTGTGCACTAATCAAACTTAAAAATTTCACATTTTTTGTAAAATCAAATTGAGATAAATCTCATCTAAACGACATTTATTTTTTTGTCTACTTATTTGAGGCATTGCAAAAGTCATTTTCTGAAAATATTGTACCAAGATACAATTAATGTCGTTATTCATCGCCCACGACTGTAAAAATCTAAGAGTAAAATAAGCATGTAATAAGCGTACTATAGATTCTTTTGGACATAAAATTAAAAATAGCGCAATCAGTGGCTGATAATATAAAATTCAAATGCATGAAATATTTAATTAAAAAACGTAGACAACCGGAATTATGATGGCGTTATAGATAACCTATGGTTATTTGAGCGGAAGTTTAAAATATACGTCACACGCTAATTATAATTCGTAGGTTTCAAACTGATTTTCTGTTCAGTTATATTGGTGGTTTTCAAGCACAAGCGTGTCTCTAAAAATTGAAATTAAATTATAATTAAATAGCGATCACAATAGTTTTCAAGCAGCTATGAAGTTTGTACTGATCACGTATCACCTCTCCCTGTTCTTATTAACCTTTAGTAATGGTAAGTAAAATAGTCTCAGCTAAAAGGAATCATTATCAAAGGCATCTTTGGCGTTTCTATTCTAACAACATTTACAATTGTTAAACAGCCAAACACAAAAGTTACGGAAGTAAACTCGCACGTGCTGATCAGTTCCCATTTGTAGTCTCGCTGTCTTACAATAACCGAGAATATTGCGGTGCGTCAATCATTCACGAACGTTGGATTCTTACAGCTGCCCACTGTTTATTTAAACAGTATGTCATTATTTTTATTCCAATAATACATTTCGAAAAATTAGTTATTGAATAGACGCAATTATAAAACGCCAAAATTGTTCAGTGACGAGGAATACGGTTACCTCACGGATGACACTATGGTTACTACCAGATCTGGTATTACATATAAAATGAAAAACTTATACAAACATCCCGATTTCATTTTAATACCCGAAGAAGAAAACGAAGTGAGTAATATCTATATTATTATGGTTATTATGGGGACTGAAAACGAAATTTTATATAAGGGCATGGAATACGTCGTTAACGATATTGGTCTGATACGTCTATCACACAATATCTCCTTCAACGATAAAGTCCAGCCAGTTACACTGGCAACGATGAAAGATGGTTCTTACGAAAATGTGACAGCAACTTTACCAGGTTGGGGACGTACTAGTGTATGTATGACGATGACATTTGATTTCAAATCATTCGAAATTATAATTATTTTCAATCATTACAGTACGGTGATCACAGTCACAAGTATCTGCGCTACATCACAGTTCGCGTATTAGCTCATGCTGAATGTCGGAGAGCATGGACGTACGCTGATAAACATATCTGTACCTCTACTCGGGAGAAACAAGGAGCGTGTTACGTAAGTCTATGGGTTAAAATCAATACGGAATCATATATGCTGGTTTCGTACCAAGTGGTCGAATATAATTTAAGAACTGTGCTATACAGGGCGATTCAGGCTCACCATTGGTTGTGGGTAATATACAAATTGGAGTTACATCTACAGCCGATACTTACTGCGAGGCACTGAAGCCTGACCTTTATACCAAAGTGGCTAGCTTTGTACCATGGATCAAGAGAATCATGAGTCACTATGGAGACATCTTGCCAGATTTATAGCGTAATCGAAAAGCCATCCCAGATAAATGTACTATATGTATTATAGTGAATTACCTGATATTCAAATACAAATTACATAAAAGAAGAGAAATATCATATTATTAAAAGTTCGTTTGTTCAGCCTGGGTCTTGGCAGAGCCTTTCTATATTGCAACTAATTGTAACAATTGCACCAAGAAAAGGTAGGAGTAGCTTTCGCGTTTTTCTTCGAAATAAACAGCAATCTCGCCGACGTTTCATTTCAAATTTGAATGTTTTACATCATCTTCAATTTTTCATCGAATATACTTGTTACTCAACATCAACACTCTTCAGTTAAAATGTGAGTTTAATTTTGTGTTTTGTAAGAGTATGGATATTACATTTGTTATTACTACGCGACATATAATTGTTTTATTAAGACCTTATGGACGATTCCGTTATATTACACGAAATCCTGAGCTCCCATCAATCAAATGTGAATCATTTTGTAGCAGTATAACAATTGATTGTAAATCCATAATTAATCGCATGAAGATGGATCACGTTAAAGTGTACGAGTTTAAAATATTGAGATGACTGATAAATAATCGAGATATCACAAGACATATTACATTGAAATAGGAAAAATAATTTATTGACTGCTCAAGTAAGGCTATACAGATAACGAGTGTAAGTATACAAATAACAATTGAAAGATACCCAGATAACACAGTGCCGGCACTATGCCGTCAGAATGCGCCGGCACGGTAGGGACGTCCAAGTGTATCCGCATTCTGACGTCGTTCTGGAAGCACGCCGTGCCTTCCACGCCGTGCGCTCATTGTGCCCGCGGTCGCAGTGTGAGATGCGAATTTGCGGGTACAACTTTGATTGTCTAGAACTCATTTAAAAAAAATAAAGAACTTATTAATACTTCTGCAGCATGCCTCGACGCTTCATTGCTGCTTTAAGTTTATTAGCATTTGTTTACGATCTGAGGTTTGTTTAACAAGATATTTTCATGACCTTTAAAATCCAGTTATTGAGAATCGCCTGCATTTTCTGTAATTTATAACATATATTCAACCTTGTCATCTTTCTAAGCAGTTAAATATTTTTTTACACTTTATTATCGGCAAATGTATTTGTCATGGTTGTTTCTGAATAGAAGTGAAAAAATAATAGTTAATACCGATGCGGGTGCGGACGACGCGGTGGGACTGTTACTTCTACTGAGGTACGAAGCTGCGAATAAAAACTCTGGTTTTCAAGTCATTGGGATCACGTGTTCGTACGGAAACACGGAAGAAAACAACGTCGTGACAAATGTGCTGAGAACATTGACAGTTACCCGTCGCGGTGACGTAAGTTCCCATTGTTGCGACAAACGTTGATATTTTTTAATGAATTATACGATTTGAAGATACCGGTCTACAGTGGAGCGACACAAGGATTTAACGAGCCGTTTTCGACCGACAATTATTTTGGATCTGATGGATTCAGCGATGCCCAATTCGATGAAGAAATCACCGCTAAGGTCGATCGATCGAAACATGTTGCCCTAGCTCTTGTAGATATGGTTAAACAATATTCAGGTACATTAGAAAAAGACAAAAGCATGACTATTATAATAAAAAAATTCCTATATTTCTGTAAATGTCTTGTACATAGGTAACGTTAGTATTCTATCACTTGCCCCGTTGACAAACATAGGATTAGCGATCTCCCTTGATAGGAATTTTACGAAACATGTGAAGCATTTTTACGTAATGGGTACCAGTGTTGCCGGAGTTGGTAATAAGCGTCCAAACGTCGAGTTCAACATTGCTGCCGATCCAGAAAGTACTGCTGTGTTTTTCAATTCCACGCAAAAGTCACAAATAACTCTGGTTCCTTGGGAAACTGTGCTAAATACAGAGTTGTCCAAGGTATTTTTTATCGCTGTTCTTGCAACAGTGTATGGCCTCTAAATTGATATCTGGCAATAATTGGTTTTCAAGGATTGGAGAAAGAACGTTTTGGGAAAATATAATTCGCCTTACATCGAATTTCTTAATAAAGTTGAATGGAAGAGCTTCGCAGTGAAAAGAGAGCAGTGGGTTTCGGCGGACGCTACTACTGTGGCATGTATGATCGAGCCTTCACTGATAAACGAATATAAAGTTGTAAACGTGCAAGCTGTGACGGATGGTTTAGCGAGAGGTTCTGTCTTGGTAGATTACGGGCAACGCACTGGAAAAACAGACAACTCCAAAATCGTATTGAAAATCAACGAAACAGTTTACAAAAATATGCTTATCGAATACTTAACTTGTGAAGAAATTACTTGTTGATAGGATGTTTATTCATGTGTTTATATCATATATTTATTCATATAAAATGTTACCAAATAATGTTATTAAAAAATGGCAGTAGATAATTTCAAGTAAACAATTTTGAAACATTTTAATATTTAATATAATTTATTCTTACTTAAAATTATAAGCCAGTATATCATTTGCTTAATTGATGTAACATGTAATGTATACTTATTTGCAATTGTCATCAAAAGGAATTTTATATAAAAGAAGAGGTATATTTTATATTTTAGGAGCTTAATTGTATCTTTTGAAAAAACCTAGTAAAGCTGACGCTTCTTGCGGTGATCATCCGCAAACTCAGGTTACCGGGATATGGTAACTTGCCACCGATTGTCGAAGTAGGGATCAAATTATCATATCTCAGTATATCTAACTAATAACAGTTTTTAAGAACCAGATCTAACCAAAAAAAAGACAGCTGATCGATACACAAGTCGTCGTAAGATTTTTCGTACTTAAGTTATCAAATAAAATCAAAATAGAAGATATAAAATGTTTACCGCTAGGATTTTTCGAGCTTCGTCGACCATCCGAGGATTAGCAACGAAACCTGAAGAAATAAGCAACTTAGTTAAGGTAAATCAACAACATTTGGAGCCGCCGATTCATGTTGTTTTTTTTTAATAAATTATTTCAAAATATTTCGCAACAATCATGATTTAATTGCTTCATCAATTTACAGAAAAATAAAGTCGTTGTTTTTATGAAAGGAGTACCAGAGGAGCCAAGATGTGGTTTCAGTAATGCAGTTGTACAAATTATGAGGATGCATGGTGTTCAATATGATGCTCATGATGTACTTAAGAATGAAGATTTGAGGCAAGGTAGTAATCGTAAACATCAAAATTAAAGCTAATTTCTCTTTCTCGTCAATATTTTGTACTAAAAATTTACGAAAACATTGATAATTTATGTCAATGTTTTTTTATTTTACAGGTATCAAAGATTTTTCAAATTGGCCAACGATACCACAAGTATTTATTAATGGAGAGTTTGTTGGAGGTTGTGACATCCTTTTACAATTGCACCAGAATGGAGAACTCGTTGAAGAACTGAAAAAAGTCGGTATTACCAGTGCACTTTTAAACCAAGAACAAGAAAAAGTTAACTCACAATCAGAGAAAAGTTCTAAAGAGTAATCATTAATCAACTTGTAGATATTTAATTGTTTGTTGTTAAGGGAAGCTTCAATAAAAAGAAGTTTTTTCAAATATTGAAGCATTCATGTCAGCATGAAAAAGTCAATTTCATTGTTTTATACCAATGAATGTTAACTACTCAAGAGGGTGTTTTAAATAGTTTGTTTTCTTAAGTAGAAAAAGTATATCATATTGAACATACAAGTGTAAATATTTAATTAAATTTATTCTAATGAAAACAAAAAAGCCAGTTTTGAATTATACGATTATAGGATACAGTTCATTTTAATAAGAAACATCTTTTACCGTAATAAATTTGTAAATTATCATGATTCTTACACCATATTGAGCCTTAAATTCAACTGTAGTCAGTATATTTAAAAGAAATTATCAATACATAAACTACAAATAGGCTACAAACCTTCAAAATAACTTTGTCAATTTCATATCAAAATAACATGTCAAACAGTTTCTTTTAAAAACAAGTTAATATATACCTAATGCATACATTTAAAGTAACACCACAGAAACAAAAAAAAATAGAGTTTAAATTAGAATATACCAAAGTATACTGAAATTAGAACGCTAATTACGGAAAACAATGTACGAACAAATTCCAAAGTAAAAAAAAGCAAAAAATTAATTTAAGCGACATTCCATCCCAAGAGGCGATTCTGCGAAAAACGGCGACAGTTTTAGAAGTACCGGCAAAGGTCGCATATCGGGGGAGAAATCTAGTTAGTTAGGATCTAGTTCACTTTTCAAGTTTGCCTTGTCGATTGCCTGGAAGGTTAATTAAGCGCGATAATTTGGCTTTGACGCATAATCAGCCGGCGGTCACGGTAATCTACGCTCGTTAATTGTCGCTGTAAGGTCGACCGCTGACATTTTTTTTGTTCCCCTCTAAATTTTCAGTGTTTAATAAAACGGAACGTTTTTAGGGAAATTGTAAACAAATTATTTGAATTTAATTAAGAGTTCATCTAAGTTCCTTTAATTTAATTAAGAACACTTTCATGCAGTGAAAAGAAACTGTAAAGTGTTTATATTTTCAATGTTCATTGTCAAGATATTTCGACGTTTTCAATAAAAACATTATTGTCAAGTTGTCTCATATTAATTGTTCAATCCAAACACAAAGCAAAGCAATGATGAAAGAAAAAAATGTTAACATATAACACACTCAGCCTTAATTTTTTCCGGTGTATTGCGCAACGCAGCATTGGGCATTCGATTGCTCTGCAAGCGCATCGGCATTTGGCACATGGGCTACGTTTGCGTAGGTGCGGGTGTGCGATGGGACACGGCGTTGAATTAATTAATGCGCGTGGCGGGCAACGAGTCTCGCGTGACGCACTTACGTTATTTAATCGAATACAGACGAGAGTATCTCCCTGCTACACGCAGCGTTTGGAAATTGGAGCGGCAACCCGTAAGCGGAATTAGTCTAATTAAGCTGGCCGCTTGCAGCGATAAAAAGAAGCAGAGCCACGCGACGTGGTGATGTACGTTTGAGCGTTTTCGCGGTTTTGTGGCTTCGAGTCGAGAAAGCGACGGAGCCTTAACGTAGACGCGCGCGCGATTATGACTTCCTTCTCTCTTAGCTTCTCCGCCCTCGCGGCTGCTTGCCGACAGAGAAATTAGGCTCTCGTCGCCGCCGCCCCGAGCTACGTGTGCAGGAGAGATTGGATTGGGCACCGTGCGTGTCGAATTCCACGTTCTCCTGTGCAACCCTTGTGTTTCAAATTGCTTTTGTGATGTTCGAGATAATTGAAGCGCAACCATCTAATACAAGTTTTTTAATTCACATTTTTGAATTTGCTTTTGTTTGGATCTCATTCGCGGTAAATTGCGTAGAGAAATGTTGAACTAGTTCGAGTCAGAGCCGATTTAAAGCTCAGAGATTATATTTTCTTTCTTCTGATTCACGTTGCAACTTTAATGCTGTTATTAAGAACGTTGTCGTAATTATTTGTCTGACTGATAATCGACCTCACTACTGAACATCATTTGACTGCGTTTTTTTTTCATTCTACTGCATGCGTGGTCTTAAACACTTTGATTTCACTCGGAAAAACGAGCCATTTCTCAAGATTTGATCGCTAAAGGACCGGCTACAAGCTGAAAAAGGCTCACTCGACTTGGTCTATTCAAACGGAACTGTAAAAAGAAAAGCATAAAAGTAGATCGGCAAAAAAAGAGTAAGCCTAGTGCAGGCTCGGCAATAATGAATCGAACGACCCCCAAAGCTGCTACACAGCGTTCAACGGAAAGATCGAATAGGTCGGCGGTGCGCGGCGCTGATTTACAGCCTCGCTCGAAAAATCGAAGACGCCCTACACACCTCCTCGAAGGTCGCGACCACCGCGCTCACGCGATTCTAACCGTAATTGCGTTATTGAATTTGCAGGGGCGAGCTTCGCTCGACTTTTTTTTTCTCCCCCAGTATCGACGTTACGTTTTCCTCTAATTGTTTTCGCCGTGCGCAGTGCGCCTGATCGCTTCAGATTTAACACTGTCACGCTAATGAGGGGATTTTGTGATGATCGTCGCTTGAAATTGCATTTTAAGGCGAGATTCATGCCTGTAGGTAAATTTCTATTGCTTTGTTCTATCTCATTAATGAGCTGTCGAAATAATAATCAGAAAACTCGGTCAATAAGTCATTTTTCTGTAAGTGTTTATAAAATTAAATACGATTGAACCTCAATTTTTAAATAGACTCGCTTATAAGTTACTCAATAACGCGTTCCTTATTCGAAAATAAGCTTCGCAAACTTCTAAAATATAACTATCAGGAGAAAAGTCAAGCATCCTTGTTGACACATATATCAAATTTCAGTGACGCATATTCATGTCAAATTATACTAAATAAGAAGAGTCAATCAATTAACTCAGATTAATTGCGATAACACGCATCGGTAAATTGAATGACCAACTGCAGCGCAATAACGAAAGAAAAGCAGCAGCAGCAGCAGTAGCTCTCTTTCATTTTTTTCGCATTGGATTTATTTTTAAAGCCACGCTGAGATAGAGGAGGGTAATATGCAGCTTTACGATTGCCCGTTAAAGGGATCGCTTCATCCGCGTGCTCGGCGCGGCCTTGATCTATATTTTTCATTCGCCGAATTGTCTTTGCGTTGCGCTCTCTCCAAAGTTTTGCGTTCACGCTACGCGTCTGATTTCTGCCTTTTATCTTTGTTATTCTTTCTTCTTCAACTGAATCGTAGTCTTTTTTTATCTTTGACATCTTTTGCATTGCTACGCTAATTTAATGGATGTGGGGAAAGCTGTGGAATTTATAATGCCTATATTTCTAACCTGTCGTCGTACAATTGTATAATAAATTGTATATGTCGTAAGATTATACAAATGTATAAAATCTAAGACTCGTTCGTTGTTCGTATGTTCGTTATTCTCAGACAAATGTCGGATCTATCGCAAAAACATTATTTATATAATTTTTTATCCCTATCATTAGTCGCACAAACTAAGTCATCCTTTAACAATGAAATGACTCCTCAAAACGTGTATAAATAAATTAACAAAATTAACGCAGAAAATAAAAGAGAGAGAGAGAGAGAGAGAGAGAGAGAGAGAGAGAGAAGATCGTCCAAACACAGTATCCGCTCCAACAATCGTGGTCTGACGCGCGATCGAAGTCCTCGTTTTCCCCCCGAGAACTGCTGTATAGCGAAATGACGTCTGTGCGAGAATTCGCGCGCGTAAGAGTGAATTGGCGTATGGGGGGATAATACTGATCGTAATCCAAAACTTCTACATGCAAACGTGGAGCTCAGCTATATATATCTACTCGTGATAATAAAGCAAAATTCAAAGGAAATAAAAAGTAATATCAAGCACGTTGATGCGCAAATAGCAGCGACGTATAAATGTAAAAGCAACGAGAAAAAAAGAAACACATTGTCGAGTTTTCGCGTTTTATTAAAAAATATTGTTCTCTGTTCGACCCTTCCGGGAGCGCGGGTCACTTCGACACGAACTCGTTATTTTCGATTTAACGCGGATTCAAATTGAAAGTTTGCTCTTGCTTTAATGTGATTTATGCTTGATAATTATCCACTTTCTGACTGTACGTATGTGCGTTCACGTGAACGAGCAAGCTTTTCAGAGGAACTTTTGTCCTATTTGTTTTCATTTAATAGTTGAACTTTCGTTGTTAGATGTATGTAATTTTGATGCAATGCAGTGACTGTTTGATAAATGTTGTTATTATTCGAAATGTTGCTATGTCAATGATGATTGAATTTGTTCATGCATTTTTAGCTTCTTAATTCTTAACATTATTTTCTTAATAAAATTTCTGAAGTTGCAAAGGTAATATTTCAAAAAATTAATGAAAATTAAATTAATTACTTCAATATAGTTTTTTTAAATTTATGTGTTTGTGTGTATGTGTGTCTGTGTGAGTGTCGTAAGCATTCAAATAACAACTTTTTCAAAGTAATGAGATATATTTCTTATTTTTTATCGTAAGACTTATTTTCAAAACCACTATTTAATTTTAATAATGTATGACTTTTATGTTGTATTGTATGCTGTCTTAAAAAGATTGTTCCTTTAAGAATTTTATTGTGCTTAAAAGAACAATTTTTTTTTTGTGATTTGACAGTGAAACTCAGGTAAGCATTAAAAAATGTACTAAAAATAAGAAAATGTTAGAGAACATTCTTTGAATTCCTATTTTTATAGGAATCCCTAGTACTTATTAGCGTGAAACCACATTTTAATAACGCAAAGTTCTTATTTTATGATAGATATAGGTGCTTCAAGTTAAATTAATCAAGGAATAATTAAAGCAATCTTTCCATCAATCCGTTATTTATTCATCAACGTAGTGCCATGTTGTTTCGATGGAAATGTTATTTGAATTATTCTTTGATTACTTTTTATAGTGTATTTATAATAATTCGAAATTTTCTATAATATATATAATACAAATTTTTATTAAAAAATTTTTTGGCAAATTAATGTGAAAGTACTTGTAAAAGCAGAAACCCGGGCAAAATCGCGACTCAGGCGAACATCCCCCTTACAAGTAAATCCGCATGATTAACAATGTAACTTAATTAAGCCTCGCGAAGATGTCCATCAAGAACATCGTAATCCTAATGAAGAGAGAAATTACCCAGCTACTCTCCTCCATCTCCTTCTGCGTTACAAAGCTGTCCTTTGTAGTCAAATCGAGCTACACAAACACGCATGTCGACGACGCTCAACGCGAAACAAACGCGCACGCGACCCGAGCCAATGAGCCATGCTTGTAGCTTGAATTAGCTGTATGCTTGTGGGACTTGATCGCATAGCGTGTATTGATCGTTCAGTTACCACAAAGATAGAGCCTGATGCTGAATTCATATTGAAAATTGTGTAGTTCAAAGTGCTGACACTTTAGTGAAGTGACGAGAAAATTACGATAACCAATAATTTCGCTTTAATTTTCAGTTACGCATAGAGTTATACTTAATGCGAACGTCGATAAGCATCAAAAATCGAGCCATGATCAAGAATCTTTAATTATATTAGAGCGCTACGATTATCGCAGTCAGCGTTTTCATGTTCCTCCACTAATTAACTCCCTTGAGTTAACTCAATCACTTTCACTGAGATTGTAAACACGTCTGTTTTTTTATCTTCCAGAGCTCTGGCGAGTATTCTTGGCATTGGGTGAAATCTTCAAGGCGACCATTCATTTATGATTTAGCAGTTAATTTGTTTAAAGCTTCTCCCTTATGCTGTGCGATCGTAAAAACTTTTACGACTTAAGACTGTGCTAAGGACGAAATATACGTATGTCAATTTAACACTTTAATAAGACCTCCCTCCGAGAATTGTAGAAACGAACACACTTTGCTTTCTTTAGCAGAAAATCAGTCTCGAAAAAAAAGGCTATCAATCTCAGAAAAAACTTTCAAGGAGGCCCGTTATTTTTTAAAAACTCTTTAAGACTTGCGTATCCGTAAAGCTGCAAGTGCATCCGCTGCACAGCATCTCCTTTGAGGCTGCTGCATATTGCTGGCGGCTAGGTAGCGCTGTGCCTCTCTTTGTTGTATACTCCTATACTCATTGCTGTTAAATTACTTGAGAAACACGGCTGAGAAGACGAGAGAGAGAGAGAGACAGAGAGAGAGAGAACGAGACAGATAGACAAAGTTAGATGTCAACGCAATCGAATATGCCCTTAGCTTTTTGGGGGATACAATTGGCTGTGTCGTATTTGTGTTCTTTTGTTGGATGAATTTGACACATGTTTAATTTTTTTTTGTGATAAGCTGATCGGATAATGAACATTGAAATAATTCGTGGAGATTTCGAAACTTGTTTAAATATTGTAAAACGGTTATATAAGAAACTTTCCTTTTTTTGAAAAAACTTCTGATACGTCTGTCTGACTAAACGTTTGCTATATCTACTTGATGTAGATAACTACATTACTCAATCCAAATATGATTACCGTAATGATTGTTATTCAAGCAAAGGAAATTCTGCACTATTTAAAATGATACAGGAGAAGACCCTAAAGTCCCTCACCTCCTTAAAATTGCCGCCGATATGCTCACGAAAAGAAAATATCCATTCTCTATCAACATTTCCACAGATTGTTCGATGAACGAATCAACTATCGTTGTTCTCTCGCGGTAAAATATTCGCCTTCGAGGGGATCGAGCCAAAGTTATAAAAAAGGAACAAGAAGGCTTTTTTTGACCAACGTGCTGCATGCAAAAAACGAGAAGGGGAAGAGCTGGTGTACGACTTTTAAATTTTAAAGTGATGCGCACGTACATCGCAGCAGTATCGCGATCGAAGCGTGTGCGAGTTTCTTGCCGTCGCCACCGCCACTTTTTCCTCCTTTTAGTGAGTTTCCAGTTCCCAGGACGATTTCTCGCTACCCGAAACTTTCAATCCTTCATCCGGTGACTTGTTAACGTAATGATGTCATTATATATATATACATACACACACACACATAACAAAATATGTTTTAGTGTACCATGTAACAGAGAAAAGAGCATTTTTTATCTGGATGGACAGGAAAAGCTTTCAAGCACAGTTATTTCAAAGTTGTAATTTCGTTATTATATATTTAACGGCACTTACTTTAGAATCACGAATCACGTTGGTTTCCTTTTTTTCTCTATTGTGGTCGAATGTTCTACGTATATCTTGAACATGTGTGTGTGTGTATGCGCGTGTGTGTGTGTGTGTGTGTGTGTGTGTGTGCGTGCGCGCACGTGTGTGTCAGATAATAATTCAGATATACGTTTACGTAAAAATTCACATTTTATACACGTGCGAAAAAGACAGTTTTACAGAACATAATAAATTCTCATTTGAAATAAAAATTTACTAGCGTATGAAGTACTAATAAAACATGCCTACGCGCGTCCAGGCTACCTATATGGAGGAAAGTACAATAATCCTCGCGTTAACTTGTCACCGGGAGGGGAAAAAGTACCACTGGGGCCAAACACTTATAGCAAACCCAAAGCTCCTCAACCAAAAGGAAGACTCTTACACGTATGTATGCGCTTGTCGACTTTTCTTTCGTATATTTGATATTTTCTTATACTTTCCTGTGTAGTTTCATTTATTATAAGAAAAAAAAAGACTTTCTTATATAAGTACTTTTTTCGTACTTCAAATTTTTTTAAATCATAAAAATTATTTTTTCTTTTCAATATTGGATCAGATTTATAATACAATATTTCTATATTCCCGTAAATTCAACGAATTAATTCTTAGAATTAATACTTAGAAGGTTCGATCGTACATCCTAAAATTATATGTGGCAAATGATACAATTCTTATTACAAAGTGTTACTTTTAATTTTATGTACTTACCGTACAATACTACAATTTCTACTAAACCATATGCATCGAACTCGTGAATATTTAAAAATTGGCTTCTTCAAATGTATGCCTCGCTTTGTGAAATTACCGTGAATCGTGCATTTCCATCGATTCTAAACAATAATGCATTTAGAATCAAACTGAAACGACGAGGCAACATGGATTAGTCATTTAATTTTCTAGGAAAATAGCTGGGTCGACTTTCGACGATTATTACCTTGATATATTCCTCGCTTACTGAATGTCTACCGAGAGAATTATGTTCATAGCTTGTTCAATACCAAACGCAAACAAAATTTACCGATCTATTTGAAGAATGTTGCATTAGCGATATGCTTCCTTAGCAGATATGAAACGGATTTATTTATTTCTTCATTCACATCACTGTAAAAAGTATTAAGAAAATAGTGGCAAAAAGAGAAATAAACTTGTTTTTCAAATATAGATCGAACAAAAAACCAATATTTCAGCGTGTAACGCTAAAAGCCAGGAAAAGTATCGAAAAATCAGTCGAAACAAATCTTTTTTCTAATGAATCGAAAATCCATAACAATATCCTCACGTTCCGCAAAATATGTGGACGTTCGGCGTTAACAACCGAAAACTCAATCAGCCATTTAAGGCGCCCTCCCCCCGGTAAAAAAAGTCGTCTCTTTCCCCAAACTCTCCCTCTCCCATATCGTTCTCCCACTCTAAAGTGCAAAAATGCATTCGACGCGCAGTGCACAACCCTCCTCCCTCTCTTCATCCCCCACCTCAAGCTGCTGCTACTACTGCTGGTATAAGCTCTTGGCAGAGTAGTGCCGCCCTCAGTGTCGGTCGGGGACTCGCTTGCGACTGAGAGCGAACTCGCGTTATATATTATACATACCTACAAACAAATTTTTTTTGTGCGTATGCTTGTGTTGTTTTTTTTTCTCTTCTGTTGTGCTTCGTGCGATCGATCTTTTTTCTCCCTCTTTTATTACCTTCCATCTTCTTTGGCTTCTCCTTCTCCGTCTCGAAGATCATGGTGATATGCTGCTACTAAGTGCCGCCGGCTAAAAGTGAGTGCGTTTTACACGGTGGAAATTAACAGAAAAAAAAGTTGTATCATCGAGATTCATGTTATGTGATTTATATCGCTCAACCTTTACATTCGTTAAAGTTATTGACGGACTCTGTACTCTGACAGAATGTGGTATCAAGTAGTTGGTTCAGTCTAAGAGGAAAAGAAACTGACGCGCACATCGGCAACGTCATTGAGAGAAAAGAAAAGAAAAATGTTTTTTTTTCTTCGTTAACTATGCAGCAAAGATTACAGAAGGCGTGAGCGTGGCCTTAACGTACTGTCATACCTGACTGGCAACGTGTCCACGAGTTTTCGAAGGAAGCCCTTCAAGTCGCAACTCCGATGACAGTGTCATTCAATCTTAGCTCGTCTTGTTGGTTACCGAACTGTCGACTATATATGTACGTGTAATTTCCCGCTCTCCCGCGCGTGATAAAAATCGATCGTGCTACACGCGTTCTTTTCGAAATTTGCTCAAATAACGCAGCAATTCCACATCGAGAACGTGAAGCACGACAAAGTCGTAAAAAACGAAGGCGGGACGCAGTTTGTTGTCTCTTTCCCCACGATGCATTCCGAGTTGTATTCGATGCGTCGCGTGTATCGAGCGTGCGCTACTCGAAAATCAATTGAAAGTGAAGTTAGCTATTGCACGAAGTAGATGTCGGCTGGAGCACAAGAAAAGAATATCGCGGAGACGCAGGTTTCCGGGTAGGGACGAATCGCCCAGCCAAATCGCAAGCGTGGACAACGAGATGTATCGATTGACTCGGCCTCTTTGAATTTGGAATCGCGCGAGCGATTCAGGCCGATGGAAAGGATATTTCCTGGTCATGGGATCATACAACGCCTCGATCTGGCTTTAATTTATGGACTCTTGCGCGTGTGCCAATGATTTAATTTTTGCCAGGGATTCCGCGTGATACTACCGCGCGCGCATAACTCTCGGGCGAGTTTCTAGCCTCTCTCTTCTGCCTACCGTTAGCCAAATTATTAAGTGGCATTGATCTTTCCATCGCGCAAATGCAAGTTCGTTCTCTGCGTTAAACTAGCAGGGGATAATTTTGCGTGTACGATCGAAGAGCAGGGAACCGGCGCAACGAGCTACCGCGACTGCCACGGTCGTCGAGATCCGTCGTCCTAGATAAAGCTTTGCGCGGAGGAGACGTCGCTCGCGCGAAAGACGAAGGACAGTATTATCCTTCCTTAATTATACGCTGCATGCTAATTCGCCTTATCGGGGCAACGAAAAGAGAAAAACAAAGTATCCTGCTTTGCAATTTTATCATTGACAAATGAGGTCTCCCCAAAGTGGAATAACTCTATGTACGGTCGGACGCGCAACAACAATAAAAAGAGAAAATCTTACGTCACATGTGTGAGCGCGCCAAAACAAAGCTACATGCAATAAAGCACAAGACGTCGAAAACAATCGCGATGCATAATTCATGAGACGACATAGCCACAGTCAACAAAATGATGATAAAGTCAGTGTGTCGAAATCCACGAACTGACCTTCAGATATCTCTCTTTTTCTTTAGCAATGTTCTGCACACAAACACGCGAAATCGATGCACTCTCTCTCTCTTTCTCTCTTTGCTGGGTCGCGGTCGTCGCTTTTACCTTCGCGTGCAGCGATCTTCCCGCGAGCTTTTACACGGCGACGAGAGGGGGGGGGGTTCCTCCACGCGACTCGCGCGAGGCTATATGATTATTTTGGGAATCGCATAAAAGCAAAGCGAACGACTGGCGACGATGAGAATGCTAAGGTTGTTGTCAGCATTGACGCTGTCGACGCTGCTCTTGACCTTAATCGCACGTTATGCAATTACCCCCCTCGCCCCGACAACAACGGCGTCTTGTACAGACTGACCTATGCCTCTTTTTTTTCTTTTTTTTTGCAATTTACTACCGCGGGAATTGGTGTATGTGCGTATATTCAGGGGTACGCAGGAGTTTTTAATTTATCTTTTTATTCTTAAGGAAATAAAACGGAACGCGCTTCTGGATGCTTTTGCGAAAGAATGGTTTGCACATCTCGATTTAAGTGAATTCCAATATCCAAAATACGATAGTAACTGCGTTTGCCTTCAGCAATTTTGTTATTCAGCCACTACAGTCTGTTTGAAAACTTTTTATAAATGTCCGAAATGCGAATACAGCTCGTTTAAAAAAAATAGCCTTCGTCTCTTCGCCATCGCGATCCCGATATCTAATTAGTTATGAAACTTTTTTCGATCTGACTTCGAAAGTGCATGCGCGTAATTGGCAGAAAAATATGATCTTCTAAATGCCGGCGGATGAATTGCTCTCTCAATCGAATTTACTGTAAAAGGTGCGTGATGATTTTACAGTTACAGCCGCGCGTATTTTGTCATTTTAACTGTAATACCGATACCGAACCTTCGTACCTTTTAATTAATCAAAGTCATTTCAAACTGACCCGTTAACATCGATAAATTCCTACAGTCCAACGCGAAACAGACAACTGGTAGTATCGCTACTTGCACCAGTCGTGCCCGTACTATAAAGCTGAAGATTAATTGATCAATTGACAAGCAGCAGCAGCAACTTTAAAGTAAACACACTTAAGTGGTCGCCACTTGCAAAAAAGTAAAAGTGACTGGCGACACACTATCATCTATCACTTGCTTCCTTGTACCCCTTGGCTATTCTGAAAATTTTACGCGTTTCCTGATAGATTGCGCGTCATTCGTAAAATGACCTACATATGACTAACGTCACGCACTCCGAGAGTGGGAAATCTCGCGATCAATGTGTTTAATACGAATCCCCCGTTTTTCTTTGTTTTCGTTCTCTTTATTACTTTTAGTATTGGCCATATAATAGAATCTGCCATTCAAAATGTTGAAAGGTACTTCTCGTGTATTCAAGCGAAATTCTCATGCAATATTTAAATACGCGATGGCGGATTAAGCAGGGATCTCTACTACTAATCCATATTTGTATATATACTAAGAAACCTCGTGTCTAAATAATCGGCTTGTATAAGCGGGAAAGTAAATTACAAACTAGTGTTAGAAAGGAGAGATTATTAATGGCAAATGCATAAAATAATCACTTTTGGGATCAATAATATACTCTTAAAAATTTCATCTTCCATTAGTATCGATATCATAAATGAATAAACTAGCGAGATTCATACCCTTGCATAAATAGCTTCAATAATCCATCCATCAGTCATCAATCATAGCATACATTATGCATTCGAAAAACAATGTAATTTATTCTTTATAAAAATCATTGTAGCTTTCGACCACGTTAAACTAGCGGAAAACGACATCAGTCACTGCACTCGGGCAATTTCTGAAAAAATAAAAAAAAAACAGTGGCGGCGGCATGAAAGCCACTCATATCGGAGCTCACGCCGCTATCGACAAATCTCCATCTGTAGAATAAAAAGTCCATATCCGTGTGCGTGAGCATTGGCTTGCCAAAAACTGCGCTCGTTAAGCCGCGAAAACGAGCGAAACCTCTTTCTCCTTCCTCTTGGTGAACAACGAGGGCTTTGCTCTCGCAACTAATCCTCTTTTTGTTCTCTGCGCGCAAGGGACTTTAGGTGTTGACATCGATTCAACGACGACGACGACGACGACGACGACGACGACGACGACGACGGGGATCGGCTTCGCTATACTTGTTTATCCTCCTATTGCCCTTTTGTTTCTTTAGGTGTATGTCTGTGAGACCACTTGGGATTAGCCGTGTGGATTTGCCAAGTTTGCTTGTCTGTATTTTTTTTCTTTTTCGCTGATTCGAGAGGTAAACCTCCTTAGCCAAAAGTGGGTTGCGGAAATGCTTTTTTTTTCGCTGACGAATCGTTTTGGGTACTGATTATTTGTTCAACTGAAATCGTGAGATTTTTTTTGTAGCAAATAAATTACGAATGATTCGTTATTTAGTACCAATATTTCGTGTGTTCATGCATACCTGACTATTCTTCTATATGGAACAGTGCTTTTGAATATTTGATGGACTAATAATAATACAACAGCGAGTTTCGTTGAAATTTTATAGGCCGCGACTAATTTCAGTTGGCAATGAATAAGAATCTTGCTCGTGCATTTTTAATAAAGCAATTTCACGCTTCAAAGTTTCAATTAGTCAATGCGTTCAGCGGGAAGACAAACGTTGAAGTGATTATGCGTCAAACGACAACTTGATGATAACTATCAAATCAATATTTAAAGAAGGCGAAGAGAAAGAAAGAAAAATAATCAATTAACGCGATAATCTCGGAAATCCTCAGCTTAGCAAAGGCTTTTCCAACATAAAACCTGCCTCGACGAAAGAACTCGAAATCTTTCCCTTAGAAGAGAGAAGCAGAAAAAGGAGGAGTATCGCCTCGTTCGGGATTCGCGTCCACGCGAGACGCACACGATATTAAGAAGTCCGCACTATGTAAATGCGTTGCAGGAGCTGGCAAGTTACGCAATGTAATTATACGACGGTTGGATATATAGAAAGTCGCGCGATAATTTAGCTGACAAAGGGACGATGTAATTGAGCATTCCGCGCTCTCCTCAACTATCTCACTCTTTTTTGGTCGACGACTAATTAAGGCTACAGCCGCTGCTGCTACTGACGTGATAACTTTTCTTTTGGTTCGCTGATTTTCTTTCATTTTTTTCAATATTAATGATGGATTTTAGCATTTTTTTCGAGGTGGGAGGATTGAGGCTTTCATTCCCGAAGTTTTTGGGATAATTAGAGGAGAGTTTGCAGTAAAGAGTGATATATAATGCTAGAGGGTTTTTTAGTGGAGGTTTGTGTGGTTGAACGTGATTAAAATATAGGTGGATTTTGAAAACTTGTATATTCTTACGAGTGGTAAAATGATTTTTGATATGTGAGATTTATTTTTGACGTTACATTATAAAAAAAGATAGAATTCGAAATTAAAAACCAAAAAAAAATAGCAAAAAATTTATCGAAAACAAATTGGAGTGGATACAAAAGATTCACAAATATTTTATTCCCCCCACGAAAAAAGTCTTATTCCGGTTACCGTAAAATACGTAACTTTTTTATAAGTAGAGTGAAACAAAACAAAACAAGAATACCACTGCTCGTCTGTCTACAGTTAAAAGTTTTATTAGCTTTGAAAAAATAAGGTTGCATACGTCGCTATATGCTCGAAAATTCTCAGCGTTCATCTAAAAGGGCAACGAACAATGCAAACACGTATCGTAAGTCGATCGCTGCGACGAGAAGAGTGAATCATAACATGAGCTAGAGTCAAACATTTATTCATCGTAGAATGCATAAGCCACGACAACGCGTTTCTCCTTGTTGATGTTTGAAAATATTCCATTCTCGTCCTTTCTTTCAATTCTCTCGCCCCATGTCTTGGGAAATCAATCAGTTGTTTAGAAGGAAGTCGGATGCCGTTGGCTGCCGTTACATAAATGTACAGGGCAGCTGTTGGACTTCGCATTGTCCTACAATGTTCACACACTCGAAGTACACGGAGTCTCTCGACCTTTCGTCCTACATACATGATTTTTTTCTTTATTTTTCTTTTTTGCAGCAAAACTGGATTTACAAGGAATTAACGGTCGCTTCGTATCAATAATCGTGGGATTATGTGAGGCAGTTTCGCGGCTGGTGGCGGTGGCCTTAGCCGGGGATGTCGTTATCCTCGAGCTGTTGTTGCTACTGCTGCTCAGGCTGCGAGACACCGCTGTGCTTGAAGAGTTGCTACAATGTGGAAGAAAACATGCAGACGCTCGACAACGGCAACGGATCCAGCTGCTGCGGCAGCATGGATGGACTGCGGCTAGGCTACACTACTTTGATCTCGCTATTGCCTAGCTGCGCCTCCTCGACCAACGATGACGCTCGTCTGCACACGAGGACGTCTTAGCTGACCCTTGGTAAATGTAACATCGGTTGTCACTGTCAAAGATATTTCTTTTTATTTGCAGCATTTGTTAGTAAAAAATATTCTTAAATTAAGATTATTTTTGCTAATTTTATTTAACAGAGAAAATCTAAGAGAACTTTCGTTAAAAAAAAATTTCTCAAATTCAAAAATATATTTTTAATTTAAGAATACAAAAAAATGAAAACAATTTTTGAACTGCGAATTTCTATAATATTTTTTTTTTTTTTGTAGTAGTCAGGAGGCGTCCAATCACCGTGGAGAACAAGATATATAGGTGATTATTTTGTTGTTGTCGAAGAAGAAGGAGAAGGAAATTTTAAGTGCGCGAGTGGAAACACGATTTAATTATATTATACTCGAGTTTCGAATCAAAAGTAGAAAGACATATTAAAGTGAATATAATAAAAATAGTGAGAGAAAGACACCGCGAGTGTCAGTGCAGACGAGGGAGAGTATTTGAAAGAAGGAAACAGCGAAAGTGTGATAGTGAAGTCCCATCGCACTTATAAGGTAACGAGAGGATGCCTGGGGGTCGTAGGGGCCTGGTAGCCCCGCAAAATACATTCTTGGAGAATATCATCAGGCGCAGTAGCAGCCAACGTGAGTGACTTCTTTCTTCTTCGTTTGACAGTTATTGAGATCTGCATTCTTTGATTTTTATTAGCTTTGAACAAAAATAAGAATAACATAATTATTTGCATGAATGGGAAATGCTTGGATGTTAATAAATTTATGGCGCTACAGCAAAAAATACTTCTTAAAACTGTTACATTCGACTTTTAAATTTAACAAATAAAAGCCTCAATTAATCGTTTTCCTATGCAGCAGCTGTAAGAATGTTTTTCCGCCGCGTAAAACGCAATTATTTTCTTTAATTTTACGCCTTCCTATCGAAATCTTATGCATGAGTTTGGACAAAGCCCACACGTGACCAACTTACGTGAAGATTATTCATCAAAATAACTCGCAAGCTGAAAGTCGTCATTTGTCTCCCGGGTTAATTTACTTGTCCTCTACCTCGCGTAGCAATAAAAACCATATCGTTTATCTTACAGTCCTACGACGACAAGTAAAGCACGCATTATGCAGTTCTTTCATTGTTCGCCGTACAAAAGTTACACTGCTGAAAGAGATAACCCGACGTTTGCTTTTACGCTTGTGCGCATAGGGTCAAGTCCTGAGCATAAAAGACAATCTGGCTGCGCCAAGCGAAAAGCTACGTTTCTAAAACCCCTGGGGAGATTGTAATTTCGAAGTGGCTCAACTCAAATTAATAGAATAATCCATGTGTGCCTTGACATACCTGGCTACATTGTGTTTTTTGATGTCTCATAATATAACTACGTTCTAGAGGGGCAACGGTACGTACACGCGAAATAGAGAAGGAAGAGCGTTGACCTATGCTATAAATTTTATCGGGCAGTTAACACTTTTCTTCTTTCGTTTATAGGCCGACAATCAACGTTCTCTCTCTTTGTTCGTCGAATAATCGTCGTCCGATTGTTTACGAGCTCGCGACACGCTGCGTATCATTGGCACGTTCGCATTGTTCGGCTCTCTCGCACTGTTGCTAGCTTGTATTTTGCCTTTTTATCGATACGAGGCAGTTTATGATTTGTTTTCGTATAAGTTGATTGAAATGCATTAAAAAATACGACAATTTTTTAAATTCATTCAGCACACTTGTCGTCAAATACAGTATAGTAAAATATGTGACAGTGTGAAATTCGATCGTGTAATCTATTCACTCAAAGCCCCCTCTCGCGCTAAGAAGTTCAACTGTAATGTTATAACGGATAAAATTCAATTTATTGCTGAAACTTATATAAGTAGCAAAATTTCAAGTAGATAATCTTACGTCACGAAATAAAAGTTACTGCGAACGTCAATTCGTGAAATAACAAAAAATTAAAAAAATCATTGATCCAAGTAAAAAGTCCGAAGTTAATAAATATGATATTTTTTTCACTTACGAAGTAGGGCTGCGCAAAGTGGCTGACAAGACAAAATTTAATGAGCTTTATAAAAATACAAAAGTAAAGCGAGAATGGATAAAGAAATTATTTCCAAGCTGCTGGCGAGTCGAAAGAAGAAAAAAAGAGCGAGAGAGATATCGTTTTCAACGACTCCAACATCTTGCTCATGAGCATCTCTCTTTTGTACGCTCAGTTTTTCGCGCTTCGACGCGCCGCCTCGCGACGAGGAAAATATGACGCGCCGCTAGAGAACGACTTCCGGCTCTCGCTGGCGCTAAGACTGATTTTTCCTCGTTTCTGCTACATAATACTTATGTCTTTTGCCTGTACGTTGCTGTATTCTACATTTTTTTCTTCTTTCTTATTGCTTCCAGCAAAACTTTATTTCATTTAATTTGAAAAGGAAGAATAACTTTACAACACACGAAATATATGTATTTTGTCAATTGCCGCGAGTTCGTATCTGCTTGTGGGAGGCAATTTGCTATGACCTATATTCAGCCAACCTAGATACAAGTACATTTGATATGATGGAAAGCATCGTTTTTTCCCTCTATTGATTGAAATATATATCTTTCGAATAAAAACGCGATTGGCTAAAATCTTGCATATAAAAATATGGTCCACGCTGTAAAGAAAAATTCCCGGGCTCAAATCTACTCTATTTCTAGAACAGATCTCTGAAGGGGGGCTGTCTACTCAACAGATAATTTTTTTCTGCTTAAATGGTATATTAGATTGACATGGATTTGCACATACTTCACGAAGCTTTGTACCAAATGTTATGCCACTTGGATGTCTATCAGTCACATTGTCGATAAATTATTATGTGTTGTTTATCCTCTGGAAATAAGTCATACTCAATATCATTTTCGTGCATCCAATAATTTTTTGCAAGATTTAGAACGTTTTTAGAGTTTTTAGGAGTATCGTTTAAAAAAATAAAATATACGAAGTCGAGCTAAGGCAAATACTGCAAACAAAATCATTGAGTGATTTCAGATTCCTCAAAAGAAAAAGAATCTTTCTGTAAAAGAAAACCAAATTGATTTTTTGACCGAAATTAAGGCAGAGAGTAGCTTCAAATTGAAAAAAAAAATTAAGAGCACTTTTCACGTGCAACGAAATTAACTGTATTTTTTAATGTATACGAAACGCCATCAACACAACAATATCACACATTTATAAGAAGGAGAATGGTATTTATTCATGTGTGCGTGCTCTCGCAGAGACTTCATATTTTTGGCAAAGTCATTAGAATCAATCATTAAAATATTTGCACGGTACAGCCGTATGTAGCAGTGTACTGTAATTATAGTCTCATGCAAATTCAATCCTCAGTGCACCCGTGTGACCTATATGTAGCATCGACGTTTAATTAAAAATGACACAATCCGCAGATCATAATTTTTCACTCGTCATATGGAATGCGATAAATGTAGGTTAATCGGTATGAGAAACCGAGTTGAAAGAGTACAAAAAGTTATCTTGAATTTGTGCAACGGACAACATTAGATACGCGCTCGCATCGTGCGATTAACAGCGCGGTTATAAGGGGGAGGGGCGAGGGAGGATGGACGTGCGTTCTCGCTTTTACGATACGCTCGAGCGCCTCCATTCTCGAGCGTTCGCGCTTCTCTTTTTATTTCGTTCGGCCATTGTTTGAAATCAGCTTTTACCGTATTGAAGGACGTGCCCGGGAGAAAGGACGCGCGCCGACCTTTCGCTTGAATTATCTTTCCAGATTTTCATCACGCCGACTCCTTCGGCTCGAAAGCCCCGCATTTCTGGGGGGGGGGGGCTTAATATTGACGTTCGTACGACAGACGCGGCGAGTAATTAGGCCAAAGAACTTTCGCCACTCGCTTGGTACACCGACGTAACACGGCAACTTTTCTTTTATTCCGTCGGATTATTAGGTCTGCAAAGAAAAGACGTTTCCACCGAGTGCGCAGATAAGCCCAGCAAAATATCTATCTCCCCGACGGTATGCCCGATGCCTCTTTGAAAATAAAACAAGATGTGTGCTTCGACGTGTAGCGGTGCAGAGATCGATCGTATGTAGCATCCTTCGCCAAAAAAAGAAATAGCATGTGTGCATCATCCTCGACCCTCTCTATTTGCATAGCAGGAAATCCTCTCGTCAAGGGGTTATTGATTTCGATCTGTTTACACAAAGTTATTTTTGGCTCGCCAATCATGTATCTATGCTACTGCGCTCTCCATATTTTTTATCTTTGAGAGCATATTTGCTCAAAACTTACGAAACCAAAGAAAATAAAATCCGTTAAAATCTATGCATTGCTCTCGACGATATCGTCGTTACTTTGTCAGACTGCCGCCTCACGGTGCAAGTAATTCGTATATGGGATGATAAACGTTAATCAGCACGTCTAAGTTCTTCCACGCGTGATTCGGCTAGATGAAATTTAATAATTTTCGAATGAGACGGAAATTTAAGTAAAACCGATGCCATCGTCGCGTGTTTTAATCGCGTGATTTATGAACTGACCTTGAGGTAATTATTGAATCTCGCGTTGAATGTCTTGATTGTCGGAGAGGCAGTGTTAACGATCAACGTTTTGATATTTAGCAGGGAATTTTTCTTTTCCTTGCGCCAAAGTCCTTGTATATGCGATTGATTTTTCGTGCATTCAAGGTCGCAATTATGCTACTTAGAGAATGCGATTTTAAGGTGGAATTTAATGTATGCGGAAAGTTTGCCGCATACATTTGAGAGACGTGATGGCAATTTGGCGAGAAAGTTTTGCTTGATGAGTTAGATTTATCGTTTTGTACGAATTGTGCAAAAATCAATATTGGAATCGAAAATTTTCATTTATCTCAGCGACATCAATGAAGTATATTAGTATAATTCGGTAAACTTTGGTTATATTGTTAATTATCGCGTATTAATTTATCGCGGCAACAGACGAACAAAATGAGCAAATGCCCGTAAGTTTTTATTGCAATCAAACAAGTATTACTCGATGTGTAGCGGATACAATTAAAATAACGAAACGTAGAGTACCCGAGAAAAAAAGAACTGCCACTATTGAAAAAAGTATCAATTAAAACTGGTAACTGCTTCTACAGTAAAATGAAAGACTAATCTACCGCTTTCATGATGAAACATTTATTTTCTTCTGTAAATGGTAAAGTAGAAAATTAATGCAGCTTGATGCTTTTAATTTAATTTTTATTTCCTAGCCGAGTAATTATGGAGACTTGCAAATGAAATCATTTGATCAGTATCTTTTCTCTTTCTTATTATGCAATGTTTATTGATTTGAATTAAGTTTCTTTTTCTTTTGCAGCTGAGAATTGTCTTGACATTATCATAACGTGAATATTCATACATTTTTTTAGTTTCTAAACAAAATTGAATACAAACTGTATACCATTCTAAAAATTTTCACATATATAAAAGCGTCATTGACATTTTTCGTAGAGAAAGCAAAGAATTGTGTCAAAAATAAGGAAAGTTTCTCCTCGTTAATTCGCATAGTATGCAAACATTACCTCGTTCACTGCACAATTAGGAGTAGATAAAACTCAGCAAGCTCGCAAACTAGCGATTCTGGAATCCGAAAATAACGAAGTTATGATCATATCCAGTCCTGA